CAATGCGGAAACCTGTTGAAGTGAAATGTCTCACAGACACTTCATACCCTCAGGGGGTTCAGAGGTGGAACAAAAGCATGGGCAGAGCTTTAGAGCTGTGTAACAGATGCCAGGGATAAAAACATTTCTCAGGGATAACTAATCACTGGGGCCCTGATGATTCTATGAATGCATACTTTTGACAGGCAGACAGAGTCCCTAGGCAGTGGTCTGAGAACAGTGCTGGTTAATTCACCACTAAAGACATGTCAATGCTGAGAGCATTTGATTTTGATGTCTCTGTCTCACATCAGTTGCAGTTCCTTGGATCCCTCCCACAAACACCCTGCACAGGGGTTTGAAGATGGATCCTGGTCTTAAACTGCCCGAGGATTACACAGCAGCAGTGTCTCCTCCAAACCCCATTAAGGGTCTGTCGACCCAAAATAAAATTTATAGCCATAGACTTGCAGAAATTGCATTATCATCATTCCCTCGAAATCTCTCATATAAAACTTCCCTATCTGGCAAAGAGCACGCTTGGTAACTGCCGAAACCATGTGAGCTCTGAGCGCTAACACAAATAATCAGAGCTTAATCAAGCCAGGGTGAAAGTCTGGTAACTCTTTGGGCAACCCCTGCATTCCTAGGAATGTGTCACACCTCCAGCTATAAATCTTTGAAACCGTAAAACATTTACAGTCATCTTTAGACCCATGAGAAGGCTATCCAGAGGACATAGCCACTGAATGTTATTGTAGAGCAAGAGTAGAACTTTTGCTAGCCTTACTATAGCAGCATAAGAAAACGCCAATGTAAATCACAGCAAAATGTAAGTGTACCTACCAATTATTTCTTCTGCTTTGCTTACCTTTTTTATCTCCATAGGAAGGCTTCCCTATGAAAGAGGAGAAAGTTTATCCACCTTGGGTATTGGCCATTTGTGTGCTGTTGGCTGTCCTTCCATGTGTGTTTGTACCCCTGGTAGCGCTCTTCCAGCTGATCCAACGAATGTGCAGAAGCAAGGACCCGAGCTGTGTACCACCAGAAGTGTTCTCATGTCAGGGGGCTAACAGCAACTTTTCTCATCCAAAAGAATAAATGCCCATTGTATCTGTCTGTAAGTGAAAACAGACAGCCTTTGTTAGACATGACCAGTTACAGTATCGTATCATCCAACCAACCTGGTTTACACAGTTCATACACTTACAGCCAATCACCAGCACGCCATAAATAGTGCTGCTATGTTTCCTTTATTTTCAACCAATTTCACAACATCTTGTCCCTCCTACATCCTGTCCTGAATCCTACATCCCAACCCCTTCTCATGCATTATCAACTTCATGTCTCTCTCCATCCAGACTTTAAACTTGGAAAGCCTGCTAGTTATTGCAAGTGCTCTCTGTCTTCCTTCACTTCTATTCTAAAAAACCCAGTCTGTTCCTAAGGATCAGCAACACAAAAACTGGAACACAAGCACCTACAGTTTTATTCACTGACCCCCTTCTGAGAAACGCAGAATGGAAGCTCTTGAAGAGTAAGACTCCTCTTGTCCACTACACTCTGCTTTTTGTAAATCCCTATACACATTTAAATAGCAGTTATCTTTTGATTATTTCATATTCTCAAGCATTGCAAAGAGCAAAAATAAAGTATCAGCAGTTAAAAGAATGTACATTAAGTATATCTGAGTAATTAATTTTGCACAAATCTCTTACCTTAGCACATTCCAAAATTTATTGTAGTGGAAAATACTGTTAAAACAAATGTCCCCCAATTTTTTCCCCTTAATTTCTCATACTGAACACAGTAACTGAACAATGCTGTAATAAAAGTGCAGGTGTATGGAAGCCTCTCAGTGAGCTGCAACCTTATATGACTTGACAATGAAGTTACCCTTTACTTAAAGGCAGGTTTTCCTGTACTTGCCTGCAGATCCTGGCCACTCTGCAGCGATGGAGGTGAAATTCCTTTTGCTGAAATACTTAAGCAACCAGCAGTCTCTGAAAAAATACAGGGAGAGTAAGTAAGGATAAGGTATGACAAAGCCCTTAGGCTGAGTAATTAAAAGAGTCAAGGAAAAGAGAGGAAGATTAAGGAAAGTGGAGGCAATTTCAGCATTGTGACAGGCTACACACTAGTAGGTCTTCACAGGTAGTAACAGGGATTTGGCCACACAGTGAAGACGGATGAGCAACTCAAACTCTGCAGAGAAAAGGCAGTTACCTGAATTCTTGAAAGGGGCACAAGTGGAACTGCAAGCCTGGCAAGGAGGAGGGGATGATTTTTATCTCACTGCTTAAGGAAAGAGCAGGGCAAAGAGAGACATATATTATTAATTTTTTTTAGATTTTTCTGTTTTAGATTTAGTATGCCCCTCACACAGCTGCTGCTGCGATCTGCTGTCCTGCAGCTAGCCTGGAAGGTAAGACTTTCCTGGAGCAGTGGTGGTACTAGAAGCAGCAGTATCCAGTCTGTCACAGGGGATCCACCAGAGGATCAAAGGAAATGCACGGGGTAAACTCTCCATGTGCACAGCAGTCGCCAGGCCAGAGCCTCCTGGCCCTTCCACTATGTGGGAGGAGTAGTATCATCTGCAAAACAGTTAAGTGCCTGGGCTCTGCATGTTTTTATTTCTGAGAGCTGTGGACTTGGCCAATGGTCCGTGTGATGATGTCCTGCAATTCCCCACGGTAGCCTGCCAACAGCCCCGGCCCCTCAAGCCGGGAGAGGGGCAGGTACCCCAGCATGGAAACACAGCTTCTGTTAGCAGAAACCTCACAAGTCACAAATGTCCAAGCAAACTTCTTGATGTTCTGCAGCTGTGCACGGTAAAAACTCTTGACAATGGCACAGGAGGATTTAAATTGTCACTCTGCCTGTTGCAAATTAAATTTGAAAGGTTATGAGTAAAAAAGGCTTCCATACAGAATGAATAATAAAAAAAAAAAAACAATGTAACTGCAATTTTGAGCATATAAAAGATGTAAATACATAAATAAGAATTTTTAGTTAACTGAAATGTACACTCTATATATTCATGTCTCTGACCACAGATAGCTAGATTTTCATTACAATCATATATATGCAGAGTATGTGAAGCAGGTTTAAGTATTTGGTCAGAGATCTGTTCTTAAAGAAAAGCACAACCAACTAATACAGACACAAGCTGAGAAAAGAATTAAACTACATATACAAGACTTTCAAATCTATAAATCTGTCTCAACTCACTGTCACAGCACTCACAGACTTGGCTTTTGAGCTGCCCCTTCCCATTCACCAGGAGACTTGGTGGGTCGCCAAACACACAGTTCAGCCTGGGACGGGACTCAGGGGGAAGACAATTTTCAGCTCCAGTAACTACAACTCACAGCAGGGAAACACACCAGCTGAAGTTACTGTTTAGTCAATGGAGGCATCTAGAAAATGTGTTGAGCAACTGTTGCAGGGAACATCGCTTTTCTGTTCACAGTGCACTTTTGGTGTGACCCTTACTAAAATTCCCATGCCAGAACTGTAACCTTAGCACAGCAAAATGAGTGCTACAATCTTCCCCTTCATATGTGCTTCACATGAAGCACAGCATCTTATAGGTACTTTTTTCTCTTGAATAGCATGACTGATTCTGTTACTTAAGTAAGCACGTGCATGGAAACACGAAACTGAATCTATGTCGATGTCTTACATACTAAACACTTTCTACTTTCTGCTCACTCTCCTCCCAATCTTTTATCTGCATATCCCATCAGATCTTCTTTGCTGTAATATTCTGCCATGAACTCATACCGTTCTGACCGACAAGACTTTTCTAGACCTGTTTAGGCTGTAAGTACAGCCCAGATTCTGTGGGGATAAATCTATAAGGGACATGGACACAGGTATGGTGATGTTCAGCCTTAAGCAGAATCCATAGCCCTAAGACAAGGAACTCAAGTACCTACTGAAGGAAGAAAGCCTCAGAAATGCAACAGCACTATAAATAAGGAAGCATCCAAATTATCATAAAACAATAAATAGAGAAAAGTTGCAGAGAGAAAAGCATATTCCTTCTGGAATGCAGGCAGTTCCCCACATTGCAAAGTTTGATACCTACCTCAAACTGAGATTCACAGTCCATAATCCCCTCCCAAAAGGCAGCATGGGGGAGAAGGATATGTTTTACGAACACATCCAGATGCTGTGATTTCCCCTAGAGGGGTTTCTGTCAAATTCCTGTCCTGAGAGAGACACTAAAAACAGTTTTCATCCCTGCCACTCTTCCTCCCCACATAAAGCCTCCAGCAAGCTGACTTTCATGGTGGTTTGAAACACTTGCAACGTAGACTGTGCAGTTACACTGTGTTACCAACCCCTGGGTGGTGGTGGGTCTGTCAATCCTTTAAAAACACTGCCTACACTGTGTTTCACAACAGCAGGATATCCCCACTCTGTTTTGAGAAAACCTTCCAGCACCTGCTATTTAGCCTGTAATACAGACAGAAAAATCCTAGTAAAACAAGTCTATGTCAGAGCAACACAAATTCAACACACAAGCCTGGAAGAGAGAAAAAAAAAAAACATGGGCAGGTTTATCAGAGCAGCCACAGGGCAAAATTCAGCTGTGTACAACATGCCAACGCCAGGGCTAGAGAGTACTTCAGTAACATTATATAGCCAAAGATAATCCTAAATAAAGATCAGGAAACGCAAATAGAAGAGTAATCTACTTGGTATATTATCTAATCAAGAACTTTGTTTTGTAGGTATAAATGCACCATTGTTGTTCTGGATATCACTGCACTAAAAATATCACCAACTGTTCAAAATATATAAAACATACACTAAACTTTGACACTGAAATTTTGGCATATATTAGTTGTGTTCTCCAAATCATAAAATTTCTAACCTGTACATTTTGCTAAGTAGGGCCATGAAATGCACTTGCTCTGTGTGGGTAACTGTCCTTCCGGACATAACCCAGCTGGGTGGGATGTTAAAGATCACTATAAAATAAAGATATTGGAGACAAGTATGTGTTACTCCAATTAACCAAACAATTTATTATAAAACAGTCTGCAACACAGAGAAGCAAAGAACAGTTTTTCAGAAACACCACACTGAAACAAGAAAGTAGATCTGTTCATACAGAACATACTTCAATGATATCTTCATCTAGAAGATGAGAATTACTGAACGAAACAAGTCAATTGCTTCAAAGAGCCCGTGAATTTACAGGAAAACAAAAACATGAAGGTACTAACAAAATTGTCTGCTCTTTTTAAGTCCTTGTGTGGCATCTGGGAAACAAACATGGAGAACTTTTGAGTGAAGTTGCTTTTGGTCCACTCTACGAAAATAAACTACAGAGAAAAGTCATCTAAAGACATTCCTTTTCAAACCTGGAAAAATCATGAAATAAGCTTAAATCAGCTAGTCCAGGATAGCTTTGAAATCTTGACAAAGAGACGGTTCTGTCACTGTCTTCAGTAGTGCCATAGTATCCTTGGGGATCTTCTTGAATAGCCGCATCTTACCTACCAAAATATCAGAAACAATTCATTACTACTGCAAGTAACTAACAATTCTGTTTTAGGAAAAAAGCTAATAAAGTAATTAAATCAATATTAGCTGAATCCAATTAAAAAGTTGAAACATCTAGAATATGGGGATAAAAAAAAAGTTATAATAAAATACGCTACTATTCTTTTGCCTTTAAATCAGGCTAATAAATAAAAATGTTAAAAAATCATATGTTAAAATATTAACTAAGAAAGGCAAGTAGCAAATTCCTTCTCCTTTCCATTCCTCCTACTATGTCCTTGTAACACTTCTTTGTTTGGATTTAAGAATTTTTAAAGAATTTTGAAAAGCGTAAGACCATTTATTCAATAACTATATACACTAAAAAAGGCCCACTGTCAAATCACAGTTACTTCAAGAGACCCTATTTTAAACACTGCAAAGGACAAGGGACAGATCCTTATCTGGTTGCTTATGTTTGCCTACAGCAGGATGGTATTCTCACAGTGTTTCTTTTCCCCTCTACTTTCAGGTATGACATCACAGTAGCCTATGCTTGGAACTGACATATATAAAAAGATTTAAAAAAATAAAATCACATGGAAAATGCACTTTTTTTCTATATGTTGGCATAAGCAATTCTCTTCACTGTGTTTCCTTGTAAGAAAAGAGAGGCTAACTGGAAAGCCACCCTTGCAGTGGAAAATTTTGGAAACTAGGCAAGGCTCTTAAATCGTAACATTTTTGAAACACAGAAAGTCGTTGAGTCTACCACCGACAGAACCAATGACAACAAAAAGGACTATTTAAAGATTAGGAAGAACGTGTAAAATCCTAGCAACAGTTCAAGTCCGTTACCTAAACAGAGTTGGCAAAATTGTCAATGGTGCAGAAAGGCAGAAGTGCTCAATAAACATTTGTTCTGTATTTGGAAAGGAGACAGATGATGTATTGATATCTTATCATGATAAGGAAAGACTCTTGCTCCTTTCCCCACTGGTAATAATAGGAGGGATGTTAAACAGTAACTATGCTTTAAATACCTAACTCTGAAGAATGACGACAACTCATTCTGACAAGCCTATGATATTGATATTTAACAGGTTTTGGAATAGTGGGAAGAACATCCTCCCCAAAACCTATGAGCTTGATATCGATTCCCATGGAGAGTAACAGAAAGGCATGCACAGGGACACAACAAAAAGAATTAAGTTTCTATCAATTCCTGTCAACGTGATCTTGCAGGGGAAATAGGTTCTATATAGCCGGTACGAACTCCCAAATGGCAACACGAGGTGTAGTGGTTAGGTTAACACAGGCACTATTACCAGCCTTGGTTCCCTCTATGCTACAGATTGCTGTGTCATACAGAGATACTGAGCTAATTTCACAGGACAACACCTGAGAAGCATGAGCTTTCCTGTCACAGCTACTCTGACATCCACACGTGCCACCTGATTTCCAGAAGTAAGACAAAACTTAAAAGACAGTGCTTAAAATTAGCTCCAGTATCTCTGCATAATGCTCAGCTCTGTAGCAACCTTCTCTAGAGCATGATGCTCTGATTACAATAACATCACTCAGGAAAAAGTCTGATGCAGGCCAAACAAAACTAATTTATAAAACTGCGTTGAAAACTATCTATCGATGTCTCTTTAAATGAATTTTAATGTGTTTCTGCAGGATTAGGAGACTTAGTGTCTCACTAAATTTGGAAGAAAACACAAGTACAAACACCATGTACGATCAGGTGACTGAAAAACAGCCTTTATCTATGATCAGAGATCTTGGAGACATGGAGATAACGACGCACGTTCACACCAAGGGTATGCATATGACTTATTACTGTAGATCACAAGATGTCTTTGTACAGCTCTGTACCAGCACACTGATGCCTCGCCTTCCCTCCTGCTCAGCCCCTAGCTGGGGCATCTGGTGCCTTCTCAGCTCCTTTTCAAAAGCAGTTTGAAATTATTTTTAAAATTTTATTCAACTCATAAAGGAAGACGAAAGGCAAGCGGGAAGCAAATATACTTGCAGTAAAAGCACTTCTCAAAATTACAGTCCCTGGTAAGTCCCTGGTAAGTATTCAGGTTGGAAGAATTTCTCAGTATTGTATAATAAAACCGCCCAAGTAATGATTCATTCAGAGCATGAATTACGGAGTCAGTGTTGAGAGTCTGGCCTTCACTGCAGCCAAATTCAACAACAGTGCTGACTGCTCCAGAAAAACCTACAGCTGTTCATTTTCAGTATCTTAGAACTGAAAATTCTATTATTTCTGTGGCTGGCCCGGGGACAGACCACACAACTGGTCAAAGAGCAAGCTTTCCACGAGCAGACAGCTTTTTTCATTGAGTAGAAGAACCAAAGATTTGCCAACACCACTTAACTCCATTGCAATATGCAGCGCAGCAAGCGCTTCTGTTTCAAAGTGACCCCAGTAACACTTTTATTTTGGTAAAGAGTTTACATTGCAAGAGGAACTTATTTAGTTGCCAATTAATCTACATTTTTTAAAAAAAGAAAACTGAGCATTTGTATTTCATTTAGTTAAACCCACTGAGAATGCTTATATGATTAACCCAATCTTATTAAGATTTCTGAACTGTACAAGCTTATTGAGTGCTAAGTATCAATAGCTGCCTCTGAAGAACATGGCTCTAGAATGTGCAGTGCTGAAAAACATACAATTTTCATTTGCCTGCTTATACTTAGTAAATTTGATTAAAATCAGAAAGTTCATCAATCCACATTTTAAACCAACACTTTATGACAAGAAAACATAAAAAATCCAAGTTTTACTCCAAGTTTTACTGACATTAACCATATTTCAAACTGTAAAAATAACCAAATACTTACAGATTTTTAGGGGCTTAAGCAAGCATTTGTAAACAACTTTGTGGTTTGCCAGTTTGACAGTGAAAGCATGGTAGCAGAGCCATTCTGCTGCCTCAGAAGGGAACAGGCCAGATGCACCTTTGTTACCTAAAGTTACCCCTAGAGACAGAACAGGAAATTAATGTCACTGGAGATGATGAGCATTAAGAAGTATGTCTGACCCCTCCTCTTTCCATAAAATCACTCCAAGATTTTTTATGAAAAACCTCTTTAGTCAATGAAGTCTCCCATGTCAACAGAAGACTAAAAACTAAAATCTGAAACATTTACTATTTTCAGGAAATTGAATTTAAGAAAAAAAATGCACCGTGCATTTTTTAGTACGCTATCATGCACTCCATATTTTTCACTCTTGGTCTTTATCTCAAAATGACATGAACTGACTGCACATACAAGACATTTTATTTGTCTAAAAAACAAAGCAAAGCAAACCAAACCAAACCCAAACATGCTACTTCTGGGTCATTAACATATTATACCTGCATTTTTTGCTTTCAGGATAGAATAGCCATATGATGCAGTTTCAGAGATGATCCTTAGGAAGAAATAAGGATTGTTTCTAACTTGCTGGTTGAATGGAAGTTGGAGAACACAGGCATGGAACCTGTTCACAAAATCAGGGTATTTAATTACAAGTCATTCGCAATTTTGAGTGAAACTTAGGCACTATAAAAAATTTAAAAGCACCCAACAGTCTTTAGCTAAGAGATTTAGATTTAGATTAGACGTCATGAAGAAATTCTTTACTGTGAGGGTGGTGAGGCACTGGAACAGGTTGCCCATAGAAGTTGTGAATGCCCCATCCCTGGAGGTGTTCAAGGCCAGGCTGGATGGGGCTTTGAGCAACCTGGTCTGGTGGGAGGTGTCCCTGCCCATGGCAGGGGGGTTGGAACCTTTAAGGTCCCTTCCACCCCCAATCATTTTATGATTCTATGACATTAACACTGTTAGTGTACCACTCCCCTCCTATATATAACACATCCCTACAGAGTCAAACACATATGAAATTTGTTTGCAAATTCTGTTCTGATTTAAGTGAAACTTCCTATGTTCCAGCTTGTGCCCATTGCCCCTCATCCTATTGCTGGAAACCACTGAAGAGAGTCTGGCTCCATCATCCTTCAACCTACCCTTTAGGAACTTGTAAACATATTTTTACTCAACAATGCATATACTTGCTTATTAAATTAACGCAGCATAAGTGTAATCACTTCAAGAAACTCTGAAATCTTAAAATATTTAAAGGATAAACAATTACCACACTGCATCACAGAGCTCTGGCTGAATTAACCTGATGTGTTGCTAGCTTAGTGGACAGTTTTTTAAAGGTACTCTAACATAAAGACCTTTGTTAGAGAGTTACCATAAAAGCAAACGGAAATAACTAAGTAACTATGTCCAACATACGAGAAAAAACCTAAATCACTCACAACACGAAGTTTAAGAGTCTGGACACATCAGTTCTGCAGTAGACAAGTCCAATTACACTCTTGGACATAAGAACAATACAGGCTTAATTTGGATCAAGCTGAATTTTAGAACAACACTAAAATGTCGCTTCCTAACAAGTATGAGCCTAGCAAAAGAGCAACAGCTGATTTCTGTGAAGAGGAAAGCACTTCTTATACCTTTTTTTTTTTGCATTAAAACAATAAACAAACAATGGGGGTGCCAATCATTCAAAGTTTTCGACGCACAGAAATTAGTATTTTCTCCCAACTTGCTTATCAGTTTTGATTTCCTTCCCTTTATCTTTGTTTAAAACATTCACTTCCTCTGCTGGCCAAAAACAGCTCACAAAACCCACGATATTACCAGCTAAGGAGCAATTAAGATATTATCAGCAGCTAAGAATCTGCAATTAACTTGGTAGAATAAAACCTCACTTAAGGCAAAGTTATGCAGGTCAAAGTTCTATATGATTTTAATAGATACAAAGTTCTAAATATAAACTGGTTAATGAGTGATAAGGCTTCTTGTCATCCTTCTGCAGTAAAACAAACTGCTTTTCTTGAGGTCAGCTGTCAATACCAAGAGACATTGAAAATCCATTCAGCAAAGTGTCACAAACACACACCCCCCAATATTATCTAAAAATAGCCTTGAAACAAGAATAATGTGACTTACTCCTGACATTTACCACTGCACATTCATATGGCACACTTTTTCCTAATCCATAGCTCCTCCCTGTGTCAAGAATGAGTAATGAAATATTCTGAGTTACTGCAGAAGATAGTGACATACCTGTAAGCCTGAAGTAAAAATATCTTGTAGATGTTAATGAAAACTGTTCTAAGGCTGTTGATCTAGAACAGGACAGAACAGAAACAGAGGTATAGGAATATTTTAGGGTTGTGATAGGATTTTTTTAAGTTCAATAACATAAGATGATTTAGAGACCTAGAGAAAAAACATTTTATGCTAATACTTTAAAGATTTCTTTTATGTACCTAAGTTAACAATGTTGTGAAGGCTCAGCTCTGGAAGGTGCTGAGACCCCACTTGTTAGTTTATGTCAACATTTCCTAGTTATGTGGATTACCTCTCAAAATCAACTCTTTATGTTAGAACTCAAAGCAGTTTTAATGCTCTTTATCACTAATCACAATATTTCCAAACATCTGTTTCCATATTCCCACCTGTAAATCAAGAAATAAACAATGGCATTTCAGTTTGAGGACTGTGATCAGTTTGTATTTCATGTTTTTCCCAGCTGTTCTACTTGAATTGAAGGAAAGACTTGATCTGATAGAAGTGCAGGTATAACTAGGAAGAAAAAAAAAAAGGAAAAAGTAGTTAAACAAACTCCGTGGGCTAACAGACTAAATCAAATTCGGCAAAGTAAGCCTCATTTAACTTCTCATGTTACAGAGATTGCCTGCTAGTAAATGAGCCAGTAGTTAAAAGATGATTATAACTAAATTCAATTTAGAAAGAGACTAGGCATTGTGGCAATAAGGCTACTAGCTACGGAGTGACTTCAGTACCTCAGGGCTGAATAAATTCACCCTGCTAAAAAAACCAAACCAACACCCTTAAACACAAACTAGCTGTATTTCTAGAACCCATGGCCTAGCCAGACCTTTATTAACGACTCCAGTGACAACCAGGTTATACTCCACTGTGATCCATCCTCCAACACAGGAGCTTAGGCTGGAAACCACCTCAGTTCACCCTGGCGTTCCAATTACTTAAATCAAGCTTATCAAAAGCAAGGCAGCCCTTGTAACAAGTACCCTCAAGGTTCTGCTTAGTGTCTCCCAGACCAGTAGCACGAAAGCCCTCATCAACACAAATTGTTTCTTTTAGAAACACAGCTAGTAAATAAATCTCTTTGGCTGCTGATTTTAGTCCTCTGTTGTTACAGAAAATCATGTCATATAAATTCCTGTCCTAAACTGACCAAGCTTTTCTGTTTAGGAAGACAACTTTACCACTCCAATGATGGAAAACCTCCTCGCAATTTCCCACTTAAATGTATGCATGGTCTGTTTATACTAAATATGGTTTTATCCTTCAGTTTAAACAGCTATTTCTTGTAAAACTTTAGCAAATGTCCAATGGCATCTCTGTAAAGGATCTACAGAGCTTTTCCAGTAGGATACACTGTCCCATACTGACACTTCAGGCTGCTTTGTGTATTGTCCCAAGCGCTTTGTGTATCGTGCTCCTGCCAAGGTTGCTGGTTTAAAAAGAGATTACTTCCCCCCTACACTATCATCTGCAGTGTACCAGAGGGAATACCTCTGATGTTGAAAGGATTACTAGTCCCTCTAGTCTATACAAAATTAATCCCAATCTGTAATTCATGTAATACTTACTGCTTCTTCTAGCAAGGTACAAAAAATTAACAATTTCTGAGCAATAAATGTAGTTATATGACATCAGGTACAATGCAGTGCATAATGGTTAAAGAAGCTGAACTGAGGTGATTGAATAAACTGCATCAGAACTACATAGCCACCATATGGTATATGACTTCTGGTCACTAGCGACTTGTGCTACATTTGATGGCATTAATGATACATACATCCCACTGGGATGGAATGAAGAAAATAGCAGCCTGCACAGCAGAATAAAATGTTTAAATTATGGTTTAGGAAACAGAATTGTAAAAATCTATTTTGCAGTTAATTCAGCTACACCATTCACAAGACACCCTTGTGCTTCTCACACTGTGTATGATATAGTCTAAAGCTGACACTGGAGAATACAATTCTATTTACCTGGAGTAATCGCAGTAAACCTCAAGTGTCTGTATATCTAATAATAAACCACACCACGGGATCAAACGACAATCTGGCAGCTGTTTAAATTTGGAACATCCTGGGATATCATCAACAGGAAAATTCACGACTGTCTTATTGGGGTTTATTAAAAAGCCATACTCAGGAATACCTGTTGCTAGAGTCCTAAAACAGATAAAACCAGTTAGTCTAATTCGCCCCCCAAAAGCAAGCAGAAAATCCCACCATGCTGCAAGACACATATGATCTTGCATAAAAGGACAGAAACCAAAGAATAAAGGGAGCCATGGCCAATGCTTTAGGTTAAGGAACACAGCTAGAAATAAATGAAATTGAAGACATTAGAGGTAAATAAATACATAAATAAATAAGCTGAAGGATACAAGGATAACAGAGAGAAACTTTTACAAATTAATGCAAAGTAAGAACTTAAGCCATGAAAACATTTGAGACAAGCTACATAAACCTCATTATCAGAAACCACTGAGATTAAGATCTCTGGAAAAAGACAGATGAGGAGTTACCGGTTTTGAAAGTTAACGAAAACAAGGAGAATCCACATAACAGGAACCTTGTTTATCCGATGAAAAGTTTTGAGCTTTCTCCACAAAGTTTTCCCTAAAGATGATTTCATTGCCAGAACGCCTGCTGATTACCTACTAGACATTGGATGAGCAGCATCATCTCATGGACAAGCAGCAGTTTGTCCTACTCGGCAATGTATTCATGTGCAGTTCTCAGCCTTTCAAAGAGTAAGACTAAGAGGTAGGCTCTTCTTGTTGGGGAGTAATAATCATAATGCTGTCTCCTCAAAATTAAGTTTCTTGAGTCCTCCAGTTCTAATACTACATTAGAAAAAAGCTGTTACTACTCTATTTGTGGCAGAGAGTTCATAGGATCTGTAAGCAGATCTGGAAAGCTTGCACAGAAGAGGTTACTTGTCTACAGAAAATCAACGCAGCTGATACAGAAATTGATATAGGACAAAGATGCTGATAGCTCCAAAGAGCAAGCGGAACAATTTCTGCAATGCTACTGCAAGTGACATTATGCTGAAAAGAGGTTATGGAGATTAATAGCTTGAGGCATCCCCTGTTTCTTAGTTTGAATTATCATTTCCAGAACTGTACATCTGCACATCCCTAGAAATTTCCTTCTGTTCTGATAAGGAAATGAGGACAAATGAAGTCTTCAAAGTACACTATTCACTATTTAGTAGAATTTATACTTCAAACTCTACCTAATTGATGTTCCCATCACCTTTCAGGCTCACAACAGAACTACATCTTTCTGACTATTGTAAAGCATGATGCACGACTGTATTGCAGATGCTAAGCTTTTCTTCAAGAACTCTCCTTTGGATCCTTAAAAATGACCTTGGCATCTGCAGAACTCTGCTTGGACACTGACTGCATGTTCATATCCACAGTTCAAGGCCCAGATTTTTTTATAGAAAAGGTAGTTCTGAAGCACTCTAAAGAATCTAAAAAATTACTGTTTGAAAACAACTGTGTGAGCTGCATGCTGCCGTGCTATCAGTATCTTCAAATACTCACCCCAGAATGTTAATGATCAGAAAATTCTTAGCAATATTGGATCAGGGAATAGCATTATTGGATCAGGCAGCAGCATGCCAGCCCAATAAAAACATTTTAAGAATGTAATTAAGATATCCTAAAACATTTGAGTGAAAATGGTCTTAAAAGACAACTGTCAGCTGCTTTGGTTAGTCTGCACTACTAATTGCTGCTAGAACCTCCATCAAGGTCAGTAGCTAGGTCCCTAATTTAAACCTCAGCAGGAATCCCCCATCATCTGAGCTGTACCAGACTGTTAGCTGTCCATCCATTATGTAGCTATTGGGATTCTTTCCAGGCACAGGCTACCAGCAAGGACTCCAAACCAGCCCTTGATTTTTAACCCCTAAAACAAATATAGTTATATGTACAAGCATGTATAAAGATCAAAATGAATGACCTAAAAAGTGTTAATGCTTATTAATTTGAAGACCATGTATTTTACAGCATACCTTAGAAAAGTTCTTGCCTGTGTTAAATGTGGCGTAACCAGCAAAAAGTCATCAATGAGACGTATTAGGACTCTGTAATCAAGAAGAAACTGATGTTAGATTTTTTTGATATATAACCCTTTCAAATTTTTTTCATACTCTTCAGAGCAACAACGTGCCCGTTTTAATTCACAAGAAGGTAGAGGCCAATATGATCTCCAAATCGAGTCTCATGAAGAAATTCTCAGTTCTGCTTCTTTCCTAAAAATAAATGAAAAAAAAATAAAAGTAAGAAAGCAAAAGGGCTGGCTACATGAAACATGACAGGAATTACAGCACACAAGCTACTCCACAACAGCTTCTTGGATGCAGGGTTTTACACTTTTCCAAGGGAGAAACTGCAGTATCTTCATACACAATACAAGGAAAGGAGATGTAATACCAGGTACACAAGCAGATACCGGATGCTTGAGGTACTCTAATTCTGTAGCTTCGTTTACCATGTAATAACTTGTTTGTGAAGCTATAACTTGAATGTCGAAGTCTACCACTGTAAATGCAGGAATTTTCTTTTTCAACAGAATTCAGGCCCCAAGCATGCCCATAATTTTCTGATAAATCCTGCCTAGTAGATATCATGCCCCATCCCTGGAAGTGTTCAAGGCCAGGCTGGATGGGGCTTTGAGCAACCTGGTCTAGTGGAAGGTATCCCTGCCCATGGCAGGGGGGTTGGAACTTGATCTTTAAGGTACCTTCCAACTCTAACCATTCTATGATTCTATCACAGAGAAGAAGCTCTGGAGATGATCTTGTCCTGTCTCCTTTTCAAAGCAGGAGTACTGCTGTCACTACAATCAGATCAGCTGCACCTTTGCCTAACCAAGTCAATAGCAAGGTTACTTTTTTGACAAAGGCAAATGAAACTATCAAAATCATTCAACAGACACCTAAGTAACAGTCTACAATCTGCTCTATATAAAAACAGCTGCTACATAAAAAAGTGCATTCTTCTCAATCAGTTTCGTAATTTCAGTATGTATAAACAAAATCCTTTGAAAGCAAACGATTGCTGTTTATATTCATATCATCACAGCTTCCCAATATCTATGAGAACTCTACTACTTGCATAGGGAAATGTTCTTAGTTTCTTTATTCTTTCTTAGGACAGAATTCACAGCATTGTGTTATGCATGAACACAGACAAGCTTCAGGGGGCTCACCAACACCTATCTCTTGCCTAAAGACCCTAATCGGGGATTCAGCTGGGAATCAGTTTATACAGAGGTAAAAGGGACCCTACAGTTTTTAGGCTCATAAAGAGGTAGAGCTTTTACCAAGCTAGCTTCCTGTCAAGCTCCTAAGAAGTGAGCATGATCAGGGCACAAACACTTAGAAGATGTACCAAGAGCCACATAGGACTTCAAATAAGAACCAACATGCCTTGTAAAGAGTTGGCAATAAAGCTGTGACCTTGATAACATGTTAAGATCTACAGATGGTGGACTGGAAAGCCTTCCGGCAGAAGGGGTATCAGAAAGCCTGTAACCAACATAGTATCTTGTTTGAGGGAAAAAGACCACAATTTCTGTGGGAATGAGTGTGAGAGAGCTATAAACTTCTTACATCAAAAGATGCATTGCTGGCAGGTCCAGAGAGGTGACTCTTCCGCTTTACTCTGCTCTGGTAAGACCTCACCTGGAGTATTGTGTACAGGTCTGAAGCCCTCAATATAGGAAAGACATGAACCTGATGCAGCAGGTCCAGAGGAGGGCCATGAGGATGATCAGGGGGTTGGAGCACCTCTGCTACGGGGACAGGCTGAGGGAGCTGGGGTTGTTCAGCCTGGAGAAGAGGAGGCTCCAGGGAGACCTAATAGCGGCCTTCCAGTACCTGAGGGCGGCCTACAGGAAGGCTGGGGAGATTCTGTTTACAAAGGCCTGTAGTGACAGGACAAGGGGCAATGGCTTTAAGCTGGAGGGGAGCAGGTTTAGATTGGAGATGAGGAGAAAGTTCTTCACTGTGAGGGTGGTGGAGCACTGGAACAGGTTGCCCAGGGAAGTGGTTGAGGCCCCATCTCTGGAGATTTCAAGGTGAGACTCGACGAGGCCCTGGGCAACCTGGTCTAGTTGGGGGTGTCCCTGCTGACTGCACGGAGGGTGGACTAGATGACCTTTGGAGGTCCCTTCCGGCCTGGACCATTCTATGATTCTACATGTACAAGACAAGCTTGTCAGACTCTTTACAGCATCCCTAAATATTGTGCTCTTTGTAAGAACACATCTGCCATCCACAAATCTGACGCAGCTTCTTTTCGGTACTTTTCTTCCCAATCTTATGACAAACAGGGAGATTCCCCCACAAAACAACCACAGTGACACTGAAGCTGTAGAGATCTTTGTGTGCACCATGTTTCCTAATGGAGAGTTGAAAATCCTTGAAATTCAAAATTAAACTTCAGAGAAAATGTCACACATACACTATACTATATATATTATAAACATGTATACTGTAATATACACACTAAGTATATACTAAACCCACATATACTATACATTATGCATTACTATAACAGAGCACAGAACAAAGCACGCTTACCCATCCTGCTGTACTCCACAGAGCAATTTGTTTTCCATGTCTCCATAGCATAAGCTGCAAAGTAAAGTTGACAAAATGGAGCCCTGTGGAATTCCACAGCACTGTAAGTAGTATCTAGTAAAGACCAAAAGAAAACAAAAGAAAACAAAAAACCCTCAAAACATGCAAGAAGAAGATTCCAATAGCCATTAAATATTAACTTTGCATTTTCAAGTGTAAAGTATATGTTCAATAAGAAATATGCTACGTGCTTGCTAGTTAGCCTTACTTAAATTTGTTTGTTCTTTCCTCTAGGAATCTGCATAGGGCTCCAGAAATTTTAAGTTAAAACAGTGAAAAAACACGCTAATACACATATTCCTTTCTTATTAACAAACTCCAGCAGACAACTGTCATTAAAGGAAAGACATTTTATAACTAATTGCAAATGGCAATGCCTCCTTCCTCCTTCAGCTGCAGAGCTACCCTTCATTTAAGCTTTGTAATTCTTTATGTTACATTTTACATAGCTCCAAAACAAGTGTTCTTGTAGAAGAAACAAAGTGCAATGGACAAACCTTTCAAACTAGAATTTATTTATTTTTAATTATTATCCAAACAGCTCCTAGCAGATGCCCACTAAAAATCAATAGTCTGAAGCTCATACTGTATGTTAACATCAGGAATTAAATTCAGGTAGATTTGGAGATGGAACATTTCCCACTTTTCTCAGGAATAGCAGACATCCACAATTAATTAAAATAGAAATGTTCACCACTTACCTTGCTAAGTTTTCTAAAAATAAATTAAAAAAAAGAAATCTATTTCAGCAGCACAAGTCAGAGTATCTTTTGAAATTATTTCGTAGTTACACATATTTAATTTAAATTAATATTAATTTAATTTAAATTTAAATGTTAATCCTTTGTTTATACTTGCACAGCATGATCTGGCCAAAGAAAATATTTTCTTGGGCTTCTGGTTTTGGGTTTGTTTTGTTTTTCCACAAATAAACATCAGTCTAATTTTAGGGAAATTCCTGATGGCTTAGTCCAATAGAGCATGTGATTTGGTTTTATACATCACAGCTATGGTGTAAATCACATTCACTTCCTCATTTAACTGCTTAGGCATGAAGCTATCTTACTTCTAATTGGGAAAAAAACAATCCATCCTGTGAAATGCTAACCGTTATTATTTGCAATTATACTCAACCTCCCCTTCTCCTTGAAAAGTTCACTGAAGTTGCCAAAAAGAGTCAATCTTGATTCGTTTCTCATGGCTTCAAAGAATTCATGTGGACATAGCCGGGGGAGGTTCATTAATACTTCCTGTCTTGTTACTTACATAAAGCTAGTCATAGTAATGGATCACATCAAGTTATGCAACTGAAGACAGAGTTGCACATTACCTTGTAGAATGAGTACACCTCACAAAACTCAAGCAAATTATTTTCACAACGCTCCTTGAAAGTAGTGAGATATTATAATGTCCACTTTACCATTACCACATGAATGGTTTAGTGAAACAGAGGAGAATGAAATTATGCAACTGGACACAAGAGCCACATACTACAGTCTAGCAGTGATCTTATCTATGTTCTGAGTCATCTGCAAATTTTTCTAGCAGTAATGTTACATTTTTCCCCACTTTTGATAAATATATTAAATGGTATTAAAAGATTCCTTCTACGTCTCCAGCTCAACAATCAGCATTTTTCTCAAAACATCAAGTGAATGTTGACTAACTGTGATGGCTTTTTGACAACCATTGATTAAAGAGTGTATTCGTTTACTAAACTTATTTGCAGTTTTGGGGTTTTTTTTGAACAAATGAGAATGAGCTACTCAAAAAGGGGAAATTCATTCCATAACAGTATTTTTTCAGCCAAGTCAGCCAAGCTGTGACTGAATTTAAATAAGTATGAAGCTGGCTTTGTCAGGGCGTGCTTTCCTTAAAACCATTAAACTTTTAATAAACATACCGGTGTCAGCTAGTCCTTATTAATGGCATGCCATGTCAGCGTTTTCATGATCCTGCCAAAGGGAGTGTAAGCATCTGTGCTAGAAAAAACTATAAACACACTTATATTTGCCTCCTTGAAAGCTTTTCTCCCACTCCCTCAACTTTGTGAGATTAAGCTTTCTAAAAATAAAGGTATTTTTTCACAAACAAGAAGCTATTCATGCTATTATACCTCACTCAGAATAAAGATCACATAACTAGACATTTGCCACCTAGAGGCAAAACATAATCAGCTTTTCTAGCAACACAAGAAGAAATCTGCATTACTACCCTCTCTCTAACATCTGATTCCTAGTTTCGGAGTTGCAAATAATTTTAATTCCTACTGCTATTGCCTATTTTTATTGCAAGTTGCCAAATAGCAAGGCCATGCAGAAAAGGGTTAATTTTGCACTACAGGGAAATGACTAACAAGGCTTTTGCATGATTGCTTGGATGCTACCTTGCTTTTGTTCACCACTATGGATTCCAAAGTATTTTTCTTTTGAATTACATTTCCAGTTTTAAATAAAGGTGGTTACAGATTTTAGAATTATGCATTCTGTTTATAGTCAACATCATCCAGCTGGGAAAGAGAATTTTTATTCAAATACAAATTTGATGCCAAACTCTTCATGCTTTTATGGAGCTTAAACCGATAAACAGATTTTAAATTAATGTGAAATAAGAAAGCTCTCTGTAAAAGACAGCTATCAAAAATCCCCTGAGCCAATGAAAAGCATCCTGCTTAACAGAAAAAAAAAAAAAAACAAACAAGAAAACCCAAACACACTATATAAGGAAAAACTAACTTTTTTTACCTGCTCCCAATCTCCAGGATGTTGTTATGTATCATTTGAAGGAAAAAAGTAAACAGGCTGGAACTTGTCTCATTAAAAGTTAAGCTCTAGAAATGGGACAAAACAAAACAAGATTTTTATTTCAGAAATTCATTGAAACTAAAAATCCGGTATAAACTCAGAAGATACACAGAAGCCATTACGAAAAGCTAGACTGAAGTAGTGCAAACCTCTAAGGTAAGAAACAAAACATCTAACACCAATATCTGAATATTTACTGAATATATACACTAAAAAGCTGCTCATCTCCAAGAAGTGAATGGTGCAGTTCATTTTTGTTTTGCTTCAGAAGAAAAGAAGTTTTGATTGGTGTTACAAGGGAAAATATAATATCCAAACCCACTTTTTTAAGTGCTGGTATATTATATTGGATTATTACAATGTATAAGACATCAGTCTTTTGGCCACTTTCTATCCTGCAGGACAATTTCTGTAACTGTCATGTTCTTTACAATTCCAGAAGTATAGATACACTCACTTTCCAGTTCTGCTGCAAAACCCTTTCTGCTGCAAAACTGACTGACTGTCCATCCAATATTTGTGAAGTTTTTCGTTTTAAAAATTGTGTAATATAAAATTAATTTAGAGCAGATTAAACCCCTTTAATAATGACTTCATGAGAACTAAAGGAAAATTACTTCCTGTTTGCATAGATTAGACATCAGACGAATGCTCTCAGCTTTCAAAAGAGCTGTGTGAGATGATGGTTATTTGTATTGAAGAGCTAACACGATGTACCTGTGGCACCCACGCCCAGGCTGACATGACACTTTTCTCAGAATAAGTTTGGTTTTTTTAAGAAAAAGTACTATCACACACACAAATTGTTTTCAAATGCAGCATATTTTGAAATAGGATGCTGCTGTTCACGTAATGTCTACCATAGTTATCTAAATCAGATGTCCACTGGAAAAAAGAACAAAAAGAACCTACATAGGCATCATCATCATAGATCCAACTAGTTTTCATTTTCATTCACGTACTCACTAGGCTCTCTGCACTTTGTAGGATCCTGGAATTGTGCACAAAGTATATTCTACTCCTATACCCATAGATACATAAAATCATTTTACTTGTATGCTAGAAGCATAAATTACCCTATATAAAAATTTTTCACTGACAAGTTTAGAAAAAGAAAAATTAAAGATGAAGTAGTCTGTGAGAAGATACCTGTCAGGAATCTTGTAGGTTGTTATCATGGAACACCATGATGCCAAGAAAAAAAATGCATTAATAAACCGATTGAGCATATAATATACTTCTATGCCTTTTTCTGGCATGCTCCTTGAACAGAAGGAAGTCTTGAGAACAAATATCTGCAATTAGTACAGTTCTCTGCAGGACAAGAATTAAAACAACAGAAGGATGCTTGTTTCTTGAAACAAAGCATCAGCTGGAGTAAACTTAAGATAAATATAATTTTTAGCCCTACTTTGATTCACTGAAAGTGAGAAAACTCTTTAAACAAAAAAATACAAGAATTAATCTTGTTTTGTGCTGCATTTTAACTCTTCTAAAGAAGAGATCATTCTTATCAACCTTGGCAGGTAATCATTAAAATAAGCTTGCTTTTTTTTTTTTTTTTAGGTCATTTTTCTATTCTGTGCAGTTTGCTATTCAAGATGCCACATCCATTTCCTCAGCTACTTAGCTTAGAATACATTTTGGTCATTCTTACTTCTGTATGTTTTGGAGATAGCAACTTTTGAAGCCCTGCTTTACTGAATAGTTAAGTTCTCGCTTGAGAACTGTTGCAACAAACAATGGAGTTAGGAAAGGAAAAAGAAAACACTGGTTAGTAGGAAAGTCTGAAACACTGAGAAAATCTGGGAGAAGTCTAGAAGGATATTTTGTTAGATTTCTTGCCTGTTTTATTCCTTCCACTGAATAAAGAACCTGTTATAAACAGCAAAGAAGAGACGAAAAAAAATTTTCTACAGAAGCTGCTGGGTAACTAGAAGAGAGGTGGTGTCATCACATAATATGTACATTCAATTAAAAATCCCAATCTTCCTCCAATTCTTCTGTAGCTTTCTTTTTCAGTTGAAAAGAAATCTCCCAATACTTACCTGTTCAACTATTATTGCATTTTGCAATGAGGTATTCTCCTGAAGCTGACACACAAACTGCTTCATGTCTGGCATAAAATCCTTGAAAGTAGAAACCTACATATTGAGTGTAAAGAAATAAATGACAAAAGCAATAGAAAATTCAGTACCAGATTCTTTTATTCAGAGAAGGTCAAAGGGCCAGCCTTATTGCATTATTTTAATCTGACAATTCTGCTATTGTTAAAATGAATTAGCTCCCTCACATATCTCTATTTCCACAACACATTTATGTTTATTCTTTTTAATGTTAAATAAAAAGTATAAAAAGTAAGGAGTAAAAAGAAGCTTTGCTACTTCTGGAGAATATCCAACACTATTAAAAAGAGTTTATGAAGTAATTATCTAATTAAAATTGTGACTATAAAAAAAGCTATAAACAAAAATATTCATTGGACCAAAATGTATCTACAGCAGCAAATAAAAGAAACCAGCAAGTCATACATGTCTCCTATAGAACCTCCTGGCTTTTCCACTTGTGGTAATCATAATCACAGCATAGCGCCGTATGCAGTAGACAGTTCTTTTCTCAGGGTTTAAGATCCGTGAAATCACTTCCACAAGTTTATCATGAGGAATAGTATCATAAGCCCTGGACACATCAGCCTGAAACAGAAGAAATATCTTCCATTATGCATTTGTCAGTATCACTGTAAACACTGTGGTAGTATGAAAAAAGTATTGTTGTAGTACGTAAACAAGGCTGAAGGATAAATTACACAGGAGTGAAATTACTGCATCTTTTAGTCCAAATTTGTGACAAAATAAAAACTCATTGCTTATCTGCAAAACCGCTCCTCGCTCACTAATGACTTTTCCCTTACAAGGGATAACCAAACCATCAGTTTTAGCACAATTCTTGTTATTAACAGAAGATGATACCGTATGTAACCTTAAATCTATCACGGAATCTTCAATCAGTTTACTAAAGTTTATTGCTGATACTTTTATACGTTTAAGTATTTTAAGAATACTTCCTCTCCAGATGATCACAGAGATGGTATCTTAGGCTTCTGAAAAGCTGCAAAGCCACAGGTTTTACATTTCCTAAACCTCATACTGCTATTTTAACTCTGCTTTTACTTGTCACAGTCAAAATTCAAAACGTTCTAAAGAAGCAACAATCTTCAGAGAACTGTGTCAATATCATGATTCTTTGGCTTGAAAGATGATGAGACATCACTGAAAGTAATTTCAGGAAAGTATGACACCTGGGATATGAAAACACAAGACAGAATTCCCACTATAATATATATAAAACTGTGTAATTTACGTATGTCTGTATAAATCGCCCTAATTCTAAGGTATGAACTGAGCTCAAAGGTCACCTGCTTGACGTAACTGAAAAACAAAAGTGTTAAGAAGAAACTTCTTCAAACAGTGGGATACAACGAGCACTAATTTGTTTTAAGTGGGAGAAGAAAACTGTTGGAGAGACACTAGAGTACAAGTGTTCACTTTCTACAGAAATTAATGATACTGAGATAGAAAAAGACCTGTTTTTAAAAACATGATGAATTTATCCAAATGCACATAGCAAGTTTTTCCTGGTTTTCCTTTGGGAAGACGGTCCTAAAAATATATCTGAGTTTTGTCCCATTTTTATACCCAAGTAAATGTAACTGCAAAAATCCAGTGCATGTGTAGAAGCAAGAGCTGCTACATGACAGAAAAGATGGACAGAAAAATGTCCAAGTAGAGGAAGCACTACTATAGGGACAACCCTTCCTCAAAAAAATCAACCAACCCACCCACCCCAAAAAAACAACCAGAGTCTGTGTTAGGTATGCACAAAAGTTTATTTTGAATATTTTGAAAAGGACATAATTATGCACTCAGATCACAGCTACTACAACTATCGAAGTATCTGCACAAGTAGACTTCGAAAAGTTAGTTTGAATATGTAATTAAAAAAACATACCTTTACATAGTAGAAATGAGGAATTTCACCACCTGATTCAAGAACCTTTGTAACAAACTTCTTCCATGTCTTGTAGATATCATCTTTCCCAAACACTGAAGAGCCGATAAAACTGGTGTTTATGGTCCGTTCATAATTTAAGACACTAAATAGATTTTTTAGCCGAGTGTTGTAGTGATGCATCTAAAAAGAGACCAAAGAGAATCACCTTAAAATATGCTGAACCATATTAAATTCTATGCAATGCACAGATTTCACATTTGGATGTAATATGAGAACAATTAATTTTGTAAGTTTACTATATTATTTTGGTCAACAGCAGTTTTCAGAAACCCTGAATATAGTTGCAGTAACTACCTGGAAGTGACAAAAGAGTCTCAGAGATTTCCTTTTTTTTTTTTTGGACATATAAACCCTATGGAAAAAAAAGTTTTTTTTCTGTAGTTGCCTCTTGGAAATGAAGGTGTAATAGTTAAGGAGACAAACAGATGGACTCCAGCAAATAAAACCTGCCAATTAGAAGGTAACTTCTTAAATATGATTCATTCTCTGCTGAAGATTACCACCACAACAAGAACAGCAAAAAGAACACGAGCCCTGAGACTTGAGGCTGATTCCAGCTGCACCAGCAGTTCAGCCTCTGGAGGTACTTCCCACAAGTACGTTGGCAAAGATTTAACTCCCAGCTAAGGGAACACTAAAATACACCAGAGTGGCAGTGAAGTCGTGCAGGTTGATTAGGTCTGCAAACACCTTACAGAAAGAAAAAATATTGACAGACGTGGCAAAAAAGCAATGTTGAAAGGCCAAGCCATACTACTGAAGAAAATAAATAAACTGCACTCGTAGAACACTTAGGATCCCGTTTAGAATTTCAGATAAGTTCTTTGTATACAAAGAACATAAAAGGTTTCTCACTCTCAATGGTGGTATTGTGGTCATGATATTGATACACTGAAACTACTAATTATGGAAGTATTCCAATTCATCTGAAAACATTTATTTTTGCACTGAAAAAAATCAATTTGTTTCAGTGAAAAGCTGGCAAAACTAAAGCACATTAAAAATGTTTAGTGTACTACTGGTACTGCTTCCAAAACAACTTGGTCCAACTTCACTGTTTTACAGAAGGTAAGTAATTATGTTCATTCATTGGCTGATCTTGGAAAAATGTTTCTGACCAGTTTATGAAACAAAGATTTCTGAAAATTAAGACACTTGCCTGAATTATTGCAGTGGTATCTTTTCTGTTATAGTTCCTAAGAAAAACTGTCACAAGAGTAGAGATGTAGCTCAAAGGTAAATAGAAGCAGCAAGACCAAAGTAATCATCAGCAGAAAAGTTACTTCTTTCCTTCTTAATGAGCCTATCCCAGGATGGTTGCTTTTTTCACAGAAAGCACGCCTTAATCTGTTCACAAAGCTGATGAACATATGGGTTTTAGCAAGTGAGTCAGCAAAAGAAAACTGAGACTGGTTGCAAATCCAGTTTGAATGAGACCCGAGAGATCTGGAGTTGCAGTATTCATAGTAGCTTCTCGCCTTCACGTTAGAAGGAATTCCCTCAAGCCTCTTAATTCCCCAGAACAGGTCCAATCCACAGAACTGTTAATGTTTTGCAAAACCTAAAGATCTGCTGGAATCTCTGCAGAATGCAGTAAAAGACTAGAAACTCTCAGACAAACCAGATCTTTTAGAGCCCTGCTGCCTTCCAGTCCTTTAAGCTTCCCATTAAAAAATAAAAAATATTGATTCAAACAAAAAAGGAAGAAGGATGTAAAGTAAATATGTAAATATGTAAAAAAGTAAGTAAGTAAAACCTTTGAAATAAAACAACATCTGCAGTGATTTGAGGATAAATTCACAGAACTGGACTCATTCCACCAGGTATTTTGCAGCAAAGTTTGGGAGTTGCCCAAGAATCAGAAAGTGGTTTGCTGGAAATTTGGGAGATTATCTCTGACAATTCATCTGGATATATTCCAGTGTTGAGCTACAGCAGCTGGCCAAGACTACCCCTACAATTCCAAACTGGCTTCCAAATTCCAAAACCTGGAATACTGTCAAACAGAAAGAACTGGAAGATCATCTTCCTACTACAATTTAAACGCTAGGAGGAAAGTGGAGAACATTTGGATATGGTAGAGGACAAAAAACTGGAACAGAGTGCAGGATAAAATGCCATGTCAGAAATAAACTGAAGAGCCATGCAAGTTTTGGAAAAAAAAAAAATAAAAGAAAAAAGAGAGCCTACATCACTTCCATTAGGTTGGAATTCTGCCTCGGCCTACTATGCGAGAAGAGAGGTAATACTACCACCACCTTCTCTTTCATGGATTTATGAAAATCATTAGCTTTTTTTTGTGACTAGTTTAGACAGATGAGGCCTAACAGCTGCAGAACTTAGTGTCCTCAGCTGTTTGTCAGCACTCTCCAACAGGACTCTATTGCTTGCACTCTTCAGCAGATAGAGATATTTCTGCTCAGCTCCAGAGCAGTCAGGTCAGCTCAAAGCACTTGACCAGCCACCATGGTTGACTTTGAACTTTCATTTTCTTCAGTACATCCGTATCATCCTTTTTGCCAGATCTGTTACAGGAGCAATAGCACCCTTAAAGCACTGCAGCTATTTCCAAATTAACTGTGTGCACACTCTCAAATCTGACAGCTTGACTGTCACAGAAAGACTATATAGAAATAATGCTTCAGAACAGCCTTTAACTAGTGCCCTGTAAATCTGGCCTGGGATCACGTACTGAACAAGAAGTACCAAGAAGCCACTGTCCTCTCACCCATTTGGGGAACATTCAATCGTGTGCACTAAAGAGGACTCAGCCTTAAGGAAAAACAATTAACACAGTCATGCAAGATAGTGAAACTGGGTTCCCACCATGTCTGGTGGTTAACTGGCCTGCTAAATAGATTATTCGGAGCACTCTGTGTTCTGTCCCTGTTCCCACACTACAGTAATTCCCAGATCCCTTCCTATACCCCTACTATGCTTGATCCAGCTTCCTTGTGCTTCTTAGACCTTCTGTAACACACCTAATTCACCACTGTTCGTGCCCCTGGGTTGACCTGGCACAAGAGGTGCACAGTCAATGCTCAGGTAAATCACAACAGGCCAGACTCATCCGTCCTTCACCCTCTGGTGCGTCAAACAAATACGACATGTTAGTTCAGAACACTGAAAATTTGGTATTTCCATCCTTCTGCTCCCATAGATGGCCAATGCCTACCTCAGGTTAGCAAGCCTGAGGGAAAATGATCCAAATAGAAGAGAAAGAAAACATGACAGGCCATGCCATTCTGTCAGAGTAATTTCCTCAGGACAGGCTTGCAAACAGAAGTATGTGATTCTGGCATTGCAGGCTAATGGTAATTAAGCACTGGGAAGGAAGAAGCTAAGTTGCAACAGGTAGACCAAATTCAGTCGTTCTGATTTGAATGTTCCAGTTCACCATGTTAAAACTAGTTTTATATCAACATAAAAGACCTCGTTCACTTTATTAGCTGCCTACATGAAACCCACATAAAACAACAAAGAAAATAAAAACCTTTTTTTCTCTGCTCTCCCTGCTGAATGCTCGTGCTTCAACCACACTGCTCACTTTTACTATGGGTCTTAACCCATTCGTTTTGGGAATGAACCGGAGTTTTGATGCCATAGGAACATATTTTTTTTGACGGACAGCTTCAATCTCCTCTGAAGATAAAGCACGTAGATGTACTTTGGCAAAATGGTTTCTAAAATACAAATACATTTAGTGTAAGCAACAGGAAAGGCAGTAAGTTAAAACATTTAATCTCTTTATGGTAACTGAAGCCAAATATTTTTCTAAGATAATTACAAATACTAACCTCTGCAGAAAGTGACACGGGAATCTGAGTTTCAGAAAAATTTCATGGTATCTTAATGACAATGTAACACAATAACAAGAGACTACACATTTCTGCTTGATGCAAATCAAGTTAATTAAAAAAACCAACAACTTAATTAACACAAATGAAAATTTAAGCACAGATTAGCCAAGTGCATTTTAACGTTATGAAATATTTTTTATGCAAGACAACAGGTGGCTGGATATCAGACAAAACGGGATCAGCCTACACTAGGGTCTTTTGAGTTCAAAGCACCTTCTCCTTACACATTGGGTTTTTCTAGGAAACCAGGATAAGGGACAAAAAGGCTAAAACCAAATCTATTTTCTTTTAGTCACATATCAGGCTAAAACCAGCATTGTACCCGATATGTAGAAGTTAGTACTTGATGATATGTTATGCCAAAAAGTAGCCTTTGAAGTAAATTAAAACCACATAAAACACTAACTGCAACACTAAGGCTGTTAGTTTGAAGACACGACAAACAGAATATGCAGGACTGAAAATTATATTCTACTACTATTTAAATTGCATATTCTGTGCTACAACTGCAAACAGAACTGAGGACCCATTAAATACAAGCACGTATTCAGAAGAGCTGCACTGGAGATACCAATATTAAAATGAGGGAGTGATGGGGCAGGAGGGAAAAAATCCCACATACAACACTGCAGACCAACAGACCACTGTGAATGCAAAAGGTTCAGCATATAAAACAGCTATTAAAACACAGTACATCAAGTATGCTTATTTTGAACAGATCCAAAGCTCTCTCAGACACCAACAATTAATAATGAAAACCCAAAAGATGTGAACCATGGGGATGTGTGCACAATATTGCTAATTAAAATCACCTTCATATCTTTCCTATTTTCTCAATTGCTTAAAATTTGATCTTAAATAATGCCCTAACTTAAAAAAAAAAAAAAAAACCTTCAAAAAAACCCAAACCAAAACCACAAGAATACTGTCTGAATACAGGATTACAACATTTCAGTAGAGGTGTTTTGCTTTGTTTTCTAAATTAAAGCAGTAAAAGCAGATTGAGTATTTTTAAAATTAACTTTCCCAAGGTTACTTTGGGATTCTGTCACTGTGTATACCCATTTCTAAAGGGTATAAAAAATTGACTTATAAAAACAAAAACTGCTTCATAATGGATTTTGTTATTGCAAAAGTTTCTCTTCTCCTACTGAAGAATTCTAAATTTGCAACAATTTTCTCACACAAAATATTTCTGAATTTGAGCTGCACATACTACAACAACAGGAAACTTTTCTTTTGGGAAATTAAGCAAATAAAAGAAGGATAAATGGGCAGTAAATTAAAGCACATTGATAACTTCACACTACAAAACATGAGATTTCCACATATTCCACTAATGATCAAGTAGTTTTCTAATGTTACCTAATTCCAATGTTCTGTAACTTGCCCCAGATAAACTTTCGGTAGTAGAAAAGCATGTTTTTCTGGAACATGGTCTCAGTGATATAGAAAAATGATCTGAGCAACTCAACAACATAGGTATCCATCAGCCAGTACAGGAATTTAGCCAAAAGTTCTTCTCGGAAACAATGTTCATGAGCAGGAACAAAGTGATCACCTTCACTACCTACAATTCAAAGGTAGTTAAAGTAAATATCAACTACTTGTATTAGTAAAGAAACAGAGCACACATAACACTCTTTGGTTAGCTTGAGGTTAATGGAAAAAAAAAAAGCACAATTGCATACATGTCACTCCAAATTTTCACTGGTGTTAAATAATGTGACCCAAGCTTAAAGTAGAAACATAGAAATTAATTTGCAGTGACAAATTGACATACAGGATACGAATGCATGCCATTAGTAGCCCAAAGACTTACTTTATTCCTCCAACACTGATTGTGCAACATTTTTAATGCGCAAACACAAGACTATTGTAAAGGGAAAGGTCAAATGGAAGTAAGTCTACTACAATATAAAACTGATTTTTAAACACAAGCCAAAGTATGAAAATACTTAGGCGTACTGTAAAAATAGCAGGACTTAACTGGGCTCACTTGGAAATGAGACTGATATTCAGATTTTCAAATTACATGAAAATTAATTTCAGGGTTAGGCTTTATTTCAGAAAACCTATATAAAAGTCATTGCTGCAGTAAAAAAAAAAAAAAAAAAAAACCCCACCCTAAGTCTATCAGTGCTTAGCACATTCAGATGGCCTAAAAATCATTAAGCCAGAGTATTCCTAGCTACTGTCAAATTTCAGATTTGTAGTGATGTCTAAATATGGGTAGACGAGTAGGGAATAAAACCCTGTGCTACAGTACTGTATTTTTGCCAACTTCCAATAATACTCTTTCTAATTAAATTTAAGAGTAGAATTTAGCAAAATACAACTGGATAATTTGAAGAAATTATAGACATATTAGTTTAGCTGAATAGCACAAATCATGACTATGGCACAGATGTGTTAAAAGCAGCTTAATTTTGACACAACAGAGCTGAGGCTTAAAACTGAAGCTTATAAAATGGGAGTAAGTTTCCAGTTTTCTACCCTGTTTGATTTTTGTGCGCTTCAGAACGGATACAATTTCATGTACTTACAGCACCTAAGGAAAGACTAACATAAAGAGATAAAACAGTGTTCACTTCAACAGAAGCCAGGTAACATCAATGAAAAAAATCCAATGATTGTTAGAAATTCTCTAATTGAAGAGTCGCAATATGCAGTTGTGATGCATAAATTATACCAGGATGTTGTTAAGCAGCTGTCCTGGAACTACTTCATTTGTTTTCTAACTTCTTGACAGTAGACGCAAACGATGACTACAATTCAGGGAACTGACAAGACACCACTACTACTACTTTTGGATACAAAAAAACCCCCCACCTACAGTGCAGCAAAGCAATTCAAAGTGTGCTTACACTTCAAGCACAAGGGAGTAGCTTCATGAAAATATCAAGCCTATGTGTTGCTTTTCCCCACATAAGTCCAGAGAATAAGAGAGTATTACATGTTTTTTAAGATAAGATATTCCAAATTACAATGAACCAAATGTATATTTTACAGTATTTTTTTAAAATATTTAACTTCTCAACGTTTTGAAAACCATGTTCTGAGCCACACTTTCTGAAGAAAGAATCAATATATTTGCTAGAATTAAGTTTTTTGTGGAAGTGTAACCTCCCATATTTTAGACATCAGTTCTCAAACATCAGACTTTTTATTTTCCTCCTTACAAAGAACCTGTAGCAATTTCATAACCTTATCATACCTTTTTAAAAGGAAAATAATTTTCAGCTCATATTACAGTAGGATCCAAGTACATCACCAGGTAGGAATGAATACTGCAAACACACCAATTAAGGAAGTGCAACCCAAATTGTATAGATGGAGAACGGAAGCACAGAAAAATGACAACGTGCGTTAGACCCTACAGCAATCAACCACGGACCCAAAGCTTCAGCCTAGATTTAAGTCCTAGGGTAGCACCTGAAGAAAGGCTTCTTCCAGGAAGCAAGATTTACCTCCCCTCATCTGAAAAGAGGACTAAACAGAAGGGATTTGTATATAGTTTGGAGCAGTCAGCTGACGCCCTCACAATGGCTTTCAGCCAGGGACCACTCGGTCTGGGTGACCTCTGCGCCACCAGCTCCCCAGCCTGAAGCAGTGCTCAGTAAGGGGCTCTCGTTCCTAGATAATGGCTCTAGAACGTATGGTGGGCAACCCCCATATTGCACGGGTCCCATACTCTTGCACATCCCTCTTGCAGGGCTGATGTTATGTGCGTGAGGGGGAAACACACTGTGGGCTGAAGGTTCACTTCCATAGCAGAGGAACACATGCCACTACAAGTGTCTTGATTTGCCTTTAGTTCTTTCTGAACTCGTTCCTCTAGTGTGTTCACTGTACTGTCAGGTTCAGGTTCAATGAACTGTCAGGTACTGGAATTTGCAGGGTAGGAGTGGAAGGGAAAGAGTTTTGTTGAGAGGCCCAGGTTCTGAAGTAATGTTTATGAAAATGTCATCCTATTAAACACAAAACGCATGAATGAAAACAATGAAACCTAAGTTTTGGAAGGAAGACAGGCTTAAATATTCTTCCACCATCAATTACAAACACTACTAGGTTTGCACTATCAGCTACGGTTACTACCAACGAACCCAGTAATTCTGATTCCATACCCTCCCCGTCCCACCTTAAACGTGAACACCTGAAACCCCCGCCACTTAGTTTTTTAAGGTAAGTACCTTTGACTAGACGAAGCCACACGCAGTCATTCACTCTCATCTTCCACATCAACTCCTGCAACGAAAGCTTAGCAAACTTCCCCATGGAAATGAACGCTTTCACATTTTTTAAGAACCGGCACTTGTTATGGTTTGAACCCCAAAGCTCGGCAGGGATGACCCGCTCCAGGCACTCCCTCACAAAGGTATACACCTGCCAGTGGCTGCTGTGCTGCCTCAGGAGATCCCTGAGGGTGGCATCACACACCTCCCCCAGGCTTTGCTCCTCACTCACCGACTCCCCAGGCACAGATTTTGCAAGAGGAGTGCCCAAATTGTCAATGTGACCAGATTCACATTTGCTGCTTGTCACACACTTAGTAGGCTCTTTCCCAAACTGTTCTGCTTGCTCGTGAACCTCCGCTTCCCCAGGCAAGGCTGCCTGAGAAGGCAGCTCAGTTTTTCTCACACTGCTTTGAGATATCCAAACAGGGCAATTTTTTTTCAAGAGAACCAAGTAAGGGCACTTCCCATGGTTCTTTAACAGGTTCTGAAATGTATGTCTCATTTGCCAGTAGCGTTTGGGCAGCTTCTTCTTTCTCCAGTTGTGATGTGGCTGACTTTGGTTATGCTTTTGCTCTGAGAGATTTTGGCTTAAAAATATAGCTTCTACAAGCCGTCTTCCACCTGCCTGACAGCCCTGCAAGCGATTCAATAGAAATGATTTAGGAAAACATTCTTGGAAACTCCTGTGGGAGTACAGAAGAAACTTCCTGTCAATGCATACTGCGGAACGCAAGAGCTTATTTGGCAACTTCTTTGCCAAAGGAGCTAAGGGACTTTCCTGCCTCTGGCAAACTGAAGAAATGCCCTCCGTGGGTTTGATTTGTACAGAATCCAACTGAGGTTGGTACACATGCATCTCTACTCCTTTCCTATGGGATTCTGCTTCCATTTCAATGCTGGACTTTACAGGTCTGTTACTCTGAACAATTTGCAGAAAAGAGCTTTCACCTGCCACAAACTTCTTCCTGTCACGAGACGTGTGCACTAAAGAAGGACCAGACATATCACTGTTACTTCCTTGAGAAATGTGCGTTTCTTTAATGAAACTTACAGAATGTGATGCTACATACCCAGTTTCATATCTCTTGGAACTGCTTTGGTTTACATCGAGAGTGAGATTACAAGCCTTTTCCTCTCTCATTTTCTCCTCTACTTTTGCTCTTTTAGCTGGAATTTCAGGCTGTTCCCTATCAAGCTTCCTTTTTAAAGATGGTGCTGTAGCTGACAAACATAAACTGGAGCTACTCTGTTCTTCCAGATGTTCGCTAACCATTCTGATCTGTTTGCTTGCTTTAGGAACAACTTTTGCAGAATACTGGCAACTGGACTCTAGGCTTTGTGTCTTGCTAATGTTTTTATTTCCCATGCTGGAGACATTAGCTTCAAGTCTTTGTCTGCGTTTCCACCAATGCAACTTTGAAAGATACTGTCTATGAAACGTAAGTCTTTTTTGCATATAGTCAAGCAAGCTACTACGTTTATGCTTCGAAAACTTTTGTTTAACAAACACTGGGGGTGAGTCTACATTATGTGAAATAAGTTCATAAACTGGTTGCCCGCAAACTTGGTAACAATTACTAGGGGGAACCAGCATAAAGATTGCACAGTGTTCCAATAAATACATCATCACATCATCCCCTATCCTGCTCAGCAGTGTTTCCCAGAGGCCGCTGATACGAATGGTTTCAGTCACAGTATTGGGTAGGTAGCTGTATATATTTGAAGATGGCATGATTTGGAAATGAGAACTGTTTTCATCCAGTAAGGAGTATCCATATGCGAGGATGTTCTTCTTCCTTTTTTCACACAGTCTCTGAACAACTCTTGTGATGACTTCACTCTGACTAGATAACTGAAGAAAAAAAGAAAAAAGAAAATTAGTTGCTATCACTGACCCTTCCATAAACCACAATATACACTTTAAATAAACGGGCACGCAAGTCCTAGACAGCTTCAGATCAAAACCTTTCAAGGCACTATTCATGATTTACAAGTGCTACATCCAAAAAGGAAGATTTTCAAGTGTACCACAAGATGTTTACATACAGCAACACGGGCCTACGGCTTTAAGGAAGTCTTTTTAACGTCTACCCTTTTGATCCTGGTTTCCATGCCCAGGAAACACCTGATTTGCTTGAAGCCTCCACCTCCTTTTACATAAAGAAAAGCTCCAACTAAACCACTCGGCTCACACTTCTAAAACCCGCTCAAGGAGCTTGCGGGGGTTTTTTCCTACCGTTGCGTGGTTTCGCTTGTGCACTCAAGAGCAAAGCATCCTTTCCTCTCTGAAAAAGCTCCTTCTGCTTAAACACCGACACCACCACCACCCCCCGCCCCAACTTCCCTCCTCCCCCTCTTCTCTATCCTCTCAGAGTTGGGGGGAAAAGTGGCATTTTTCATTTCCAGCTGCTGCCCGGCCATGTGCGGTCCGCTCGCCCCTACCCCTCAGGGCTAGAAGGGAGCCGGGGAGCCCCAGCCAGGCCAGACCTTCTGTCACCGCCCGCCCACCCGCGGGCGCCAGGGCTTCGCTCGCCCACCCCCAGGAAGGGGAAGGCGGGGGGGGGGGATGGCAGGGGATGATCCCCCACCTCTTCCCGCCAGCCGAGGCGGCTGGAGGGGGCAGCCGAGGCCCGGCGGGGAGTCCCGGCCGCCACGAGGGGCCCAGGGCGGCCGCCCCCGCGCCGGCATGGAGGATGGGGAACGCCCCGCCACCCTGCTAGGGCGGACGGCTGCGACCGGAGCCCACCCCCCGGCCCCTTACCGCTGCCGACGGGGAAGCCCCGCTCCGCCAGCCGGGTGGCCGTGGGGGGCGGGCGGACCTCGGGCCCGAGGCAGGTGCGAGCCGGGCCACCATCAGTGGCACCCGGCCTCCTACCTGCTGGAAGGTTAAAGGCCGGGGGATGGCGCGGGCCCCGCGGGGGACGCACACCAGGCACTGCCTCACGAAGGTCCGGTAGGAGGGGGCGTCGTCGCCCCGCAGCACCTCGGCCTCGCCGGCGCCGCTCTCCCGCAGCCGCCGGATGAAGGTCTCCAGCGGGGTGGCCTCGGCGTAGCAGCCGCGCAGGGCGGCCAGCACCGCCGCGAAGGGCTCCGCGCCCGCCATGTTGTGGCGAGGGAGCACGCCGCCAGCCGGGGCGGCTCCGCGCTCCCCCTCCCGCACCCCACCGCCGGGCAACGGGGCGCTGCTCTTTACCAAAGTAATTAAAAAAAAATAAAAAAAAAATAAAAATTAAGCGAACGCCCTCACAAAATCGCCCTCCCGCTGCTGCGCCCCCGCGCCGCCGGGCCCCAACGTGGCTGCTGAGGGGCGGTGGGCGAGGCGGGGCCGGGCCGGGCGGGGCCGGGCGGGGCGGGGAGGCCGCTGTCCAGCTCCGCAGCCGCACGGTGAGGCGGCGGGCCCGGGCGGTGGGGCGGAGAAGCGGGGCGGCCTGCCACGGGGTGGGTGTTAGCCTCCTGTTTTTGGTGGGTAATTCCAGCCGTGTGTTTCCAGGATGCTCGGGGTGGCGTGAGCTACAAGCAAGGAAGGCGTTGGAAGAAAGTTCCCGAAGGTCTTGAAGGAGTTTTTAAGCGAGTCTTGCTGGTTTATTAAGGCAGGTTTCCTCTGGAGGAAACCAGGAAGATTCCCTTCCAAGGAACCCCTTTGAGGACTCCATAGAGGATCTGTCTGAAACAAGCGCAACTGCAGAGAAGGTTATGGTGGAGATGAACAAATAACCAACTGGCTGGTCCTGGGTTTACACACCAAACTCATGAATGAAGAAGCCAAATCACTTATGGCGGTGTGTAACCTCTTACTCAAAATTTTTGTTGGTATCTGAAGACTTCATGGTAGCAAACTTGATGGTGGACTGTGAAAGGGATTGCAGTGGAGTTCCAGGGGGCAAAGCAGCAGCTCATCTCCTGACATCAGTATGGCTGAGGAGTCAACTCCTTGGCACCTTATTGCCTTTAAGTTGAGGCATTCCTACATCACTCCCAGTTCAGCATTGCCTGCTGGCCAGACTCTTTTACCCCTTGACACAGATGATGGGCACCAAATGGCACTCCCCAAGGAGACTGATAACACCAGAAAGCTCCATGGGACCTCAGTAATGCTGTAACCGAAATACTGTACTGCCGCTGCATACCGAAGGGCGGGGGATTTGGAGATGGGGCTGGATTCATCAGCAGCTGCACCTAGAGGGGAGTAAGGTTGATGCCCTTGGTCTGACCTCTGGTGGGTCTATTTTCATGTATTTCTCCCCTCCCCTCATTGCTCCAAAGGTGACAGCACCCTCAAGGTAGAATCCAACAGTGATGTCTAATGTAGCTAGGCATGAGGCAAACACAAGGTTCACCATTTCCTGTGAGGAACATGTTCAGGAAGAAAGAAAGAGGAGGAGGAAATGGAGGAAGAGGAGGGGAAAGAGATAGGGGTTAATTAATCTTGAAAATGACAACCTGACACCTGACTGCCACCTTGGAGTCCTCCTCAGCAGCCAGCAGGGTGACACTGGAAAAAGGAAGGGCATGAGGGTAAGGAGGACCATCTGTGAGATCTTGATCTCCTTGAAGAGGTGGACGTTGATCTATACCTTTCTACCAGTGGGTTTTCCTTAGGAGATGCAGTGCCAGGACCAGTGTACAAGGAAGCAATTCAATTGTGGTGGTCATGAAGGATGTGCCCACAGCTGAGAACATCCTGATTGCAGGTGAAGTTGCAGCTACTTGGCCCTAGCTCTGGCTGTGGCAGATCCATGTTCTCAAAGCTGGTTGTCATACTCATCGCAGATGGCTGGGTTGTAGGTGGTGCTGCAGGCTGAATTTCTGAAGAGGTCTCAACCCTTTCTACCAACTGTTGGCAAGTCCCTCGGTAAGTGCCTCTGCTTCTTGCTGATGCCTTCTTGGTGGCAATGACCGCAGCAATGGTGGAGGGGGAGAGGAGGGGTGCTGCGGCCAGGCTAAGGGGGTCTCTTTCCTCCTTTTTCTGTTCACAGGTACCACATGATTTTCTGTGTGTCTACCATTAGGCTGGGAAGAGAATTCAGGGGGGAGTGGGGGAATGAAGTGACATGGAAAATGACTAAAGTTATTTTTTATGAGAATGAATAAGGAAGAGAATAAATCACAGAATCATAGAATAGGTGAGGCTGGAAGAGATCTGTGGAGGTGTCTAGTCCAGCCCCTGCTCAAAGCAGGTTCACTTAGTCAGTGCCATGTCTAATCAGTTCTGAGTATCCCCAAAGGTGGGGACTCCATGACCTTTCTGGGCAATCTGCTGCAGTGTTTTACCACCATCAGAGTAAAAGGTTTTTCAAGTTGAAGTGGAATTGCCTGTATTTTAATTTGTGCCCACTGCCTCTGGTCCTGTCACCGGGTACCACTGAGAAGAGTTTGGATCCATCAGCTATTTATACACTTTGATACGATCCCCACTGAGCCTTTTCTTCTTGTGTCTTCAGTTTAAACAACCCCAGCTGCCTTGGCTGGGATGACTCCAGTGTATCCATCTCATTCTTGTACTGGGAACCCAGAACCATACAAATAACAAAGTCGCAGTTCTCCTCAACAAAATTTATCCTTCAAAGCAGACTTAATCTTATCCACATCCTGCTTTATGACCAACTCTGTGAAAGGGAGTTCCTGGCAATGGATGAAGATAGTGCAGTGATAAAAATAAAATGCCATTTTTATAATCCAATAGCAAAGTGAAAGAAAATGTTATGTTAAAGTCTAGCTTCAGTAATGACTATTGAAAGACACAAGCTTATTGCGAATGTGTCTCTCTCTTTAAAGTTCCCTGTGAAAAGGATGAAAGGAGACTGTTATTAGAAGTGTCATGAGAAGAAAAATAAAGTAATCTCAAAAACCTGAAACTTTATTCAAACAGACAAGTAAAAACCTAGTAAAACAAAACCAAAATAGTTTGATGAGTAACTTTCCACAGCTGAAAGAAACATCAAACACCAGAAGTGGGATGGCTTGCCAGGAAGTCTGTAATGTAAAAGTAGAGAAGGAACACCTAGGGCGATCGTGGCAATAAGGAGTGTGAGGAGGGACCTGTGGCACACCTTTGCACACAGCAAGATCTGTCTCAAGCTCAAATACTCCAAGTTATATTGTTCAATAAAGAGGAAAAAAAATGCTCAAAAACCAGTGAGTCTCTGTGAACAGATGGTATTTACCAGTGAGTTTAAAGGAACTCAGTGACTGAACAACTACTTATATATGCCAGAATGTTTTAATATCACAAGCTATGAAAATACGTAACATGGCATCAAGGATCCCAAAGGTCTGAGGACTCTGCTGCGGAAGTTGACGAACTCCATAATAGAGAATGGATTTAGTGGACACATTGATAACTACTGCATATTGGAGGAGTCAACATTACGTTTGCTGAGGATGAGGTTATATGGTACGGGATATCCCTTTGGTGACTTCATGTCAGCTGTCCCAGCTGTGTCCTCTCCCAGCTTCTTGCCCACCCCAGCCTACTCATTGTGGGGGCAGAGTGGGAAAAGAGACGTTTTGACACTATGCAAGCACTTGTCAGCAACAGCCAAAATGTTGGTATGTTGACAGCACTGTTAGTCACAGATCCAAGGCACAGCACCTCACAGGTTGCTATGAAGAAAGGTGACTGTCTCATCTGGACACAATACAGTTTGTCAGAGTAAGACCCCTTAAAGATCCATCACAGCCATCCGCCTGAGTTATCACTGAGTAGGGGATCTTCAGCCAATGTGGGTGATCCTGGTCCTGGTATCACCCTGAAGCTAGAACCTAGAGTCATATGCTGTTAATCAAGGACATCCCTCCAGTTTAACCAGTGACTCGCTGTAATCCCTTTTTGGGGCACCCATCGCCTGTCACAGCTTTCATCTTCTGCGGAATGAAGACTGCTGGGACAGTGACTTGCTCTCTTCTCTGCTGGGCTGCTTCTTCAGCCTTGGTTGTCTTTACAGTGGTCTTGGTAAATGGAGGTGCCATTTATGTATCTGGCCAGCTCCCCAAGTTGCAGAGCTCATCTTGCAGCTGGGCATGTGGTGTCAGGGAACAAGCCCTTTCTAGGACTATCATTATTACAGTTACCAGACTGACACGGCTCTGGCTCTTCCTGTGTATCTCCACCCCAATCCTCTGGGTTGAGACTCTCCCTGAGAGTTGCAGTGGTGCCTTCTCCACCTTTTAACTGCTTTTTCCAGGCCACTGTGTGTCACAGTCCCAGAATGGTGTGTCTCTCTTCTCACATCAGCCCCAGCCTTTCTATTTGATTCAGCTTCTCCCTGCTTGCCTGTTGCTCTTTAAAAAACAAAAAAAAAAAACAAAAAAAAAAGATATTTAGTGCTTCCTTCTCCTTCTATATTTGTGTCCTTGGAGTCACGGTCCTCATTGTGTCAGGCACACTCTGTGCCGGTAAAACTTTGAACTTTTCAATTCTGTTTAATTAATGTTCAGTGCTGCTTTTCACTCCTCAGTCCCAGTATTTCCTCTACCAACCCTTTGATCCTTTTCTCAGCCTCTTGGCTGGCAGCCAGCCATGCCCAAGTGCATCATCATTTGCTTTCCCTCGGGCACGCTCTTCCTCACTGCTTCACGCTGCCTTTCACTATTCCAGAGTTTGAGGGGAAATTAATTTTCTGTGTGTGCTGGTTTTGGCTGGGATAGAGTTCCATTTCTTCATAGTAGCCAGCATTATGTTTTGGATTTGTGCTCCAAAAATAGTGTTGATAGCACAGGGATGTTTTATTTTTTTACCTCTGAGCGGTGCTTATGCAGAGTCAGGGTCTTTTCTGTTCCTTACCCTGCCCCATCAGCCAGTAGGCTGGGGGTGCACAAAAAGTTGGGAGGGGACACAGCTGGGACAGCTGACCCCAACTGGTGAAAGGGATATCCCATACCATATGAAATCATGCTCAGCAATAACACCTGGGATAGGTTGGGAGGGGGGGGCACTGCTTGGGGACCAGCTGGGCATTGGTCAGTCAGTGGTGAGCAGTTGTTTTCCTTTGCATCACTTCTCTTTCTTGGGCTTTATTTTCCTCTCTGTTATTTTTTCCCCTTTCTTTTCCTTACAATTGCTTTGTTATTATCTGTAAAGCTAATGTGTACCTCACCAGCACACAGGTGGAGAGGTGTATGGAAGAGAGGCTAAGCCTATAGTTAAAATTTCCCCTTCTCGGATTTAGGGCAAATACTCACAATGCCTTGGTGTTCCTCAACGGGCTGGATTCTCTCGCCCTGCCCTTGAGGTGTCATCAACCTCGAGGTATCTCAACTCTAGGGAGAAACTGGCCACAGTCCACTGCGATCCAGAAGATCTCAAAGGGTCTTTTTATCAGTTATGCAAGCCCAGGTCCTGTTAGGACTTGGGATCCTGGTTTTCCCCACTCTGAGGCCACGGAGGGGTTGGAACTAGATGATCTTTAAGGTCCCTTCCAACTCAAAGCATTCTATGATACTGTGATTTGCACAATTAACTCTAAAACAGCCCCACCCCCAAATCACTGCAATCTTTTAACTTCCAATGCCATTACAAGCCTAACAACGATGAGAACATGAGATGGCCGCCAAGCTGCTCGCTGCAGTTAACCTTATTAAAAGTGAGGAAGTTCTTAAGTTACTCTTAAATAGATCGAGGGTGGTGAGACACTGGAACAGGTTGCCCAGGGAAGTTGTGGATGCCCCATCCCTGGAGGTGTTCAAGGCCAGGCTGGATGTGGCCTTGAGCAACCTGGTCTGGTGGGAGGTGTCCCTGCCCATGGCAGGGGGGTTGGAACTAGATGATCTTTGAGGTCCCTTCCAACCCAAACCATTCTATGATTCTATCACAGATACTGGTAACCTGGCATGAGCTGCAATACGTTTAATGAAATTTATATATAGGAAGTTTTTCTCCAGTACTAACTGCATATTGAACTGCGTTTTGTTTTACACTGATGTCATTTCCACAACTAGAAAGCTAAAATATTTCCTTTAATATCTCCAAAGTTACACTGCTTAGGTAGCTTTTCACCACCTTTCAAACAAGAGGTAACTCTCTATCCCGTATGCCAAGTCTTTTATTTGGAAATGGAATGCATAAAACAATGACTTGAACAGGAAAGTCTTGCTCATTTTAAAGACTTTAAATGTTCTAATTTTATATTCTTTATGACTACTGTATACAATATTATGAGGTCATTGACATCAGAAATGCAAGACAGAAGACCAATAAACTCACAGTATGTAAAGGTGCAAGAGTGATTTTTCAACAGCTACATACAAAAATGAGTGATGAAACATTAGAAATACCCAAATGTGGTATTCTGGACTTTCAGAAACTATTCTAGAAGAACCAATAACTTGATTGTTCTGAAATGGCACAAAAAGGGAATCTGTTATACACATTATTTATATCAGGAAAAATTTTCATCCGCGTACATTCAACTATTATTATGAAATATGAGTCCCCAATGAGTTTGCCGAATAGCAAAGAGCTCCCTCCAAATTCAAAACAGGTACAAGATATAGGAAATGCAACTCTGGTTTTGCATAGACTCATTTATGTATGTTTAATGCTAAAATCAGCAGTCCTCCTTAGTTCCAGTTAACAGTGCAAAGAGACCTTAACATGAACACAAGTCAAAAATTGTCTTCAAGACTCCCTTCCATTGCCAGCAGCATCTAATGAGGACTTCAGTGTAAGAAAGACTATAGATTGTGACAAAACAAACTAGGCACATTTCTGTATGTTTTTGGGACCCAAGTATTTCTATGTTCAGACTTCTGCAGAATCAGCACTGGATAAAATACACTTCATAAAGTAGTTACAGACTGTAGGAGTAGATCTGTGTTCTTCAATTCAAAAGGTTATTCAATTACTGTTTTCAATCAACGACACTAAAATTAAATAGCATTGCACAAACAGCATGCAATTTAATAAAGAAACTTACAAATCATTGGGGTTAATTTGTAAACTTACTGACCAAAACAAAACTCAAATTGGAAACTAGATTTCTGCCTTTTGGATATTTTCAAATTCCACTTTATTTGCTGCTGAAAGGAATGCACTTTATTTCACTTACTGAGAAACTTACTTAAAAAATCTAGAACCATTATTTCTAGAAATAGCTGTGAAGTTTGAATTTTAGTATAATAATTCAACCTGATGATTTTTACTCATTTAAAAGAAACAGATCAAAATACCTCCCTCAATGAACTGTTCCCATGGAATATGGATTTTAAATTGTGTGAAAGATACTTGTTCTTCACCAGGCTGTTTTCTTTTTCTTCTGTCTCCAGGTAGTATGTTGAACCTGTATTGTATTTGAACAAAATCATTCTGCTTGAATGATGGCTGCTTTGTCTTATAAATAGACGGGGGCAGAGAGGGTGAGGGGAAAGACCAAGGAATTATTCCCTGTGAAATGTAAGAGAATTGGTCCAGTAGGTCACTGAGTATCACGTGGTGAATAATTTAAGATGTGCTAAGAGACTTTCCTAGCACATAACAATGATTTGCATTATATGAAGACCTGCTATGCCAAGAAATCCAGTTTGTCAACAATGCAGAAGGGTTTATATAAACTTTGATACATATTGAAGGAAATCATATCACACTTATTTTACATCTTTGTTCAGTTTAAGACAAGTGAAACCCTCTGCCATGAACTTGATTTTTAACAACCCCATTTCTCTCCCTGTATTTCAAAACATTTTTTTTTAAGTTATGAACTTAAAATGCCCATGTACAACTTACAAATTTAATCATGATTTCTAGTATTTCCATTCTCAAATGAGAATGATTTGTAATTAGCATATAATCCAATATTATATATTTTATTTTTGACAGCCTCGAGTTTTGCAATAATGCTTGATTCTGTTGTAACACAATGGCTTGTTTTTCCACTTTTCATAGCCTAGTGGTACAGGCATCACACTTCCAGTTAGTGAGTTGATTTAAAAACATAGACTTGGATATTAATTTCAGTGGTCAGTACACTTAGGTTTTCAGCAAAGAGAAGTTTAAATGCAGGAAGTTTACTTAATGACACCTGGCAGACTGTGGACCTTGTGAAGACGAAAGAGGATCTTGAAATAGGAGGATATCAAAACTAGATTTTGGCAATATAGAAGATGTATTGTCCATGTAGTTCTGTCATAAGCTTTAAAAATACTCTTATTAAATAAGTTTTTCCTTCCTTAAGACCAGATAATACATGAAGTCAGTAAGAGTCCAGGGGTCAGAATCTTCTTCAATTCTTAATTATTCTCTATGAGCTTTTTTTTTTGGCTTTTCTTCGTAAGATTCTCCATACTCATTCACTCTGCTCTTATCCACAGGATAAAGCCTGGTTAAAAAAAAAAAAAAAAAAAAAAGATTAGCTACAATATTGTCTGCTACCTGGAGGAATTAAGCAGTTCTGTGCTACTTGATTTTAAAAGTTAATTTCTTTATCATATTCTCTATTCCCATTTGTGGCAAAACCCCTGACAGTTTTAAAGATTAGCTACAGATACATCAGCTTCTTCACACTAAAGGCTGAACCAATTGTCTCACAAGAGGGCCTCTTAAGAGATGTATTAGGTCCCCTAAAGCTTGGCTGGACTATTTCTCAAACAATCCTGGATACCTCTCAAACTTTAAACCAGTGTCCAGCCCCTATCAGAAGCTGTTGAGCTCTTAACTTCTAGAATAATACCCTGGAAGGGCATCTATTTTATTACAATTATGTGCAATTATATAAACCTAAAACTGAAGTTTGCATTTAGTATTAATGATTAGACATACACATCCATATACTCCAGTACAACGTGAATTAGCCTTAAAATTCTTGTTCGCTCCACAGATAAATATTTATTATTGGGAACAAGAATATACTTATGAACAGTATTTCAATGATTACTGCATATAGCCTTCTTCCCCATCTGATTTTAGTTACTTAAAGAATCCAAGACTTGCCAGATACTCAAATTACAAGGGAACCTGACAACTGTGATTGTGTGATCCTGTGAAACTAGATAAAGAGGAAAGCAGAGCAGGGCAATCCCTCATCAGAAAACATCCTTGGCTAGCGCCTTGCAGAGCAACTCAGGAAGCACACCTCAGATGTAGACACACAGCCCCTCAGCAAGGGTTAGAAGCCCAGAACTCCTAAGAGGGTTTGTGAATACAAGCTTAAGAAATGCTCTCCTTCACCTTACTTCAGGTATTCATGTTTCAGGGTTGGGTTTGTTTTTTTTTTTTTTTAGTTAACTTGCAAATGTGAAATTCTCTGCTGAAAAGGAGGACTGCTGCTTTGGGGAGGGAGAAGGGGTAACTGGCAAAAATTCTGTGAGTGCTGTGAGAAGAGGAATTTCTTGACTACTCTCCTCACATGCTAAAAAGGGTCCAAGAACACTGTCAATTAGAGAAAAGCGCTTTTGCTCCTCTTGTTTGTATTGAGTTCTCCTTTTCAGGGTCATTCTCAACATCCTCTTGACTAGGCATATACACAACTACCATTATCCAGACCATACTATGTACTACTATGGTATAAAAATTCTACTTGAAGTCTGTCTCAAGCTATTTCATAATTCTTTACTGCAGTAAGACTGCAACCATCTACAGCGTTACAAAAACTCTGACGAGTACTAAAGAAAGACATACCATCTTTGGTAAAGATAGACCAGGAACACGACATCATCTCTAAAGCACGCCAGCCTATGAGATGTTGGCATAGTGATGATAAAAGCAAATATATCATCAATAAAGGTGTTGAATGCCTACAAATAAAAACATACTTCAGTCAGCTGTGAAGAAAGGAAGTCATCTGTCATACAGAGTTACAGGAAACAGGCTTCCTAGAACTACGTTTTTCAGTAGGAACACAGATTACTTTCATATTTATAACAATACTTAGAGGTTATGCTGAAAAACTAATTAATGCAAACTTTAAAGTTTTTTCTTTTAATGAAGACCATATCGCCCACTCCAGATCCCAGAACTATAGTTACAAGTAAAAAGGAAGTAGGACTACTTCAGGTAAGTGAGAGTATTGTCACGCAAGGGGAAAAACATGGATTCAACTTCAGTGAAGTCTTTACAAGAAGCCAGCAAAAAAACCCCTTTCATTCATTCATCACTCAAATGCTTTACAAAATGTCAGTTCACTTTCATTTTCTGTAGTAACTTGAAATTTGTGTAAAAACTTGTTAAATTACTGCCCTTAAGAACATTAACTTGACAGCCTTGGAGAGATTTTAAAATATTTTCAGTGCTCTCCTGGAAGTAAACATCCATCCCTTATCCAAGACACAATTTTCTACACCATTTCCACTCAAGTAGGCATACTAAAGGTTCTGTTTCTAAAGCAATAATGAAAATATTTTCTCACTACTTCTTCCTGAGTAAGAAAGTTTAAATTCCCAGACATCTGCTGGGAAAGCAACACAAACAGGCTACCAGCATGCAAATACAACAATATTTTGTCACAGAAGGTAAAGAAAGTAAACAGAAGGACAGCTCCTCTGGATCTGGCGTACAGGGAGGACTAGAAATCAGCTCCTACAGTGCAGCAGCTCCAGTGCTGATGATATGGTGCAATAAACTGTTTCAACTCACTAAAACCAGCAGGAAACAAATCCAGCAAAGAATATTCACTGTTGGGTTAACAGAGTCAGTAACATGGCTTCTTCTTTCAATATTAGCAATCCTTATGTTAATCCATACCATAAGAATGGGGAAAATGATGTATTTTCTAAGCAAAGGGGGACTCACTCCTTAAAATGAATGAATGTTTATAAGATGAAACAAAGCATCAGAAGATGGGGGTGCTGGACAGGAGAGAGTTCTTATTAAGTACAACAGGAAAGCTCCTTCTGACAAGTCAAAACAAATCCATCAATCTGAAGTGATCAAAGAATATGGATGGCACTTCTCATGCCTGTGCAAAGAAGATTTGTCATGGAACAAAAAAAAAACTTGGCAAGTTGGAAAAGGCAGCCTTTCCAAGTCAACACCCAAGTGAGTGAACCTACAGTGATGAAAGGAAGAAAGAGCTTAATGTTCCATCCTTCAGGCACTCAGGCAAGTCCTCATAAACCATTGAGACTGCATGCATCAAGGCTGCCCATCTAACAGTATGTTAGGTCCTGGGTTGGTTTCTTACACAGTATTTAGTCTGGCTAGTTTTCCTTTGAGATTATACATTTTTATGAGTACCTTCAAATATGATAAAGAGCATAATGGTAAAGACTAGAGAAACTGGAAAATTAGACTGATCTTCAGTTTTGCCAAGGAAAACAGGGAAGAGTTCAAATTAAGGAAAAACCCAAAGCTTTCTAAAACATTTGCAGATGAGACCTCAGACTATTCTTTCCACTCTTGAAAGTGCAGAAGAGGGCAAGCAACTTTAAATATCCGCTAGGAAAAAGTAAATTACCCGCTTCAAAGACCAGTAAATTAAACATAATTGAAAACATCATCTACTTCTTTCTACATATACACGTTAAACATCATCTACTTCTTTCTACATATACACAAGCCTTTGCTGTGGGCAGCCTCCGGCATCTTAAGAGGAACCATAAATGCCCTGTAAGAAAAGGCTATTCAGCAAGAGAATGCTACTTCTTTAAAGGTTACTTGCTTGAATACTGTCCCTTTGTTGTCTATTTAACTGCTGATATCTCTGCTCAGTTTTGTATTTTGTTGCTTGAGTAAAATTGTGAAATTACTTCACTAATATACCTTTTACTCCCCTCTATTAAGAAACATGCTGATTTGTCTAATGTATGTCTGAAACACTAGATGTTTATTTTTATTTTTGACAACATTTCCATATTGAACACTGTTTAGTCGCTGTTCTGCTGTCAGCTATATTTCAATCTATTTTCCTAGATGTCCCATGAGTCCTTAAAAATATTAGGGAAGCAGAACGTTGGGCAATTGCTGTAGGCTCACAGAAATGGAAAAGCTATAAAATGCACTTCAAATTTTAAGATTTTAGTTCTCTTGTCCCAGATCATCTATTCAGAATTGGACACCATGTCTTGAGCAGTTTTTAACACTGTGTCTTTTAAAGTACTGATGTTCTGAAGAACTCCAATACATCGGCACAAAGGAAGGGTAAATGAAAACACTGAGTGGAAGCAGAAGAAAACATGGCATGTGTTGATCAAGGCATCAAGGTCTTGGTAATTCCAGTGTATCCATCTAGGGTTTCTCAGAACACAATGCTCAGGAAAACAGTACAAAATGACAGTACAAAAATCCTGATGACTCACAGAGGTGGGAAAAGGTTGGAGTCAAAATATCATCAGCTCTTTAGGGGTACAAGAACAAAACTAGCACGTGGCTGTTGAGTGAGGAAGAATGTAGGAGACAGAGGAACTCAAGAGTGGGTATCCCTTGTCCTCCGTATCAGTGCAGGGAATTCTGACTAGGATACTCAGGTACATCCATCTTGGTGCCTGAATGCTACACAAACCACTCAGACACACACGGGAGCTTGTGGGTATGCAGGTATCAAAGTTTTAGTAAGTTGACTTCGTTTTGAACGAATTCACCTTCCCCTCCTCCAAGGTCTGGTGTTAAGCTTTGCTACAGCATCACACTATTTCCCACAGGGGCAGTCTAGGCAGCGGGGACACCACAGCACAGCCCCTTTCCCACCGTGTAACAACCCACCACACATTTGTCACTTACTGCCCAGAACCCCAGAATTACTACCCCAGCACAGAACAGTGTGTACATTACTTCAGTCTCTTGTAGCTCCTGGAACCTGCCAAAATACGGTCTCTTAGTGGTCCTATCTCTTTCTTGAAAACTGTCCTTTGTTAATATAATCTCTCTCTTCCTAAAATAATGTATTAAATTGAGAATGATTAGTTTATTTGCAGGACCAACTTTTGCACCCAGGCAAGACAGCTGACAGTAGAAAAAACAATATCAGCATCAAAACTAGAATGCAGGTACTCTCATTATATGGAAGTCACTATGAAAAATGGAAATCAGCTTTTCTTTTTTTGGCTTGGGTGTTGGTTTTTTTTTTGTTTGTTTGTTGGGGTTTTTTTTTAAAGACATTTGCAAACAGATTTGGTTTTACTGTCAGTGTAGTTCTTAAAACAAACAATGCACTGTCAGCTTTAAGCTACATAATACTAAACTGTTTCTCACAGAAAATTATTTCCAAAATGACTCCATCAATCTTTAAATTAGAGCTTTACTTACTTTGTATGTGAAAGCCTTCCATGGTAAGTGTGCAACAGATTTCATCTAGGATTAAAAATAACAATTTGTAATATTTTTAGAAGAGGAGACTAAAAAAGTAGACTTTTATCACTTTTCAATCTTACCTTGTAGTTTACAAACAGCTGGGGCAGCATAAACAGGAATCCAAAAGCATACACTCCTGAAGATAAAAGATGGAAAACTTACAGACAAATTGACAACTGCAGTACACCACACAACTATACTTTCACAATCAGAGATCTACACTCATTTTCCTAAAGAGGGAAGATGCATCTAACTCTTTTGTTTCACTTTGGGTTGATTCTTCTCCCTTTCTCAATCACTGTAGTAATTTTGGAACCTACAGTGAAGTTATTGCTCTATATTACAATGATCCAGCTGAGAGCAGTTAATTTTCTACTTTTGAGTCTTGACCTCCATTTGAAGAAATATGAACAGAAAAAACCCAAACAAACATAAGAAGGGACTCACCATTGACAAAGCTGTTAATCAACCAGGAGTACCAGCTACAAAGAAAGAAGACAGTCCAGTTATTCTTTCACCTCAGCCCAAAATATGTACCTGTAATCCTCTACATGGCTGCACGCTGACTACTCCAAGAAATGGCTGTGTCGTGAATTACTTTACACAAGAACTAAATACCTCCATCTTCCTTTGATTAGGAAGGGCTCCAGAGAAGGTGCTAACAGTTGAAGCAAAGGATGTCTATCAGTGCATGCAACCAAGTTTGGAGCACTTTACCAACTGCCTTTAGACTTTGTCAGAATGCTTAAGTGTCTGCACCCAAAATGGCATCAGATAATGCTGCACACTTAACCCTGACTGCATTAAGGCTTGCAAAAGGCAACACTGTGTTCTAAATACTAAAGGGACAATACGGCACTGCAAGGACTTACCAAATTTCAAACAACAAATACTATTCAGTATAAACCACTATAGTAGGCACTTAAAAAAAAGGTAAATACAAGGAATCTACATTTTTCCCCTCCTTACAACTAAAACCCCTCCCAGACGTTCAATGGAGCACAATCTTAGAAACATAAGAGTAGTGTTACAGTTAGCGGTCAAATTTCATATTTCTGCTTGCTATAGTAAGAACAGCCAGCAATTGTGATGCTCAAGTTCCATCATTTAAAATTGAACTTGCAAGGCTCTGTTAGTGACTTGTTAGTAGTAACATTACAGCTGTAGCAGCATTCCACTAATCCACAAGCATTTAAAAAATGCATCCGAAAACGCCTGCAAGATTAAAGGATAATCCACTGTTAAGATTACTTGTTCCATCACATTTCCTTGCAAATAGATTTAACAATGAAAAAAAATTCCATTATATCAATTGTTTTCACTTCCTTAAGCTACAGCTTAAGAACACCTGGCATATAATATTTTGCAGTACTGAATGAATTTAATAATTTTGTGAGACAAGCGGAATTTTAAATACTACATATTTGTTAGCTCCTTACCAAGACAGGAACCTTTTGAAAAAAAATTATTTACCTAATTGCCCAGAAATTGCCCCAGTTTCTAGTACAAGTGCTACAGCCCATGTATGCAGCAACAGCAGCTCTTTTCTGATGTTGTTTCAAGCTATTGCTTGCTCTCCCTCCCATCCCTTCGGGGCCTAAAGACTATTAAAGAATGTGTTTACGTGGCCATCACCACACTTGTATTTGCAGATTTTTTTCTACACCACAGTCTCGTGGCTGCATACTTGCTTGCATCTCTCCAATACCAAATGAACTAGCTGTACTATTCTGAGTGAAAGTGGACAGGAGTATCAACTTTTCATGAAACAGAGTCTTCAGCTCCTGCTGAAGCATCACTGTGTTGCGGAAGGCCCATAAGGGAAATAATACAGAGTCCTTTCTTAAAACTCTTTTGCTTGGTTGCCATCCTCGCTATCATATTTAGGAACCTCTTGGTTAGAGCAAATAATTTGGGGACATTTTTTCTTCTCTGTTATTGGACAGGTTTAACCACTGAATTCCTCTCACCTCTCCTGTCATCTTATCAGTTCTCTGAACCTTACTTCTTCCTCTTCTGATTCACAGCTTACTCATGTAGGTAAGCTATTGAATTCCATACTGCAGTAATATCAGGTTATTTGCTAAATACAACAGCCAGTAGCTTACAGGGTATTAAAAAAACAGCTAGATTTTCAGCTTTAGATCATATAGAGCAATGAAGTTTCCAGTTCCTAGCTTATGAATCAAGCAAAATAAACTGATTTCTTTAACCCGTCACCTCTAATTAATTAATATGGGAAAAGTGGGGAATGTTTCAATTCTGTATAAGATCGTTTATAGATTTACAGTACCTTTTGTATTTGACATTCAGCAAGGAGTAACCTGCACCTCCAATACATAGTGGATAAAGCAAATATGACAAGTATTTCATAGCCTAATAGACAATGAAAATATTTTGTTAGCTTACATTTTATATACAGCAGATTTGTCACGGCATTAACTACAAGACAGTCACATTTTTTTTCCCTGAAAATCTTTTCTTTTTCCAAATATCTACTATTATTTCCAGTATGCTTCCAGTTCTAGAGAAATGAAAATTCCAGTGCTCAGTTCAGACCACCAAGGATCTCAGAGCATACGCAATAAGAGGGAGCATGAAGGTCAGAAGCTCAGAGCAGCTCTCTGCTTAACTTCCTGATGTCTTCAACTCCTTTCAGAAATCAGGAAGCACATGAACATTGTTCCAGTATAAGTAACAAGCACAAATATAAATTTTCAAATTTGTGAATGAAGACTCTCCAAGATGCCTCTCTTCAGACAAGTCCCTTGCAATTCTGCTTCTCAGAGAAATGTTTCTACCTAATTCAGCTAACAACTCTTTCACTATTTTTCTTCATAAATTATTAGAATGAACCATCACTATTTGATCATCCACATAATGATGATCCTCTTGACAACTGTGAGAAAATGGGAAATGCATTTGCAGCAAGTCAACTTGCAAACAAGTCAATCAACAGGCCACAAATGTAAACTTTACGAATCAGAAGTCACAGGCTTCCCTCTTACCTGGGTATCATACTCCTCAGTTTTCCTTTCAGAGTCATTGTATGTACCAAACTGCAACACATATAAAATGCATTATCAAGTCAGAATCTCATCATCTACTAGTTCCACAATGGAGAAGTTATACCTACAGCTTCATAAAAACCTCAGTTTCTTACTTGAAATCACAATGCCAGATAAGAGTGGCTTTCCAACACAGTGGAAGGAGCACACTCACACCTGTTAAGATTTACCAGGACTGACAAAGGGGTTCTGAAGTTTCTCCTGCAATAAGTACACACAAATAGCTTTTTCTTCTATAAAATTAATCGTAAAAAATCATAATTTGAAAATGCTCAGCCAACTTTTGGATTAAGCCACCAATAAAGAGAAGATATACATAGGAAAAACCTTTACAGTTTTTTTTAAAATCTTCATTTCACTAAAAGCCAAGTTGCAGACTAATCTGGAAACAGGTGGAAAGCTCAAGAGTGTAATTGTTAACAGGCCAATGTCTACTATACCTGAATTTTGGGTCTCACGCCTTGCCACTTGATTGTCATTTTCAAAGCTTTCTTCACTTTCCAGAGCTGTGATTAACAAAAACAAAACGTGCATATAATTATCCAAAGGAATGTCTTATGCAGGATTCAGATACTCAGAATCAAGACCCTGGAATATCTATTTTAAGCACCCACTACATAAAGCAGCAACAGCCTGACTTCAGCACGCTGCCTGCATCCCTATACAAACCAAATCCTGTGTCACCACACAAGTACAACATTGGGAGCACGCACTATTAAAACTCCATATCAGATGATGTACTTTAAGTGAAATAATGTAGTCCTTCCAGGACATCTGGATTGCAGCCCTCAGGTGGGGGTGAGCTGCTCTTGGCACCAACATGCACCCCCAGGTCAAGCATTTAGGGAATTCTCCAGTAACCACCTGCCAAGCAAGTTTTTACATGCCCTCAAGGTCAGCTGGGATCTGCAAGATGAAGGTACCTCAGAACTTCTAGCAGCAATCAAGCGGGCACTTAAACTGTCATTACATTTCAGTAGTGGGTTACAAGCGAAAGACAGAAGAATTACTTAATTATTTGGCTGCTTACTGTAATGCCACAGCAGTTTGACCCTAATGTAACCAAAGGTTCGGTGCACCTGAAAATTTACTCATGTACCCACCCTGCTATATAGATTCAACAACTTAGGCAATGCAGTAAGCTCACCAGGAGAGCTATGCTTCATGAAACTTTTGGTGGACAGGGTTTGTTAAACTTTAACTACACCAATATTCTCACCCATCATACCTTCCAAACAAAAAAGTGCAATATGGTAAAGATGATCTTTGATGCAAGTGAGAAAATGGCTTACTACAGAAGCAATGTCAGTATTAGTACTGCATGAGAAACAGGTGTTAGGAATAAGCTGTGAAAAAAGCTCTTCCATCAGACAAATTCCTTGGAGATGTGTAGTCCCTATGGTCATTCTCACCTTGAGACAACCATGTTATCTCACCATTACTTGAAAGGAGCAATGCTACTGCAACAGAACCTACCGAACACTTCCCCTCCATTTGTGTCCCACACACTGTTCCTATATAATCCTTTCAACCCAGTTCCCCCAGCCTGCAATCCAAAAGCAATCCCCGAAACTGTTAAAATTTCAGACAGCTAAAGAAAGTTTGAAATCTAAGACTACATTTCTATTTATAGAAACAAACATACTGGCAAATCTGACACAGAAAACTTAACATACACCAGACTTAAAAATTTCAACTTACTGAAAAATGCTACAGTCAGTGAAATGGTACTATTTAGGACACCCCTGTTCGTAGCTTTCACAAGACCTTAATCTGCCTTCTACAGTAAGCTGAAATTTAAGGATCACTTTGTGACTTCGCATGCAACAATTTAATCACTAACTAAAAATTCTCAACTGTTCTGTTTCCACAGGGATTATCTGCAACTATAACAGATGCGTAGGCAAAAATTTCCCATGAGACTCCTGGACTTATTTTTAAATACTGAGAAGTGATTAGATCTGCAAGCAATGCTAGGTAGAAAGATCTCCCCTTCCCATTACTGTTGACTTTGTGCTTTATTATAGATAAAGCAGGCTTCTAAGCAGTACTTGCAACCCAGGGACTAGACATGGTCTGCTGGAATAACGAACACAGCCAGCAGTCTCCTCCTTTCCCTCCTTCCCCAAGCACCTCAGTCACAGCCCGGGAGAAAGGTGCAGGCCTGTGCCACTGCCTGATGGCACACAGCCTGCTCTTTGACAAATGTTTGCGTGAAGGCTTGTTGACATGGTTATACATGCCTGGTTGGGAGCCATGCCTATCAGATCCTGTGATAGGAAGGAACTTCAGCGTAACTCTGGTTTCCATTAATACATGCTGGCCCATGCCAGAAAAACCTGATACTTGCTGTTTAGTTATTTGATAAAGGGGCACAATCTCCTTTTCCACTGAAAGCCAGTTAAACAACGTTGCTAAGGTAGCATACTATAACAGCAATAGTATTCCAGTAACTATTTTAACACTCTTTTTCTACAAAAAACTATGGATGTTGCTGCAAATGCTGGTATTTGGTTCTAGACCTTTAAGAACTCACCTCAATCACTGCACCAATGCCTGCTGGGATCAGTACCAATAAACTTGTTTGTTCATCCAAAAGGAAAAGAAATATTACCACAGTACTAAAGCACCGCCAAAGCACTAGACAGAAAAAATGAAAGGCTTATTAATATTTAAATGAACAGCTGAGATCACAAAAGACTGTTGGCCTATTTACTGTAATTCCATCTTATGCAGTCTAAGCATGAACTTCTACACACATCTTGATATATCAAGCAGTTCTAGAAACAGCCAGTGATCTATATACCTCCAGGCAAATAAGGAACAAAAACATTTTATGAAATCCTTACCACAAAATATTTAATATTTGTAAATGTTAAAAAGTATATTTTAAGGTTATTTTTCAGGTTTTGCAAAACCTTGGATGCTTATAAGTGTCTATCAACTAATTCTTAGATTTGAATATCCACCCCCCTAAGCGGGAACAGAAAGAAAGAAGAGTTACAACACACTCAGACACCAACAATTACACTGAACCATTCCAGAACAGTTGCCTGTCACACTGTTCTCTCAGGGCAAGAAGGAGAAAAGGCAGAAAGGTGACAAAGGCTTGCTAAAGACAGCACGAAGCCATCAATTACTGGAGACTGAAGAGCGATACTTTAATAGTAAGGTTAAAAAAACCCTTTGCCACTCAGTCTTTCCAATTTGACTTTACTCACTTTTTAAGTTGGCAATCAACACTTAATTCTGAAATTTCATGGACCGTTTTTAATTTTTACTAACTTTTTGCCATACATATGCCAACAGCAGTATAAATGCCTTACAGAAACAAAGGCAATCAACAGATTTTCCACATAAGAAAAGCATTTTGCTGTTCATCATAATTTACAATGCCTAATTTTTTTCCTGATATTGCTACTCCTCACATGTTTTAATCAATTTGTATATATGATAAAATGAAGGACAGTCTCAGATGTCAAGTGACTCCAGATTTATCATTTTGATTTATAATTAGAACAGAAAAAAAATCTATTAGAAAAACTAGCAGTAAGTATTAGCACAATAAACAAGGCTGGGGAGTGGTACGTTAAAACCTCAAGCATCCAGGCTGGCTGCTACCTTCATCTGTCTCTAGGAAGGGTTAGCAGGATGTCAGACCACTAAGTTTCTCTCATCTTTCCTACAGTCAACTCAACCCTTCCATTCTCCCCGCCCCTTCCCCAGAAGCTTTTACTGCTCCTGTTTACACCGAAGCCCAAATTCCAAAACAGCATTACACTACTGTGTTTTCCCTCCCAAATATTTTGGAACCTGTAGTTATCTACAAGGAACACATAGGACTTACAGGGCAGCATTACCCATGACAGCACGTTCTCTCCACCCACAGGATTTTTTTTCTGGTCCTCATTCTCTTCTCAATGTATAAATTTGGTGATTGACTTAGTATTAAACTCATTCTTGATTGTACTACAGTCAAACCTCAGAAGCGACGTGAGTGGTTAAAAGCAAGTGATACTTGAGCACAGTGCTAGCAAAGTTAGAGCCAGCCTGTTAGCCATCTTTTCACACACAAACACATCTCATTTTACCATCTTGGTGAATCTACAAAGTTTCAACTTTGAGTAAGACTGAAAACACACAGTATATATTAGATAGCACATGCACACTCCAAATTTGGCCCATACCTGCTTTTGTAGACATCCCAATCATGCTCCTCTTTTTCTTCCAAAAACTGATGTCATTTTTGAATGCAAGAAAATCAAAGAGAAGCTGCAAATAGAAAGAAACACAGTCATTTGTTCAAATGTGCAGTAGTTAAAAACTACCAGCTGATCTGGTAAAAATGCATTTAAAAGGGAATTGCAAGAAAAACCTGTTTTAGAAGCCTCAGAAATATAAAATTAAATACTACAAAAAAAAAAAAAAACTGAAAAGAAAAACTGTTTTAGAAGCCCACGCTTCAGAAGCAGTGCAAAATGGCAGGTGGAATTCCAGGTACTGCTACTACTACAATGCTACATCTGGTAAAAAAAAGTTAGTGATCCAATACAGGGTAACACATAATAGAGAACGAAGAATTGAGGACTCTGAGAAATTGCTCACCTCCTTGACAGACCAGGGCAAGCCACCCTAAATTAGATTCAAAGTGCTTTTATAGAATTGATAAAGTTAGGCTTGAATAGTAACAAAGTTTTTAAAACACAGTACCAGTAACACATAATAGAGAACGAAGAATTGAGGACTCTGAGAAATTGCTCACCTCCTTGACAGACCAGGGCAAGCCACCCTAAATTAGATTCAAAGTGCTTTTATAGAATTGATAAAGTTAGGCTTGAATAGTAACAAAGTTTTTAAAACTTTCCTAAAATACAGAAGTAATTTTCTCCTCTCTACTTCATCACCAAGAAGTTGATCTGTATCAAGGACATTTTGGCATTGAATTTATATGTGCCAAGTATTTTTCCAGCATTTTCAGTATTTCTGTTCAGGACAGAATAGAATAGCTCAGTCATAAGGGACCTATGAAGTCTAAAAAAATTGTTCATTAAAACAAAGATTCATATTTAAACCAAGACACACACAATGCTGGCAGAGAGACATGACAACAACCAACCAGGCCTAAAGCCACAAGCTCTGCATTTTACAGTGACATTTTTTGAAGTAATCTAGATCAACTGATCTAAATTTCTCTAGGGGTTAGAAGTCAGAGACTCAAACCCTACTGGTTGGTGCCCACTGCAGCAGTAAACTGTGTGATAACACAGCAGAAAACGTGAACCAATGTTGACAGGCATATTAGTTCTGGGTGCTTTGGTTCAGCTAAAAGCACAGTGATGATAATGAAGTTAAATGTGTTGTATCTCAGTCAAGACTGTTTAGTTTATACCTAGTTTTCTCTCATATTTCTATCTCCTTTGAGATTTTTATATTAACTTGGCATTGGAAATACAGCTGACTTGTACCAGAAACCTTTTCTATCACTCTACTGAAATTACTATTTCCAACAACGGTTCTCAATAAAGGAGAGAGCTGAAGTTCAGCCCCCACCCCCACGCTTTTTTTTTTTAATAATTTCCTATGCTGTAATTCTTAAAAACCAGAATTTCTCTACTTACATGAAATGCAGCTACGAAGAATGTCAAAGCCAGAAAGTACAGGTTAGTGTCAACAAAAATTCCCTTTACTTCATCTGCATCCTTTTCTGAAAACCCTAAGAAAAAGAACAAGTAATTATGCAAGAAGTACTAGACAGTTAATTGCTGTTCTGCTAGAGTACAGTATGAAAAGAATCTTATTTCACCTGCACATGAAGGAATCATAAATCCCAAACAAGATGGCAGCTTTATTGGTAAAACCCAAGTCTACCTATATCTGGGCTAGTTATTTGGCTTGCCTTAAACAAAGCCCATCAGTTACAAGCAGGCTGATGTGCCTTTAACGTGTTGTGTAACTACAACCCAAGCTGAATACAAATGGCAAGACACAGGAAGTCACTGTCATTCTGGCCTGAGTGGGAAGAGAAACGATTATTCAACTTGGCCTCTGAGGTTTAATTTGGTACATAAGAAAGCTTCACATTAAAAACAAAAAATGAGAAAAGGACTATACTGTGGAGGACAACAAAGGTCAACGGGAAACATGTCCCTACATGCAACAGTATAGACCCCAATTTAGGCATCAACTCTTCTGACAGCCCTTGCAAAATTAACCTGGAAGCTTCTCTTTGACAAATGGAAAAAGCATCTTCCAGAAATCACTATCTGTAAGCTGAATACATATTCTCTACTGTCAATTATCCTAAAGGAGGAACACTGGTTTCTTGTTATGCACTGGACAACTATCCATTCAAAAAAAGTTAGAGCCTGTCTCTGATAAATACAGTTGCCAGCACCAAGAAGTGTGCTCTCCAGAATACACATCATCGCTTTGAACTCCTTTAAACAGTGTTAAGATGCTTTCTACATGAAGTAGAAAGTTCCAGCCACTGTCACTAAGTCCATCGTTCTCAGAAAATACACAATGCTGTGTTTACAGAAATGATGCTAATTATGACACTGCTGAGTTCAGTACCAATTTACTTTGTCGTATTGTCTGTCCTTCATCACAGCAAGTAGAATCTGAAGTTCTCCAATTTTCAAGTGATTTTGCAGTTTTGCTAAGGCGACCTTTTCTTCAGTTATTCCAAAAGGAAAATTTTATACCTTACATTTCACTATCTGCATACTTATAGACAATAAGCTGCATCTTAGGTAAGCTTTTTTTCCAGGCAGAGGAGGTATTCCTAGGATCACAGGTCTTGATACGTGTCCATCCAAGACACAGAACATGAAAATTTCAATTACACCACTCTGAGAAGGTTCAAAGAAATTTATGGAGAAATTACTTACAAAATAAATTTGTAACTGAGCCAGGCAGTTCTGAAGTGTCAGAAGGAGTATGATAAGAACCTAGCTTCTTGCTTCATGGTCAGCTTGAGCCTAAAGACTATGCTGTGCCTGCCTATATTTCACTGTAGGTATATGGCTACAGCAACCACCTGTACATAGCTTATATCAAAGTTTATGTAACACTGATGCAGCTTTTCTGTTCCATGGATGATAGGGGAAACCTGTGGCAAAAATCCTCTCCTCTGTTTTGGCCTCTTATGCTTTTACAGTAGTACTGTCCAAACAAAACCTATTTTAAAAACAGTTATTTCACTTCTGTATTCTTGTTTCCTACCATGTGTCAACATTTTATTTCCATCTTTATTTTAGATAAAACAATGTAAGATTTGTAGCGTTAAAACTTTTCACCAGCTAACCAGAAAAAAGGGTTAAGTGTCACCTATGTACTTATAAGCAAAAAAACCATGAGGGGTTGGTGGGGTTTTTGGCCTAACATCATTAAAGATGAAAAACATACCAAACTGTTGGAGGGAGTACACGGCGTCCTGCATGTGGATCCAAAACCGGAGCTTTCCAAGAGATATTTTGTCATATGACACCGTAAGAGGTAGCTCTGTTGTTGAACGATTTATAACCTGTATTTCAAAAAGATATAGTTTCATTTTTAATAGCAGAAAAATTGCAACAATTATTTCTAATAATTTTTTTTAAATTAAGTGATTATATCACACTATGCTTTAATCGCACAATTTAAAGAGCTCAGTTTGCTTCTTGAAAGGGAATAAAATCTTAGACTTCTATACTAGGCTTGAAGTCTTTGGCTTTTTTTTTTGCCAAGAAATGTTAAATTAGCAGTTTGTTCTCTTCAAGTTCTTACAGCAATCCCGCTGTTACTCTATACAATACCTCTGAGACATTTACATGGTCTGACATTTGCTGGTTTTAGCTTAAGCAGGAAAAGCATGTTTAAGGTAATTCTCTCTTTTAACAGTTCTCTGAATATATATGCTAAGATTACCTAAGCTAGAAGATTTAAAAAAAAAAAAATAAAAAAAATCATATCTCAAAGGCCACAGTCAGAACTTTACTAAATTGAGGCTGGTTTTGAGAGAAATTAAAGTTGCAGCAACTCAAAACAAAAGGTGGAGAAGCAAGATGGTCCTACTTGCTTAGACTGGTGAGAGACCACATGCAAGTTACCCTGTGTGTATGTGTATGTATACAGGGTGTCACAGAAATCTCCTGCCTGCTCAGCTGATCTTTCTTTATCATCTACACTTGTTAGGATGAGAACTACCTGGAGCACCCTTAAGCTGGGGAGAAGAAAGAAAAATAAAAAAAAAGGTCTTAAATTGGCTCAGCTCAGCTCCTTCGGCACGATAGGTGATAGTCTCTCAAATAAGTTTAAAACAAAAAAAAATAAAATTGTCCTCACAAATGTTAGAATAGGTACAAGTTCAGGCAGTACGTTTTACACTTTGAAGGACAGCTCAAGACTGGGGACAGGCAGGCACTCTGAATTGCAACAGTTCAAGATCTATTGCTCCCGGCTCCTAATTACCACCCAATCATAATTCCCATCTCAGAATTGCTACTCTACACTGTATCTGTTTCTACAGTAATTAGTTAGCTGACACCTGAGATGAACAAGCTTTTTCTGATCCTTATGTTACAGAACATGCTTTTAACCTCGCCACGTACCAGTCAGGTGTGAACTGGGGATTACGTTCACTCTCCCCTTCACTCTTTCCTCCAGTGAGTACCAACAGTTGTCAGTCTCACCACCCTCCCAAGACCCAAAAAGCTTTTCAGAGAGTGGCAGAACATGCCTGCACGCGTGCAAGGGAGAGAAAAGGAAGCGGAGTAAGTTTTATAAATACAGCAGGGGGAAATTTGGTAAACCAGAATGGTATCTGGGATCTCTGAACTGTCTGGAAAAAAAAACAACACAACAACAAAACAGGGTGAAAATAACCTGGTTAGAGCTCACAGTAGAGAATGCTGGCAAGATTCTACAGCTGTTTACCAAAAGCTACATAAACATCTTCCAGGCTTCCTCTCCTTTTTAAAAGGATGCCTGTAATCCCTCCATTATCATTCCAATTTCTCAGTCTCTCAAAGACAGCATCAACATTTCTGGGAGAAAAGGAAAGAAATTTTATCTGTGCAGGACAGCTAGAAAATAATTTTGCAAATGTGTGGGTAAGTAACACGCAGCAACTGTACTCTACACAAAGCATTACTAAGGGGTTAGGGGCTGGGTAGGGAGAAAATCAGATTGCAATACAAGACAGAGATAGGAATTCTTCAACACCAAAAACAAATTACATGAACAGATACATATATTTTAGAAGAATGAACTCTCTCAATGAATGATTAGAAGTCCACAAGTGCTGCCTGACAGCCTAGTTGAGTGTGATGGTTGCTAAGCCTTTGAAAACTAGTTATCAAACCTCTGCAATACAATCTACTCTTGTAGTATGGCCTCAGAACATCACATTCAAGTTTTCTCTTTGTTAAATCAGAATCCTGTGCAATCTCTAAACCCTCAGCATTGGCAAGAACGTTTAAGAACATGAGCAACACATAACCTCTAGACTATAGTACTTACCACAGAAGACCTACTATCTGGGTCAAAATAACAGTCAAAATCTACACAGCCTAGCACAAGCAGAGAAAACATCTTCTCCCCCATGACTTTAGGTCAGGCATATCAAACAGAGAGGGTCTATGCCCTTATTTAAAGTCAAATGCTGACCTTGCTCCAAAAAAAGCTGTATCACCTTTTTCCCTTATCCTTTCCCTTATTCACTTTCCCCTCATTATCTCACACTATGCATATTGTTAGACTGACCACTCTTCTGCAGGGCTTGCAAAAAGTTTGGCAAGTCACTGCTGAGAAGTCACGTTAAGTCAGTGCTGAAGGGGGAGTTTGCTGGTTTTGGTGGAATAGTCTTTGCAGTGCTTCCCAGGATCTTTAATAACTTTAAGGCAATGAGTTATGACAGCATTAACTGTGACATGCATGACAACTGCAGGAATGTCATTAATAATGTGAGAATACTGCCTTTATATGTAAACAGGCTACATGACCAGCTAGAAGTTCATATGAATGTACTGAACTGAATAAGTTGCGGTAAGAAACTTAAAAAAGGACAATGACCACTGATAAAGACATCACAAAAGTATATCCAAAGAAATACTGGACATAGTTATCTGTGACCAAGATTTGCAACAAATCCTCAGGAGTTTGTTTTGCTGAAAAGCTTGGGGGTGAGGATACCAATTCTTAAAGAAGATTCTCCCCAACAAAAAGTAACAAAATTCTTTGTCTGAGCTGAAATTAATGAATTGGAAAGACAACATAGGAGGTCTATGGAAAGACTTCCATCTGGAAGGTGCTGAATCCAGGCATACTCATGTAACAGTTCTGAGACATTCCGCAAGACTTTTGGTCTCAGAAACTCTGATTGCTAAATTCTAGTCAGTGCAACTGAAAAGAACTGCAGGGCTTAACTAAGAGCTGCTAAGATGAACATAGCTTAGATGCAAGGGATCTTATAGTAAAGGAATGGCACAATTTCCCACAAGAGAATAGTTGGGCAAAAACTGAACACAGACAGTTCTATTTAAATGTATGAAAGAGCCTTTTTTTAACTGCAGCAGTGACTGAGCACTGTAACAGGTTGCCCAGAGAGGCTATGGCATCTCCATCCCTGGATACATCCAAAACCCAACTGGAGAAGGTCCCGAGCAACCCACTCGAGGTGATTTTTCTTAGAGCAGGGGTGTTAGACTAACAACCCCCAGAAATCTCATTCAGCCTTATTCTGCTGTAATTCCATTATTGAAACTTCTAAGCCCTGATTTGTTTCAGTGAACAAAATCACTGGATGTAACACCAAACTGTCAGGTGTCCAAGTTACTCTAACATGATAGAGATCACCACCAGGAAATGTAACCATGAGTGAATTTTTTGGAGATAAGAGAACAGCTACTGACTTATCTCAGTGTAGCTCCAGTATCAGCTGTGCTCAGTATGGTCATTTCCCTAGAAGCTATCAGAAGCAGCTCTGCAATGCTAAAGGAACTTCTTTAGCTTAGGGAGTCAAAATTGCTCATGAGACTGCTCCCACCACAGCTGCTGCTGCAGTGATGTCCTCTGTATCTATCCAAAAGGCAAAAGCAGTGGAATCCAAGCACCTTTTGGTGGAACACAAGGGAGTGCTTGGCAGAAACCTCTGTCAGAGAGGAGTTTCAAAACTCAGATCCACCCTCTGCAGGTACCACACTCGACCACATTAATGTAACAGTCATTGGCAGAGTCCTTTTGTGAATTTATACTTTTTCATTACAGCAAACAACCTATGACAAAATCTTAATTAAAAAAACATTGAAGATTACTATTAAAACTGTGAAATGTAATTAAAGGTATTCTACTACTCACCATCAAATCTTTCACTCTGTTGCTTAGCTGATCAATAAATAATATTGGAAGGTAATGCACTGTCTTCCCCAACTGAACCCTAGGATGTTTAAACATGGATTTTATGACTGTAGTGATCTAAAAAGAAAACTACTTTTATTCAAATTAGCACTCATTCATCACTTTCACATCTACCCATGTAGATATTTCCCACCACCTTTTCAGGCACATTTTCCTTTAATACACAAGAAAAAAGAAGCCACTAGCCCAGAGCCTTTCTCTGAGAGAAGTCTGTACAAAAAATTAGGCATGTCACGTTTCTCTTTTTAGTTTGTTTTTACTTTTCTGTAGAAAGACAGAATAAGCAAAAAAAAAAGAAAGAGAAATGACATTGGCTGTGATGATGCTGAAGCTGTTGCATGACAAAGGGCAGAGGAAATTTAAAGTTAATTGAAGAGAAATGTGCTGAAGTTTACTACCGTATATGTGTATCCTTTGTCTCAAGTATCCCTCTCCTACTGCAACAAGGTCAACTCTTCACCACCTCCCCCACTCCTCTGCACCCCCAATAACATCGGGTCAGCAATAGCCCATGCTGTAGCTAGACTGGGACTATGAACACAATGGCTGGTACACACACCAGAAGGCTGCATACTACTGGAGAGAGTGCCCGAGGAGCAGAAATCTTCTCTGCCTTCTCCTCGACAGAAGCTCTTCTTTGGATTGCTCTACCACCTCACCAACCCACATGGAACCAGTAGAAACTTCCCAGCCTTCGAGCCCTCTACAAAATTGACCACTGGAAAGGTATTTACCAAATCATGACTTATATACAATTGCTTTGTCACTGTCTTAGGAAAGTATTTAGCCTAATGCCCAAAGAGATACAAATTCTTAAAGTTCCTCACTAGAAAGGCAGTTATCTACACTGTGATGATCTTGGCAAAAGTCTATGGAACTAGCATAATGGAGCTTTTTAAAGCCCAAATTTGAATTTTAGTTGTTGACAAAAGACAGAAGTCTCTATGCCTGCTAAGAAAGACTGCATATTAAATATACAAAGGGCAACAGTGATACAGAAAAGTACTAAACTGATGCTCAGAAACACTGCTTGGTTAATTAACTGAAGAGGTTTAGATTTCTGTATAACGACTACAATTAAAGCTACTGCTAGCGGAATTGCAGCAGGCTACTTCATATCTAAACTATTTCCTGTACAATGCAATGACAAAACTGCACTAATGAGTATCTAAACACGACCAGAAAAAATATCCTCGTTCATCAACCCCTTCCTGTCATGGGCCTATCTTATGAGTTGCTAAGTTTATCCATTCTGGCTGGGAAGCTATCCCAGAACCCCAGGGTCTGCCGATTAAGCAACTGCTTCTGGATTTAACAGGATACTTGGAGAGAAAGGCATCAACATATAGCAGCACAAGTCAACATAGCATTATCTACATGGTTAATGCCAGAAGTAATTTAAACAAGCTGTGAACAGAAGCTACTGCCCGCATTTAGTGGCCTAAAAACCTATCCCTGCTTTTTAGTATTTTCTTGAGAAAGTGACATAACGTAGGAACACATATTGTCAAAGTAAAATAAAGCAAATCATAAAGGGAGAAAAAAAAGATGACATAGGAGATCAGCTGCTCCTCTTCTGCACTTGCAGTTTGTATAGATAATTTGCAGATGAAGTGTAAGTGGAAAAGTCAAGGGACAGTAATTGCTTTGAAGGCCAGAGTATGATTTGAGAACAAGGAGGTATGAAGTCTGCTGTAGCATTTTACTTGCCTCTTTGTAGTTCTGTTTTCTCTTACTATGATAACTCTATACAAAAACATACTCTAAACTCTGAGCTGCCCAGGAACAAGCTATCTCCAATAAAGTTTTCTAGTACGTAATATCTTACTAATTGTCACTACTGAAATACAAGCATTAAGAATATCCTTGTGTCTTAAGTGCCAATTTAAACATAAAATACTAAAGGAGGCCAGGGAGGATTTCTGCAGAAATGTGCAGTAAGTTTATACTAACAGATCTAGCAAAATTAAGTCATCAACTCACATCTTCATGTAACGGTGAACATCAGCAGGAAGGGATGATCCATCAAACACAAAATCTTCCACCATGACATTCAAGGTTAATCTTGATCTCCAGTGAGAGACAGGTTCGTCTAGAGCATTGGTCTGTTTTTCTGCTTCAATTTGCTTTAAAAATACAACACATATGTACATATTGATAAACAATATGGAATTTTGAATAGGATAACGGTCTAAATTGCAGAAACTATAGAGTCACAAACTATATCACTAAGAAACACTTTACCTTAATTTTGAGCAGATTGAGTATTTTGCTCAAATACCATAGAATGGATTGTAAAGGCCTACCATAATCTGACTCTGAAAAAACTTTAGTGTCCATTCACAGCCTTGTTCATCAAGAATGAATATTCAGGTAATTAACCTTAATACCTTAGGAATGTGGATTCTAGTCAAAAAAGGTCACTTTGACATAAGGATTGTACAGTTATCTGATGCTACTTCAAAACACTCAAAAGGATGGGGATGATCAACTATATTAATTTTTGGGAGTAAACAGATCAGACCATTTGCTTTGAACTTCTGTGTAAAGCAGTGCTGAAACCAAGTACAACCTTAGCTTTCAGCAGATGCTTATCACCAAGGCATTCTACTTGCTTTTCTTTGAATGAACACCACATGTTCTGACTTTTAGTGTTGGACTCCAGCCTCAACTTATTTTCAACTTTATTCTTACAGGATTTAGAAACAGCACCGCTGGCTACAGGTGTATTACAGATTCCAACGAAAAACAGTGAAATTCTCAAGCTCCACTTAACAAGAGGTACAACAGCCATTCACAAGTATTTCGTTAAGTAACACTACATTTCCCCCACACACTGAGTAATCATAGTGTTTGTTAAAGGATACTATCTTATTCTCTTGAATTGAAGTGAAAAGTAAGAACATCCTAAAGGAAAAGGCGCAATTTCACGTTGGTCACTCACCAATGTCAAAATCAAGCTTGCAACTCTGTTTTATAAAAGCAAAGCACATCATTTCACATGAATCCAACCCACTATAGAAAGCAGCATCATACTGTCACAAAAGAATACAGTGTTTCTACCAAAAGCAATGAATCCTTGAAGTAGCAACTAATGTTAACTAGGGAAGCTTTTAATAGCAGTCAGTGTTAGGGCTCTACACCTCTGCTGTGCTGAATGGTCTATTATTGATAATCAAGAGTTTTGATTTGGTTTTTTGTAATTTTTTTTTTTTTTTAATATCATCATTAGTGTAAAGATGCAAGCATAGCAGATACCAACACTGGAAGCGTCTACAACAGAAATTACTTCTGTTGCAGTTCTTCATCTACAGATGGAAAAATCACCTACCTGTGTGGCTGATTCTCCAGTGAGCAAATTAATCTCTTCTGGTTTAGGTACCATGTACGTGGTCAGAGGGCTTACTATATGGACCTGCTTACCGTCATGCCAAGGCAAAATGCCAGCATGGTGAAGAAATATATATGCATATAACGTGCCATTATTTCGTGTTTTCTTTGGTACAGAGACATTCACTGTCCTAAAATACAAAATAAATACATTATGAGATCACATAGCACATGCTGAAACTTCTATTTACATATTTCAATTTATATACTCCAGTATGTATCATAATACTTGCATTTCCTGAATTTCACTATTATCTTAAGATACTTTAATCTTTGTCCAATTAATCCTTTATTACCCCAGACAACACAGGACTGCATCACCAGATCTTTTCTTGTTTTCCCCTGCCAATAGGTCATAGGGCCAAAATTATCACACCACTTGTAGAAAATATCCTTCCATGTGCTGAATATGTATATATGTATACACAATAAAAAGTTTAAAGAGAAAAATCACCAAGTTTTACCAAGCGTTTTGCATTAATAAAACGTCCTCTCAGCCATGGTGTGCCAAGCACAGAACTCTAGATTACTAGAGCCCCAAAGCATGAACTCACTCCCCTTGTGTTAAGCCAAGAAATCATCCCACTTGCAACCTTGCATAATACATCTTGTATTCCTGTAAATTTGCTCGGGTTATCTTTCTCTGAATACTTTCAATGGCTTAGCAGACCGTATCAGTGAAACAACTCTTATATTTTCAAGTCTGTCAGAGATAAAGTTCAATATGACCTAAACTGCAGGCCATCATGTTCTTTAATTACAGGAAAGGCAGAATGGGAAAGAAACGGGGAGACTCTGCAAGAGGAGTCAAAAATAAGGCGACTATCTTCAACAAAAAAAAAAGTGAGGCAGCAAATATGAAGCACAAACAATTAGTTCTAATCATTTTAATTGTATAGATGCACACGTATAGCATGGTGTTATACTCAGAAATTTGTCTAACAGCACAATCTTATTCCATCTTAGCAGCAACACCCCTTCAGAAGATCTTGAAACCCTGAACTACCAGAAAAAAAAGTTTGTTTTTATGATTATTAGCACTGAAACAGTTACAGAACAAGAAAAAAGAACATGGTTTGCCTTCCAAATTCTATTCTGAAGTCACCGCTATTAAGAACATCATTGCAGCTAGCACACTAGCTACGAGTTATTAGAGGAAATTCTCAAGCACTTCCAGGTACTTTGACTTTGATTTTCCCAATAAAAAGTTATTTGTACTATTATAAGCAAAGCATACTTCTGTAAAACTGTTGCCTGTGCAGCTGAAAACAGTATGCTGATCCAAACTAACCAATACATAAGTTTAGCACAATATGTGTACGTTACTGATCTAGCACAGCTAGTGAGATGAATGTTTAGAGTGGAATCTATTTTCAGATTATTATTATTATAGACAATATAGGTCAGCATTCAAGATTTGCAAAATCTACATGAGAGAAATAAACATTTCTGTATTTACTGGTATAGCTTTGTTTTGCAAGCTCTGTTTCTTGCAACTACGAGGTGATTTTCAAGGTGAGAAAAGTTTGTCTAAGTGCATATTCCTCGGCGCCAGGTGAACTTTGCATATCATTTCCACCAAGGCGGGCACTTTACCAATATTTAATTAATGAAATATTCTAAGACTTCTTTTATTAACAGCAGCACTTTGTCCTCAACTCTAAGGCTGGAATCCAACTAACATCTTTCCTGCCTTAACATGGCAAATATGGTTATTACTTTATGAAAAACAAGTGTGAACCGAATAGCCTGTAGAACATGCAAAACCAGCTTTAACCCCAAAACAAAGAATGCAAGAACAACAACTCTACTCTTTCAACACAACTATAACAAACAGTGCACTTTGCTTCATGTATACTTCAGTATCTGTGACTACCAGTTAGGATACAACCTTCATAATCAAAGAAATAATTCATAGTTTGGGTACCTACCTTTCAAATTTGGACTCAATATCAAAATCCTCCACGTTCAAAACCAGATCTATATTACTCTCAGCACCGATGCTTGACCGCGTGGTAGTATACACGCTTAACTGAAACCAAAACACAACACGGAGAATTCAGAGTACAGAAATAATAAGTTAGAATCACAGAATAGCTTGGGTTGGAAGGAACATTAAATATCATCTAGCTCACCCCCCCTGCCATGGGCAGGGACACCTCCCACTAGAGCAGGTTGCTCAAAGCCCCATCCAGCCTGGTCTTGAACACCTCCGGGGATGGGGCATCCACAGCTTCTCTGGGCAACCTGTTCCAGTGCCTCACCACCCTCACGGTAAAGAATTTCTTCCTAATATCTAATAAGCTAAACCCGCCCTCTTTCAGTTTAAAACCGTTACCCCTCATTTGAAGTTCATGCATCGTTAGGCTTAAAGTATAGATCTGTATGTGTCCCAGCTTTGCCAATTTCCTAGTCACGTGACGGTTATATACACCGGGAAGGAAAACAACTCACACAGAACAAGTCTAAAATAGCTTTCAGTTAACTGTTCCCTCCTTCTGGGGGCAGAAACGCACCGTGACACGGCCCCCGAATCCGTGTTTATAGCACGCCTTTATAGGTGGGAGTCCCAGACCCGTGAGCAAGCTGCCCCGTTCCCCCCCGGCTCCTCCGCCCGGTGCCCGCGCCGACAGAGACACGCCACCCGCACACCCAACGCGCTCCTCCTCCCTCCGCCGCCCACGTTGCCCGGCCGCCCGGAGCAGCCCTCCGCCCCCGCCACCGCCGCGGGGAGAAGGCGGGCTGTCACCGCGGCGCCGACAGGGCCCGAGCGGGCACCGCCGTGGCTCCCCGCGGGACGCCACCGGCCCGTTCCGCCTGCGGTCCGCCCCGAGGGGCCGAGGCGGGGCGCGGCCCGTCACCCGCCCGCTCACCTGCAGCTTGGGCCGCCGCGCCAGGTAAGGCCAGACGCAGCCGGCCGCCGCGCCGCCGCCTCCCGCCGCCGGGCAGGGCCGCGTGTAGACGATGCCGTACATCACCCAGCACGTGTGCGCCACGTAGACGGCGAACACCCCCACCACCAGGCTGGTGAACGAGCTGCGGCTCAGCATGGCGGCGGCCGCCGACCCCGACCCCCGCCCCCGCAACCCCGCTCGGGATCCGCCCGGCCGCCCCGCCGCCGCCGCCGCCGCTCGCGCATCCCCCACGCAGCCAATCGACCCGCCCGTCACTTCCGGCCGCCGGAGGAAGCGCCGCCTCGCTGCCTAGCAACCGCCGGGCGTCGCGGCGGGATGTCAGAGGGCGGCGCCCCCGCCGCCGCTAGAGGGCGCTGAGGGAGCGGGTAGGGGTGGGGGGGGAATGGCCGCCATGTTACCTCCCCCGGCGGCTCCTCCAGGAGGGGACAGGGCCGTGGTGGCAGCGCGCGTTGCGTTTTGGGGCCCTGACAACGGCTTGGGTCCGGGAAGGGCCGGCGAGGAGAGGAGAGGCGAGGCCGGGCAGCCCAGGTTAGGAAGGGGGAGAGGAGGCCCCGGTGCGGCACTGGGCCCCCACCGCCGCCGGCAGCCAGTAACTGGAGGAGAGTGGAAGAGGCAGTTTGGGACTTAATGCAAAGGATTAATAATAATAATAAAAAAAAAATCCTTCAGTAGTCCAACGAGAAATTACTTCTGATACAGAGACTGAAAGGTAGTGTAATATGATTTATAAAAAGGAAAGGAGCAGCAGGAGCGAAGCCTGAGGGGGTGCCAGCAGCCAGGAGAAAGGAAGGGGCTGATGGAAGCAGTCCAGGGGCAGTGCTGCTGCAGGGCTGTCCCTCCCGCCCTGGGCTCAGAAAACCTGAGCTGACACATGCAGCCCCTCAGGGGAGCTCGGAAGGTTCTTCCAGGCCCTTTGCTGGGAGTAAAAATTGAGCGTTTCTGGTTGTTTTCACCTGTCTGCTCATGTGGTGCCAACCAGGAGAAGGCAGTGATGCAGGTCCATACCTCAAATACACCACAGCCAAGTGTGTGTGTCCATCTTCTTTGGACAGAAGGTGTGTGGGGGCAGAAAAGGCACAAGTGTGGGTTTGAGATGACTGCCCCGGCAGCTCCAGCAAGGTGGCACACCAGGGAGCTGCCCTGCAACGCAGACAAGTGGGGAAACAGGCACCAGCAAAGACAGGGGCCCGCGAAGGGCCGGAGCAGTCTGGGGCATTAGCCTAAGTCATTGCAGGATGCACAGAGCTTGGAAATACCACAGGGTAAGTTAAAGATGGATACCTTCTTCACAGCGAAACATATATAGACTCAGTCTCATTCACAATTACGATTTGCAAACCTTGTTGTTTATAAAAAAAGAAAACCTTAAACCTAAATAAAAAATAAATCCAGAGGAATCCAAACTTTTTTTTGATTCATTTTTAATTTGGCTTCACGCTGAAAATTCAATTTACAAGCCATTCATAAGGAAAATGGGTCCAAGTTGGGCAGAATGAGCCATGATTGTATACTGCACATCAACACCTGTAGTGTATCATTTAGTTCCCTTTATGTAAATCAGCATATGACTCATCTAGCATGGGTCAAGCCTCTACATCATTTGGCTCAGTTCATCACGCGCTATAGACCATTTCAACCTATCAGACAACTAACAAGAAAAGAATGCTCAAATTGAGGTATTTCCTTGAAGAATTTACTGATCACTGGCATTCAGAGGTAATGTTAAATCATAGAGTTTTAAACATTGAAAAATGTACAAAAACAAGTTCATTTTTAAAAAATATTATCCTTAGTCTTCCATGCATGCTAATAAAAAATATAAAAATCAAATTTGTAGCACTGAAGCTATACTTTTCATTCTGCAGAAGTATTTCCCCAATTGGAACCACAAGCTACAGCCATCTTTAGTACATTACTGGGTTTTGCTTTTCAGTCGCGAAGTACAGGCAGTTCAGTGCAAAGGTAATAGTCTATGTACACATAACCATAGGAGGGAAATTTACAGCAGAAAATAGGCATTCAGATTATCATCATCATCCAGTAGCACTATGTATCATTACAGATTTACACTGCATATCCAAGGGCTATTCTAATAAAAAGCTTGCGGCCAGTACACGTCTGTAAGCGGCGCAGGGCTGCCAGAGCAGCCTGGACGCCGGCAGCAGCTGCAGCAGGGATGGAACAAGCACACAACACCCTGCCAGCGAGGTCCCACACAGCAGCTGCCTGCTCTGTGGGCACAGGGCTTCAGCTAAAAGCATCCTCTTCATGGCAGTGCCTACCTGGGAGTCAGTAGCCGTTCAGAGAAAATTCCAAAATCTGATTGTTTAAAAGGTTAACTTTTTTTTTTCTTCTGCATTTAAATTCTCAAGTGTATTCAAAAACATAGCAATATTTTTTCCAAAATATATAAATTATATCCTCAATGCAAGTTTAACAATAATTCAAGAGATCAAAAACATTTTTATTTTTTCTAAATTATTTCTCAACTTGTTGAAAGCTCAATTTGCTTCTTCCAAAAAGATGAACTAGTACCTGTGATCAAATTAGAAATGTGTTGCACACCTGGAGAAACGCTGGGAATTACAAAAAGGTTTAGAAAATGGTCCCATTGAGCAGATGCCAAGTACTTCCAGCACAATGCCGCACCATCCAAGTCGCGTAGTACGGAATACAAAGTCAGCAGATGCTTCGTCTTGGTCCTCCTCCAGGAAACAAAACCTATCACTCCTAAAGAAATGTACTTCTGACTTCTATTTCTAACGTTACTGATGTACAACGGAGCTCTTAATACCCTTAGAGCAATTAGAGGAAGCAATATAAACAAATCACCAAACACAAACAACTACAGACAAGCAGCCGCAACGGTTTTGCTTTTTGTCTAAGTATATACAATTGCTAAGGAGAAATGTTTAACTTAAGGGTGCTAATCCACATATTGAAAAATACAATTTCATTTTTACATGTTTACTTAAAAACTGCTTTTGTAGTCTGGAAAGTACAGCACTGGCTAACCTAAACCTCCCTTCTGAAATATAAGAAATATTTTGCTTGAACTTCATTATAAAAGAAAACGTAGGACAAAAATATATACTTAGGGCTTACAAGATCTTTACAAGTTTATTTCTTCAGCATTTAAAATACAAAATTGTCTTCATGCTGGATAGCGAATAAAAGACATGTATTTGGGTTTTCCCCATATACATTCATAGACTTAGAAATAAGCTATTGTCAGATGAATTTAATTTCCAGTACCATGGTAGGATGAAAAGTGTCTGAACTTCTGCTTTCTTCAGTGTCCATGAGGAGACTTAGACTTTGTTTGCTATCACATTTATAGATGCTGCATTTGAACTTGGAAGTAAACAGGTGCACACTGAAAGTGACATAGTGAGTCAGAAGTCAGTCCAGTTTAATCTATTTATATTTCTAAATTTAATTTCTTATTGTTCATAGGAACAAGGAGAATCTCCTAAGCTCTTTCAGACCTGCTGTCACCTGGACACACCTGCAATGGTTAAAGTGCAGGAAAAGGAAACTGCTGAAGCAGTAAGGAGCCCTTAGCTTTGGGTGGCATCACCAGGATGTGACTTTAATATCCACCAGCTCCTTACAGCTCAGGGAGGAACGTCCACGAATGTCACTTCAGCTGAAGAGGCAGTGAGGCCTCCCTCAGGCTGCAGCACACCTACAAGAACAGGCAGCAGAAGCACGAGCTAGGGACACACACAACCCAATTCACCAGCCCAAGGGGCAGAAAAGGTCCTTCTTTACTGTGGGACAAGGCCAGCGGCACAGTGACAGTGTCGCTGCCACACGAGCCTTGATGGGCTTTACTACTTGCTGGCTCAGGACCAGAAGTTCGACCTCATTTTTCTCCAGCTGACTCTGGCTCAGAACTCTCAAATATCAGCCCATTCATAGTATCAAAATAATATTCCCATTTTATTATTAAAATAACAAAAGTCATTATGATTTTCTTCTTGCTTCTAACATTTTTTCACCAAAGTGAGAGCTGAAGCTTAGTGCTACATCCACAGATCATCATACAGCACCTTTTCCGAGATCCCCAAGCCAACCTCAAAGAAGCCGGGATGTTTGTATGGCCATGTGCAATTTAGTTCAGAATACAGAATTATGACAACCACATTGGTAAAAAAAAAAAAACCAAACCTGAAACCAACTAAAATAATTAACAGAATCACTTACTTGGGTGCGACCTGTGCTAAGGTGATTCCACTGTTTCCGTTCCCAGAGACTGACCATTAGGAAACTGCAAATACATCTAACTGCCTCCCGCACTTAACCCGCACAGGAGTGCTCTCTGCTCTGCCACTTTGCTAAAGAAAATGCAACAAGCAGCAAAATTATTCTGCCTAATGAATTTACAAGACAGAGTGTCAATTGCTGTGAAAAGGTCTCAGTGTGTTTCACAGAAACACAGCCCCTCCGTTTTATAAGCCTCTCAAATCCTCCGCTCTCTTCATATCACCCACTTGAATTTAATCCCATTACCCATGATAAAGCACACGATACCATCTGGGGAAAAAGAAGCTGTTTTCTACAAAGCAAACAGCTCTACTCATGGAAGACAAAATAATTAATATCTTGAAATAAATCTGAAGGGTTTCCTAGAGAAAGAAACTGTCTTGGTTACTACAAGATGCAGGAAATATTCCCAGGTGCAGGTCCAGGCACGCCTAAGGGCTGCTGCATTCTCTCAGTAGTTTTACCTCAATATTGTATAATTTATGCACGTTTTGATCACGACTAACGCGTATACCCAGTTTGCTGCCTTAGCTATAGCACAGAACAATCATCTTTTTTCCTCTGAGGTGGTGCTGGAGAGTTTTACCTTTAAGGAGATCTTACAAGGCTCCTGTCACAGTTGGAATACTTTTTTCCAGTCCCCATAGGAAAAAGGCAGGGAGAGGAGATGAAATGGTGCTGGCTGCGCTGCCCGTGAGCTGGACCTTACTGAGATACACGATGCTCCAGGACCTTCAAGGAATTATCCTCTGACTGAAGAACTGCTGGCTAAATTTCTACCTAGCTGGGACTGCAAAATGACCTGAATGACGATCTCAGTCTTTCTGCTCATCTGTGAAACAGATCTTGTGGTCTTGCTAGACTGATTAACTATTTAATCTATTTAATTATCGGTGGCACTGATTACAAATTCTTACTTTACATTTCAAATTGTTGGACCTACTCTTCCTCCTTTTGTTTGGTAAAGGATCTAGCCATAATAATCAGGTAATTGAAGTTTTCCAAATTAGCTGAAGTTCAGACACCTAAAACATAATAAACCATCTGAAGTGCTTGGTTCACAGGGAACTTCTGTGCTTCAGTATGAACTTAGGAGCCAAAGTTAAATTTTGCTAATGTAAAACTCTTGGCCAACATATTTATAATTTCTAAATGCTTGCACATTCATGAAAGTGCTGCTAGAAAAAAAAGCAGAGGGTTCACATGAAGCAAAACACGTTTCAAAAGGTCTTATAATCTTCACTCTGATCTAAAGGAAAATTAAACTTACTTCATTAGAGTTTTCATCAGACCTTTTTTTAGGCATCCCAGTTCAATCCCATAATATATGCAAAGCTGTGCTCACATAGTTTCTCTGAGATCTACAGCACGTGGCACTCAAAGAATAGAAGTTGCAGAACTTGACTCCTCTTTTTATATATTTTTTTTAAATGAGAATACCATTTTTGAAGGAGTGGAGAGCAGGATGACTGAAAACAGTCAACACAAAAAGCTGTACTTACCACATGATAATACAACGTAATAAAAATAACTTAATGGCAATACCAAAGATGGCATTGTAAGGGAACTGATAAATGAATAAAAGTGCATCTGCTTTAGAAAATTTATCAAGCTATGCAAATGCTGGCAACAATCCCTCTTCCAGAAAACCATTTTACTACTTATTATGAATAAAAACATATTCCATCCAGCCCAATGCTTAAACCAGCAAACAAACTTATTCAGTTTGCATGAAAACATTAATAAATAGCCACGTATAAAACTATTTACTTCCGTCAGCTTTGCCAGTAAAGAGTCTGCATCACTTCCTTCCTGCACACGTGTCTCCTGTTCGACCTTTGTGACCTAAGGATTTATACCTTCCAAGTGGGATTAGCAAACACACACAGAAGCCCGATTGCTTTTATCATAGGACGATTAGTCTAGCTACAATAAATGCATCGAAACGTAATTCAGATAGCGTAATTTACTGGCATATAATTTAGTTTACAACCCAATTTCTCCATAGGGTTTACAAATTGCCTGTAATGCCTAACGCCTTTTAAATGTATCCACTTGCAGTGGAGGACTCCTGAGAAATCTATAATAGCACATGCCCTACTGTGGTTTAAACATACTTTGCACCTCCTAAGTTTTTGTGTGTTTTTAGTGGAGTTTTATTACGTTTGAAGAAGTATAAATAAAGAAAAAAAAAAAGACTTCTTAGATAACTTGGATTTTGTGACTTTCTGTGTTATCTCAAATACATTCAAAATACAGAGTGTACTACCTCAACCATATCAGAATAGCAAAGCTTTGGCTGGGTCTCCCATACACTATACACAATTTCAGTCCGATGCATGAGCTGTACTCACAAGGGTTGGCAGTATTGCATAAAAGTAATAAAATGCTCATCAGAAACGCCAAATGCCTCCACATTCCTGCATTTTTTTTTGTCTAAGGATCATTTATCAAGTTAAATTGTTGCAAAGAACTGAGGTAATTTCTTTGTATGCCTCCTTGTAAATTTAGGGGCTGTTGATATTGCCAGTTAAAGTGAAACAATGTGTTTGTAAAACCTGTAATATTGTAATTGAAAGCATTTGCATGTCAATATTTGTTGAAGGGGAAAGGAAGCTTTCAGTTCTACCCTGACATTGCAGCAAGCCACTGAAACTTGGCTGTCACAACCCAGCTGTTGCAGGCTTGGTGCCTTTTCAAAAGGCTCCTTACGTGGAACTACTGAGCCGTTCCAGCAGCGGGAGTTGCCAGCTGAGCTGTAAGGACAGAGCTGCAGCCACGCCTGACAGCTCTCAGCCCTCACTAAACTGCGAGATTACCACCCCTCCCACCACAAGGTACTCTAATATTATAGTCTTAGATTCTACAGAGAGTAAAATCACCTGAATTATATTAACTGATCTCGGGTTTTGTGACCTTATGTGATCTCACAGTGTTTCCATGCAGGCTAATCAGGACTCCACTCTGTAATTCATCATATTATGTCTCTACCTCATTCACTAGCCTCACAAAAGAGGGTGCATCGCAATTTATTGCGGAATCTAAGCGATATTTTGTGGTTTGCTTTTTTTTTGTTTGTTTTGTCTTTAAATGGTTGTTTCCACAGGAGTACTTGCTCACCAAGCAAACAAGGCACTGGTCACGGGCAGCTCTGGCTGGAACTCACTGACGTGTGTGACTTCCAGTGCCTCTTCACCACACCCCGTCTATTGGAGGCTGCAGCGCCCTTCAGCCCGAGCGCCCCGCACAGCTTCGCTGCACACAAATTAGGCACACTCTTATTTACCCAACTTCAATCAGGTTTCTTTGTTCTTTCACATGTATGGACAGAATATCTCGTCCTCTGGAGCTTCTCTCACCCAAACCTGTCCATGAGATACTAAGCTTACCTTTTTTTCTTCTTTTCAGACAGATGTCTTGGGGCACTCTATCTCATCCCCTGCACTCTGAAATTCTCCGATTCCCAAGCTCACATACAAAGCAAAAGATAACTACCTTAGACAGCTTGAGCCAAATGCCATAAAAAGTCTTGTAGAAGACATGTCATACGCCCAGACTACAGTTTATGTGCTTTCCTCCCTTACATACAGACTAAAATACACACTGTATAATCACAGAAAGCGGGTCTTGGGACATATTCCTATGATCCTGGGGCACAATCAGCAAAATCACATATTTTCAAAACCTCCAGTGAAGGAAGGCTCCTCACCCCACCTGGAATAACCAATTCTCCTTAGCTTAACTAGATGTATTGTAAGGACATTTTCCTAATGCTTAACTTACTTTTTAAATGAATAGCCTGTATCTACCATCAACATGGAGGAATAGACTGCTCCCGTCTTCTCCATAGCAACTTTTTCCATATCAGTAAACTGTTTTCACATCTTTCGTCAGTCTCCTTTTTTTTCTTTTCCCTCGTTTTTGAGTATTTTCTGTCCTCCAGACTCTATCCAACTACTCCCATCATGTGCAGGTACTTCAAGTAAGGGCTTACACACCTTGGTAACACAGAACCACCACCACACTTCTCACAGGCTGCACCGTTGATGCGTCCAACCATAATGAGTATCTTTTCTGCAGCAACGAGTAGATGGTGTTCAGTTTGTCATACTCTGTACCATCTCTGCCCCAAGATGTCTTATGCAGTAACACCCACTCCCTCCTCTGTTTGTGCTGCTGACTATTCCTACCTAAGTGTAATTCCTCACATGCCTTATTTTTCCAAACCATTTCTCCTATTTTTCATGATCAGTTTTAACTCGTATCTTGTCTGCCTGTCTGCTACAGCCCTGTCAGCTTGGCATGCATTACCTAGATAAATCAAAAGTTTAGTTACTATCTCCAAATAAGGACCTACCTCTACATACCCCACAAAAAGCATAATTTCTTACTTATCCCCCCATCCCCCTCCCCGGCCTTTCTATTAAAGCCAGTTTTGGTTTGGAGATTTGCCACGTTCAGTTAGGGATTTTTAAGGACACGTTTCAATACCCTAATGAGCTCTAAAATACCTCCTGCTATTTAAGAAATAGTAATAAGAGCATTTGGTACAAACAAATAAATTTCCTTTCCTTCTGCTAAAACTCCTGCATTTCAAATCTCGTTTTAAATTACTCTAATGTGGAAGATTCAAATCTCAAGTTTTCCAATCACAAAACCATCATATTTTAAGACCATATTATGGTCTGAAAGTAATTTTTGTTTCTCTGGAAGTAGAGCTGCCATCAGAGTTATTTTGTGACAGAGTCCTCCTTCCTACTCCTTGAGGCTTTTGTCACATTTCCTAATCAGTGAAACTCTGTGGTTTTCTAATAAATTTTTCTTTGAGACCTCCATTGCTAATTAAGGCATGTGGCTTTACAAAAGGAAAGATAAGAAATTATATGCAGTACATTTAATGTTGCTAGAAAGATTTAACTAGCATTTCTCTCTTCAGGATGTTCTGCAATTTGTTGCTGGCTTGGCCTCTGAACTAACTGCAACCTTTGCAAACTTGGGCTGACACAAAGTTTTCATAGTGTGTTCCATGCTAAGTTATCTGTATATACAGGTTTGCTACAAAAGAAACCTGGGATTCCTGATAAAGGTAGATTAAATACTATTGTGTAAACGTCTCCCATTTAAACGTTGGGTGGACATGATTTGAATTGAATATTAGAAAAGCAGCACAGTTTTGTCACATATTTGCAGATAGTATGTGGTTGTCAGTTTGGAAAAAAATCACGTTTAATTGCATCCGAATGACAACAGTAGAAAAGTGTTGGGGTGAGGGGTAAGGAGCCTTTCCTTTTCATTCTACCATGGAATCGACTGAAAGAGAAACAATTTTGCCATTCAACAATAAAAAGTAATCCTTAGCAAGTTTTTGCATTATTGTTTCCAAACTGCTCACTGAAACCAAAACAAAGGGCCAAAATATGCTTGCCTTGCTTGAGAATAATCCCACTGAAATCAACAAGACTGACTATGCAAATATGGACAGCAAAGTTTGGCCCCAAATAAACGTCCCCGTAGCTAGGGAAAACACTAATCACCAAAGTGCACTTAACACCATAGTAGCTACAGTTTCTTTATACATGCACAGTTTGTGCGACACTTTGTACATGAAAACTAGCCAATGGAATATAAATAAGTGTGCCGCCTCCTTTTAAATATGAACATTAATAATGAAGCACATTCACATTTTTGCCTTTCAAAGACGTTTTTGGAAAAACAAACAGACAAACACACAAAAAACCCCCCAAAAACCCCATCTTCCCCAAAGTAACCTGGAACATGTTAAATATAGCACATACGATTCAAAGAACTGTATTAAGGTAGAAGAACTTTCACACACAAAAATGTATTTGTTGTATAGTTGGAGTGACTTATGAAAATCCCAAGAAAAGACAATCCTCTCACCAGGAGAGGAAGGTAACAGTTGTAGTGTTAATTCAGTTTCTTCTGTAGGTGCTTGTTTTTAACTTCAGGGTTTTCAGGGCTGAAGTCAGTACAGATACCATTAGGAGCAGAAAGAGATGAAGTCTCCAAGCCATTCTCATCTCCCATCTGATCAGCATAGAGATAGTCTTCTGCGAAGTATGGGTGCAATTCAGCAAATCTGTGGAAGTCATCTAAAAAAAAATAAAATTGTTGTTACACAGAATCAGCTCTTTGAAACAGAAGGATGCTAAATTTGAATACTTACACATATATTATCACATGACCACTTTGGAGAAAAATAGCAGTGGTTAACATAATGCTATCCCCATTGCTTGTTTTAGCTTCTCAGCACAAGTTTACCACATTCCCAGAGCCAAAATGCTGCAAAGAGTTATCTAAGCCCTCTTAAAACACTTCAGACCAGAGCTTGTACGTGAAGGGTAAAGAGCTAAACAGGCTCAGATTTGCATTAAAATGCATGAGGAGCTCCACGTGCCCTGATAGAGCATCTCACTGTTTACTGGGGGAAGGGCAGAAGCCCTCCAACTGAGGAACAGTGAACAGCAAGAGTAGTCATTTCTTGAACTCTGGGAAGTCTTTTGCAAATATGCCTTTTAGTGCTTTGCACTCAGAATTCTCTTTACCCTAACAGCAGCTGTCACTGCTGCCTTCCACTTTCAAGATTTCAGCAGTTCAAAACTCCTAATGTTTTAGAAAATAATAATGTGAGAAGACAATTAATTTGTAACACATTACGAAAAAATCCCTGATTTTAACGTTGGATAGTAATAATACAAAAAAAAAAAAAACAACAAGATTAGTTCTTGGGGGAGCGAGGAATCCTTAGCATCAAATAGTAATAGTTTGTGTTAGAAATCAGACATTGAATCCTTGTCACAATTTTCCCATATGACTGCTTATACAGCCAGGATCTGAACACAAGACACTGTGCAGGATCCAAATCAAAAGAAGCTATTCTGATAACAAACTGACACTGGAAAAAGCTGGATGTGAACATTATCAGTCACATCCAGTGTATCACACACACAGCCCACTGAAATTCACTGTGTTATCCCAGAAGAGCTCATGACGGGATGATGCTGTGAGTTCCCCAGAGTGCAGCACAGATAGATGACAGCTGAAGAAGCCTTTTGGAGGAGGAAGCCCAGTTCCTCCTGGTATAACTGGGATGGTGTGGAAGAAGGCAACTACCACAGCTTTCCCTCTGCCACCCTTCTCTGAGGTGACATGTTTCTCTCAATATTGCAAAAGGCAAGGGGACGCCATTTGGCTCACAGGGGCACTGAAGTTGTAGGTCAGCCCTGCCTCTGAACTGCTGCAAGGCGATAGGTGGGGAAAAATGCAATAAATGTAACTTCATCCTTCTGCAAACAAAAAAGTGGGTATCCTTTACTCACAGTTTATGTGGATCTAAAGTATTTTGTAACTTCAATGAAAGCTGATGTTTAGACCATGAACACTAACACTATATCTATGCTGAAAAACCTGTACGTACAGCAGGCTGATTGATCATGTAAATAATAAACTCTTTGCAGGGCTGGGGGAGGGAGGGGAGGGGTCTGTGTGAGGAGGAATCTTAAATGCTTGAAAATGCACACAGCAAAACTTTTTCTTGTGATAATATCTAATGCAAGTTCACCGTGGTGGGTTTTGTTTTTTTTTTTTAATATAATCTCATAGCAAAGAATGAGATGCATCTGACCTTTTCCAAGAAGGAAATGTGGAACTTTCATATTTAAAATATTTAACAGTGGTAGTAGTTGCAATAACATACTAGAAACACTTGAGTGCAAGCTGACTCATCAGAATCAAAACCGTTAAGCAAGTTCAGTGAATCCAACTGAGCAGATTATTTTTCTGCAGCAAACAAGGAGAGAGCAATGAGCAATCAGCCTGAACAGGACCTGATCTGCAGCAGGAACATGAAAGCCTTCCCTCTTTTCCCATGGATACTTCAAGCCCATCTCAAGGATCTATTCCTTTGTGTAACAACACGTATAATGTGTGCATCATATCAATAACCATAAAAAAAAAAGCCTTCTTTTGGAAAGGTAATTCTGATAGTTAGCCCAACTAAGACAAGTATAAAATTTCAACCAACAGTACCAAAGATGCTCTTATAGTCACATTAAGCATAATCCTTTTTGCATGGGAAAGACTAGGATATTTACACTGTAGATGCCAATCTAAGTATTTAGTCAAAAAGCTACTGTACCTTTTCAGAAAATAAATTCAGAAAATCCCTTGATGCAGTTGTTCACACAAGTACGATAGCCTATATCCAAATCGGCATCCTGACAACTCTGTCAAGACCCATCTCTCTGTTTTATCAGTACTGGATCCAAATGAAAAAACTCAGATTCCAGGAAGGACTGAATCAAACAGGACTGTGTTTTAGGTAATAATGATAGATCTCAGTAAATAGACGTTTTAGGTCTTGCTGAAACAAGTCCTGAAAACATTAAGGGATATTTATCAAAGTTGTACACAGCAGAGTCCAAAGAGAAGTGCTTGGGATCCCATTTGCCTCATTCACCAGAAACGTGAGACAAGGTGATGTAGGAAGAATGAGCTATTCCAGCATTACTTCTTATCACAATTCCCATCTTGGAGCTCAAGCTTAGAGCAACTGCGAAGCATTAGACTGGAGGAAAAGATCACCATAGTCATTTACTTGGGAAAAACGTAAATTTACTTCCTACCCCTTCTAAAAGGAAAGAACATAAAGTGGAGTTCTTTAAGACTCCTGTCTGTATTTTTTCATTTATTTCATTTTTCATTAAGTACGCATATGTACTACAAGAACTTCAAGAGGTTTTTCTCCTGCCTTTGCAATACCCTCCTACTACTCAATGCTCCTGATGGAAGCTCTATGTTCATGAATCTTCTCTCTGCTACATCATTACTTTAGCATACATGAACTTCATAGGATAATCCTGCAGTTAATATAGACAAGGATACTACATTTAACAGAACAAATAATTCCTCCTTCTCTGAACATTCATCCATATGGATATTCACAATACTGCCAATCCCCCATTTCTTCTTGTTACCAGAAAGTAAGGCAGCCTTCAAAACACTTTCACAGTCATCATTTGTCTATCAAGAGCAGGGGGAGAGTTTCCTAGAATACACAATACCCATCTACCAAGCCTAGTCAAATTCTCTAGAAATATGTTTTAAGACTAAGAAATCTTGCCTCTCTCTAGACTACAGTGAAGGGATGAGCTTCTGAATCATGGTGTATCTAAACAGTTAGCCAACAGCACACTGCTTAAGAGAACTGATGCACCGATCTTTGGCAACCAGTCTATTTTCTTTCAAACATGTAACAAAAATCCAGACTTCTAACAATTCAGATGCAAGATCATCAATCTAGTTATACAGTATCAATTTTGCTATTGGTTATTCTGTTTACCTGCAACCTGAGCTTTTTCTTTGGGATAAGCTCTCTGGTTCCAAGGACTCTGCTGTATGCGCAGCAATTTCAGTTTGATACTTTGGATATTTTTTGTTCTTACAAATAAGACTGAAGAGTTAATATTCCTGCTTCACATTGCAACACCCTACAAAGAAGGAGCTTGTGTATCCAAAGTAATGTCAGTACTCTTTCACCAGATACAAACTTTCAATTTCTCAGAACCTGTCTGGACAAAGCCTTCAGAAAAGGTATAGTCTGCAAGTTTTCCACCTCTCCTTTCTCAGCATATAAGGGCAACAAATTGAGTATGTGGAAATTTCACATATTCTCAGGAAAGGCAGATTGAATACTGAATGGCAATAACTTTCAAGGCAGAAATGCAATATCGAAATTTATTTTTTCATCTTCTAATTCTGTCACAATAAATTGGACATTTATTTTTACTATTAATCTTTCAGATATGTTAAAATATTAGTGCAATTTTTATATTATAAAATGAGCACGGCTCTCAGAAAAAGATCCAAGTAAAGCTTCAAAGAAGTGATATAAACACCATCCTACTTTGCGCAGTCTCACAAAAGACTAGTCTTGACTACAGGAAAGCAAATATTGAAAGTGAGAGCTAAGCACTTCAGAGGCCAGTACTGTGGCTCACTGGTCCAGATCTTGTGGTGGTAATATACCATGACTACTTTGAGGAAAAGTGCAGATTTAAATGCAACTAAGTACTATTAAAGATGTATATTTATGTATGATTTTTTTGTTAACTCACATGAACTGTTCTGCATTCACTTGTAAACCATTTCAAATTTAGCTATTCTCAAACGATGAAGTGTGCCAAAATTAGAGTTCTGCTAGGCTTATCAGCTTAAGATTCTGTGCTGGTATTTTTGAAGTTGGTGATGGGGGGAATGGAGAAAGAGTTGAGTCACTGCCCAAATGAGTTGGGAGACAAGGAGCAACACAGACAGGCAGGAAAAAGGCAATAGCATAGGATGGGCATGGAAATGCTGAGGACGGAACAGGTGAGAGGTGCATAAAGGAAAGAGGTAGTACGGCAGGAATATCAAGGAAGCAAGACATAGCAGTCAGGAAAAAAGGGGAGGGCAGTGGCAACGACACTCATTTCAGTAACTTTTAAGTAGCTCTGTAATTGAAGCTTTACATAGATTTTGTATGTCTGAAACATAGGAATTGCTATTGTAGAAATTGTGATTTACTGACACTTATGTCTTAATTTGTAAGATTTTTACACATTAAATATATACTGATTATTCTGAAGGAAAACCACTACAACAGGGCATGTCATAAGCACTTCTACTGGAGATATGTGATGTTTGCTATCAACAACCCAGTTCATGCTTAAATGATACAACTAAATTTAGAGCCTTACTGCATAAAAAAAATGAAGAATCTGAAGTAACACACAAGAACTTTGATTCCCAGTATAATCTAGTCACCCAGATCTCAAAATTTTTCAAATGCAACTTTCTCGCCTCCATATCACCTGCATTACAGACTGCATATTGAGCAGCCTGCTTAATACCCCCTCATTTCTCCCCACACACACACTCGTGACTTACTTTCAAACAGGCTGAGAAATTATTATAGGAGTGAAATATCTTACATCCCTCTGTATTCTGGGAGGGCAGAAATAGTGGGGAACAGATACAAGAGACAAAACAACAGGACAGAGCTAAGATAATTTTCTTAAAAATACATTTTCACATACATGGAAGTCACAGAACAGAATACACTTGAAAGAGCTATTCTAGGTATTGCCTGATCTTATCTGTAAGGGAAAGCCTCTAAAAACTCAATTTTTTTTTTAAATGTAAATTTGTCTGCAGTGCTTTTATCATTGTTAAAGTCAACAAGTTAACTTAAAAAAAAATAAAGTGTAATAAAAATATAACTGTTTTGTATATCAACATGAGTTCAGACAACTGACATTTTGTGACAGTTCGGATCCACTTAAAATACTTACCATACGTAATCTCTCCTTCTTCTTCTTCATCTACAGCTCTAAAAAGGTGTGTAACATCAATCTGTGATACACCCATGGCAGTCTTCAGAATATGAGCTAAATCCTCTTCTGTTATAGTTCCATTTTCTGACTGATACAGCTATGAATCAAGACAAAGATAAATCATTGCAAAGCTGAATGCTAACTCTTATAAGCAGCACCGCACTATGAAGTTATGCAAAATTAAAATTTGGTAGGGGAAATTCTAGTTGCTCTCAGATTGATGCGATCTACTAAGGATTTCTGATTAATCCAAGTAACAGACAGCATTGGTTACTAGTTCACCTGTGTACGCTTAGAAAGTAAAACTTGCTATATTCAAAAAAACCCTACATTTACATGTCCAATCACTGGCATTTCAGTGATAAGACTGTTTAACAGGTTTTGCAGATACCTAGCTGAGAATAATTTGTAGTCCATTGAGCTATGTGTCCAAACTCCAAGAGTCTGTGGAATTATGATATATATTTAGGTCAGCCTAAAGCAGATACCATTTCCTCTGGGTCAGATGTAAAACTCAAGATTCCTTTGACCACCATCCAACTGAACTGACAGCCAGTTTGCATTAAATGCGTGCATCTAAATGGTATTGTACTAATCAGGAGAATCCTACCTCATAAAGTGATGGGCCTATAACTTTCTACAAATACTTATTCAAAATTATAGAAAATAATAATTTGCATATTTTTTAGTCCTGAAGCAAAGAGTTTCCTCACAGAAAGATTTAGCTTTACTACTGACAGGAGATTGAAATCGTTCATAGTCTCACTCTATCTCTGTATATGTACTGCGTTTTTCCCCGTAAAAAAGGACCTCAGTATTTCAAAACATCTGTAACAAATACAACTTCATTAAACTTTGTAAAATAACTCAATTTGCCTCTGCAATTTTCCATTGAGGCGGAAGAGTTTTTGAAACACCATTGTCACATTTTCAAGCATAACAACCACCATGTAAAACCTGCTATTTAGAAACTTCCTTTTAGTTTCTCTACATCAATGAGAAGGTGGGAACTGATGAGATTGAACAAAATAAGCATAAGGATTTTTCACACAAGCGGAAGTTGCTGTCACATGACACAGCACATCTTAATGGAATAAAAAAAAGTCAGTGGAATAAAAACAGTTGAAGTACTATGGAAGGTAACATTCATGCTCAAATCGGGAATCTTGCCTTTTCCTCCCTCACACTTAACTTACACACTGTTTCACAAGGAGTAGGGGCAAGGACAAGACACTTGTTTAATAAAACCTGCTACATCTTCACAGATATAGTAGTCAGAAGGTGATATTCGATGGTAAGCCTCACAAGCATATCTGCAAGATTCACAACACCCTCTCATTTCCTTAGCAATTACCAAGTGAGGATGCATAGCACTTAAGACTGGAGTGCTGCTTTTAGACTTGATTGCCATAATCCCCCCTTCTCTTTTAATTGCCCACTGCTTTAGAACTCTGGTGGCTCAGTAACTCCTATTTTTCAAGTTCTTCAGCCATACACTAAACACTTCCACTTTGAAAACTTGTTCAGCTACATGAAATGTTGCACTTCATCCCTGAAAACAAACGACAAGGTGCTTTGCAAAAAAGTAGCACATGGCGAATGAGAGCAACTGTACAAAGTCACAAATTCATGAACTGGGTAAATCCTTCAATGGCTCCCAATAAACTGTGTGAACACCTTATTGTACACAAACCCAGAAAAGAGGGGGGGGAAGACAAAAAGTAAAGTTTCTCTTTCCCTTTTTCCTAGAATACCGTGAGCAAAATTTCCTCAGCTCGAGACTTTTTTTAACCCTTCCAATCATCACTAGCAGGATAAAGTGAGCCATACCTGCTTCCCCTTGCTGAGTGCTTCCCTTTCTTCATAAATGCATTCAAACTTCTTTGCAGTTCTACAGTTAACTTTATATTTTGCAGTTAATCAAAGAACTCAAAATTATGCATTATAAATTGAAGAACAGGACAAACAGCGAAGAATAGAATTTGTTTAAGAAATAGTTCTGCTAACTTAAAGTTTGGTATTTTCAAAAAGAAAATAATTGCCTAATCTGAGCTTCTCTTCCTCTCTAATGGTAAAAGTATATCACACATTATGCATCATGACAGCTAAATTTTACTGAAATACTGCCCAAAAGCCACCTCCAAGTTTATTTTAACTTTTTCATTTTTAGTATGAAGACAGAGAGCTGACCAAACAGCACCTGAGCATTTCTCTATGCCATTATATAGATCAAATGGAATAAGTAAGGGTAGAGACCTTTCTGCTTTTCCTTAAGAAGTAGCAGTAAGTAACAGCAGCTATAAGGCAGATTTTCCCCAATATTTGTAAGTAGTAAATATTTTTGTTCCTTCCTCCTCTGTCAAATTTATTTGATGCTGGCCAAAGGGTAAGAACGATAGATGTGAACACTAAACATTCACAGGAGCTTCATTTCTTCAGCAAAACATAGTTAAGAGAATAATACAAGTACGTTGAAGAACCTCAAAATAAGTACTTGGAAAACAAGGTTGCCATGTAGCACCACACAAATGAATGTTCTCAAGTCCATGCATTCATCAGTGGTGACAGCATCAAGAATTAGCACTCTTCAGTTTCAGTGATACTGCAGACCACATGAGTTTGAGGCAAAGAGAAAAGATGATGCAGGATGCAGCAGAGTTTGTGTGTTGGAATAGCAGTATTAAAGACTTTAATTAAAAAGTAATAAATCAAGGTGCCAGACAAACCTACTGGAATGGAAAACATTAAGTATTGCTGCTGTCACTTCCCCAAAAGCCTGCATTAACTATCTATGCTGATGCTACAACAAAGCACTGAGGCTAGAGCCTCAGGGAATCAGGAGCATCTCTGGGAAGCAAAAAGCCTGGACAGAGACTGCAGGGCCAACACAGAAACACAGTAAGACTAAGAGGGAAAAAAATCTTATCAAGAAGATAAAAGGGGGTATTAACATGTAGGAAAAGCTTTAAAATATTTTATCTTGAAAAGTAAGATTTCATTGCAACATTATAAATGTAGTAAGCACAAGTCATTAGCCTTTAGTTTAGAGGAATCAATACAAAGGGCTTCAGGTTTGAGACTCGGTGTGCTGAAAAAGATTCTACCAGAGCTCCACAGAACACAATTTTAAATGGCAAACTTCTATAATTTTACATGACTTACACTTGCGGTGCATTCCCTCTGAACACGACCTCTTAATTTAACTTTCCATTAATGTTATTTTAGAATGTAATTAAGTATTAAAAGGACATGTTAAACAAGCTTCTAAGTCTAATGGTAGTATTAATAATTTCTAAAAAAAGTAAATTACATAGAGGAAGAGAATGCTGCTTACCTGAAATGCCAACTGAATTGTTTCCAGAGTTTTTGATGGCTTACAGACAACTGACAGAGCAATGACAAATTCCCGAACGTCAATTATGCCATCTTCATTCTGCGAAGGAAAACTTCACCTCAAAATACTGCAATTCGTCAGAGAACTTTCACAAATAACTAACAATACAGAATATTCAGAAAGAGCATGACATATGTCACTGCAAAGAAGTCCACTGAAATTGAATTAATTCAGGGCAAGAACCTGAGTCATCAAAGCTCTAATTGAGGCTCTGAAAAGGACCTGCAGAAGTCATAATTCAAAGATTCTTGGAAGACAGTGCTGCTACCATCACCCTTCACTTGCATATTTAAGATTCTTCCATTAAACGATCTGAATTACTAGGTTGAAATTAAAATCAGGGAACCAGAGGACAAGGTAGCCTAATTTAAGCCCTGAATACATGATATCTGCTCTTTGGTCTGAGAGAACACTGTGGACATATCCACCTCCTGGTCCAAAGAGAACCTCATCCAGACAAAGGGTAATAGTCATTTCCCCATCCTGACAGATTGCCAGAGGAATGAAAAACTGGCTGATTTGCCAAGTTCCTAGATCCTTCAGATTTCAGACATCCTAGAAGAAAAGTGATTTATTTACAAGGTAAGTGAAATATCAGCTAACAGGCGTTGCATTCAGTTGCAACAAGCTGCAGCAGATGTTTAGTGTGAACCGATCTTTCTTCCTCTTTATATTTTGAGCCTAGGAACAAAATCAGTTTTTCCAACTGATACTCTTTTAATTTCTACCTGAATGAGTGCTTTATTTAGCTGATGACAGGTGCTCTTACCTTGCTGAAAGGGAAATGCAGTAAGCAAATATTGTGGTGAAGTACTCAAAAGCACTTAGCACTGCCCCAAATCAGACCTCAGTGAATTCAACTGGAACAGAATTAGGCTAAAGCAGAGTTTACCAAGAGTAATACAATTTTTAAGCACGATGTTGTTTCTTACCTCGTCAAAAAGTGCGAACATACTTTCTAACGTGTGAGAAACTGGAAATTCCAAGTATGCTGAAAATTCTTTGAGATCGACCTTTTCTTTTTTCATTTTCATGGCACTTGCAGCATATTTATCAAGATCATCTTCGAGTGTTTCTGGCTTCAGCCTAGAAAGCATATTATTTTTGCACGTTTTAAAAATAAACCCAGTTTTACAATACAAATTTCAGTATACCAAATAAAGCAATGGATGATAATGGTGCAAACCATTACAAAATCTGGAATTAGAATTACTAAGCAACTTTACTATAACATAATCTATTCCTATAATTTTAAGGCTCCCATTAGTTCTTGAACTGTATTAGAAATCACTGCAAGGACTTTGGAACCCTGGTCATAAACTTGTGTCCTTTGTTCTACCTTGATCATAAACTGTATGTGTAAGCAGTTCAACATGAACAAGAAACACAATCTAGAACTAGCTAATAAGAAATACCAGGCATGATGAACTATGTGGCATTTAGGTCACCTGAATATGGCCGTACTGTAGGACAGTAACATAAACCAATTACGATTCCAAATTTACTAATGTCACTGAACAGGAAAGCCCTGATGCCTCTTGTCTAAAAGAACTCAGGGATTACATAATGGCGATTATACTGTTAATCCTGTTTGTCGGTCCTCATTTTTCACATTCAGCCCCGAGCTGGACATCATTACGAGGTGACTCAAAGTTATAGCATTTAATACAGCTAGAGAAATTCCCTCAGTCCTTCTGACTGCAAAACCAGATTTTGACTGATGACTCAGATGGCCACTTTATGTTTTTTGAGGGTGTTTTGGGGTTTTTTGTTTTGTTTACATTTGTTGGGTTTTTTTTTTTTTGTTAAGTCAAACTTCCTGTTTTTGCTTTGTGAAAATAAGTCTTACTATGAATATGATAAATGGTGCTACAGGTATGTGAGCAAAAGTAAATTCTCTCCCTAACACAACAACAACCAAATCTTGATAAGCAGGTTTCCTCTGAACTGAGTTAGGGTAACATGGGCATCCAAACTTTCCAGTCTGAAGACAAAAGAAGCCAATAAATTCTTCTACAATATTCTTATGCAGTTGTCTGTTTTACTGTTTGCTGCTGCAGAAAAGGAAAAGCAGTTATTTACAGAACTCACAAGCTCACACCAGAACTGTTCCCAGACTGCAGCTGGGACTCCTCAGCAGCTTCCTCTCACTGACAGGAATTATTAAAATACTTAATATCAGCATTCTCAGAAGCTTTTGAAAAAAAAAAAAAAGATCAGTATTTCTGATAAGATTATCTCATACATCAGCTCCAGATCTTGATCGCTCACTGAAATGCTCCTTCCTAAAAATCACTGCTTTTAAGTAAAAACACAACTACTATGCTGTCTGCCATTACCTAAACTGACTTATCAAAAGTGTACTAAATAAACAATGCCAAGTTCTGCATTTCTGAATTATAAGATGTGAACATGCAAGAATTCTTCTAGAGACTGATGGCCCCTACAGAACATTAGTAAGTTCTCCATCTTGGCATTAAAGCACCTCTAAAGTTTTGGTCCTAAAAAGTATAAAAAGAGCAGTGAAACACCCCTCTGCAAAAATTCATTTTTCATGATCATGTAGAAAAGTAGCACTAAGGAATCCATGGAGGATTTGAGATGCACACAGAATGCAGCTTCTCTCATGCAGGATTACACATAAGAAGTGTCCACAGATAATAATACATCCCCAGTGTAAAAGCCGAAATGTACTTTAACTGTAAGACAAAGGACAGCTGGCATCCAAATACTCCCTTGAGATAAGCCTCCACTGACACAGAATACGCAGTCTAACATCTGTCTCTAAATCAGAGAGATTTGATTTGCAATGAATTGACTCAAAATTCACCACCTAGAACTGAGTACTTGTTTGGTAAGCAGCATTCGAGACTTGTGAGATCTCCTCTTCACCAGTTAATGAAGTCCAAAAAGCTAAAGCTTGAAGATAAAACCTTATACAGAAAGTAGCGTGGCTTACAACAAATCCTACAGATATCTTATGGTTGGAGTTTTATAAAAATAAAGAGAGAAGCGAGCCAATCTCAAAAAGGGTATGTGGATCAGTGAGGCAAACTTACTGCTTCAGCTTGAATATGACTGCATTGTACTTCTGGTAATTCAAGGTGGGCTCAATTCACTCTAGCCTTTTCAGGATCAGAAAGTGTGGACAACCATGTGGATGCTGAAGTTTTTTTGAAGCCAAGTGTTCCAAATCCCACAATAGGTTCTGAACCAATGTGAAATGGCCTCAATGTCTCAACTCCTTTAAAATTGTTACTTTTATTCCAATGGAGCCTATAAAAGCTAGAAAGCCAATAGTAGATGTCTTCGCTCATGAAATCATGCTCGTTTGCCTAATGACTTCTACGCAGGATCTAGGCTTTATGGTATGTAACATCACTTGCTGTTGTGGTGTTTCACTTCATTTTTTTGGGCCACAGTGCACAAAAGAGAACAAAAATGTCATTCTCAAGTCCCTGAAGATGGAAAGGGAATTCTTCAAGACTAAGAGCTCTGAACATTAAATCTTTCACAGGAGACTTCACAAGGAAAACCAGATCCCTGAAGGCAGGATATTTTCAGTGTAATTACCACTATTTTTAGCAAGTTAGAAGTCTTACCTCTTTAAAGCTAGTTTTAACCGTATTTGACTATTTGGAATCAAATTCCTTTCTTACATGCTGGGAACCTGCCGAAAAAACCTGTAGCATCTCAGAGCTGGAAGCTGCATAAGAACAGCTGGATCTTGCAGTTAACTACTGTAAATTGCAACCTCAGAGAAAATATGCTCTAAGCCAGAAAAGCACAGTACCTTCAGTTTTATGTCTGCTGATGTACTCCTGTGCAACTTCTTGTGACAACAGAGAAAGGATACTGAACAGCTGCAAAACTGATCTTCTGAATGCTCTGGCACACTCTGCCTTGATATATAATCTGTTAACAGAGCCTAAGCTCTTTGTTAGATAAAGCATGAGAACTCACTGCTGTGGCTGCGTGGCTTCTGAGCACAGACTAAGCAAGTTTAACAGACAACGTTAATGAATCTTGTAGATACATAATGTGAACAGAAATAACTCTCCAGTGTAGCAAACTGAGGTGTAACTTGCTTTTGAAGAATCTAAATAAAAAACAAGCCCGAATTTGCCTTACTATAAAAATCTTGCTTTTAAAACTGGATGTTACCTTTAAGGTATGCTATTGCTGAAAGTATGTTATAAACAAGTATTAAGACTGGATGCAAAATCCATTGGATAAAATGCACTGTTCCAGTTATTTTGGAATGTGACTGGATGATCTTAATGCCTCCTGGCCTCAAAACCTTTGAATAAACAGCAAAATGACTGCATCACCATCAAACATGCATTAGAGATGAAGCCATATTACAACCTTCATCCAATTGTGCCAGAAAAATACCATTGTAATAGCCTTCTTACTGGCACATACCCAAATCAAGACAGAATAATATTTCACCAATGTACAATTGCTCAAAGCAGACAGATCTTTTGGGTTGCAGGGAACCTCACTCAGAAATGCACGGAATTCTTCCAAATGTCAAACCAAAAACCCAGAAAAGCATAATTTGAAAGAACAACTTTAAATCGAGCAGACAGAAGCCAGACAATTTAACCAGAGGATTAAACTGAATCTTAGGATTATCAACTGCACAATAAGAGATGTGGGTGATTTTTTGGGTTGGTTTTGTTTGCCTTTTTTTTCCCCTTAGTACTGTAAAGTCAGAACCTTTGGAACAAAAGAAGCATCTTTGTTTCTCCCTAGAAGTCTCTCCTATCCTACTAGAAGTCTTCAGATGGAGGCCCCGACAATGAATTAATCATCTGCTTGTCATCTGAATGCATAATGTATGCTGTCCTATATTCCTTATTCTCCAATAGATTGTTTTGGTTTATGTACAAAAGCTGGAAGACAAAGGAAAAATTAGTGAAAAGAAAAAAGTACAGAATGAAAACATGAAACTATGCTCAGGTGAGGAAACGAAAAAAAGGAAAAGGTGTTTGTATATTAAAGCAGTTAACAGGATGAGGGTGTAGATTTAGTTTGTAGCTGCTCAACAGAAGGAGAGCAGAAACATTGGAAGAAAAATTGGAAAACAGCAGCAAGAAGTTCTACTATTTGGTTTATGTTTGCTGAAGCTTTTCTGAAAGGTAAAACCAGAGGGAACTGATGCTATAAGAGTAGCCACACTGCATATACTAAGCTACAGTTTCATTAGAAAGTCCATCTAGCAGTAACCTACTCAAAAGATAAATCACTTCTTTGTACTTCTTGGGAAAGGATAACCCTTCTGCCCTCACTATTATAACATTAATCCAGTCACAAGACTGCTATGGCAGCACTGTTGTCCCTTCACACATGTCAAAGGAGAGGGCAATTGACTTTTAACTGTATCAAATATTAGGAATCCCACAGTATTCCTGAGCCTCTACAGCAGATGTCTTCTAGTTTTGTTCAGGAATGAACACGTCAGACACACTGCTCACTTGTCAGACTGTGAAAATACAAATTTTACAACCTACTCTTCCCATTAGGATCTAGCGGCGCTGCTTGCAAATGGAGACCAGTTTTGTATTAGTGTTTCCCTAACTGTAATATGACAATATTCCATACGTATTCATAAATGCAATATTGTTAAATGAAAGGAAAACTAGATAAACATAGATATACAATAAAAATGCACCTTACATATAAATACTGAATATGCTCACCCAAGGCTTCTCACAAGCTTTGCAAATTCTAAAAGACACGTGTCTGAAGGCAGACGAAGTTGTCCTTCAGCCAAAGCTAGCTGACAGTCTTCAAATGTGTAGTCTGTCACTGGAACTCCCAATGCCCTTGAATAAACCAAAGAAACACTGTAAGCAAGATAATCTAAAAAAACATATTTATTAGCAATTATGCTAAATATTTATATTATTATTACACTAACATATTAATAAATCAATAATTGCCTGAACAGTGCAACTATTACCTTCAGGTAGTATTAAAATTATACAACAGGCAACATTTCTCTACAAAGAATGACTAGAACACAAAGTATAAAAGCAAGTAGAGTTAAACTCCAAACACACACAAATTATTTTTAAGTGTATGACATAAAGGTAGAAGAAAAAAAAATACTCCCAAATTTTTTATATGCCAAACAATTAAGTACTTATTTTTGCTTTACTTCTAACTTGATGCTCTGTAGTAACAGCAGCACTGAAATATACTTCGAGGAAATAATGATACTGTAGTTGCACTGCATTTGCTGTGCCAATGTTGAGAGAAAGACACTTTGGTTTGGAAGAGGCCTTAAAGAATTCAGTGTACAAACATAAGACACAATTTGGAAAGCAAACCCTGCTGCATATGAGTTATTTATCATCTGACCTGTTTTCCATCACACTTGATTTTACTTATATTAGTTGGGAATGGTATCTCCTTTGTGGAGCCTCGTCTAGTTTGATGTCCACACTTTTTTTTTTCCTTGACTTACCTTCACTCTTTTAATCTACAGGTCTTTCTACTTTACTAACCACCTTTTTCATCTGTGAAGTCAATATATAATAATGGCAAGATTGATACAAAACCCTGAGGCATGACAGTCACTTTGGCTTTGATAAAAACTCAGCATCCAATTCTGCACTTTGTTATAGACAGTTTGATCTATACCTCTCATGCAATAACCACTTAATTTTTGTTAAGTAGCCTCTTCCAGAATCTCATGACGAGGCTTTTGAATGCCAATGTAAACAACGTAAGCCAGTTCTTTTTTATCCACCAATTAATTGCCAAACTTCAGGAACTCTTACACATTAGTAAGACGTGCACTTAACATTAAAGCTACTGATGAGGGTCCTCTCTTCTCTCTAAGGCTGAGAAAATCAAATATTCAGGAAGAACACCTCACGAACAGATATTCAAGCTCAAAAGTAACAAATGTATTAAAAAATAGATACTATTTATAAGCCACTTAGGAATAAACCAGGGACATACAAAGGCAGTGATTTTGGATGAACAGCCTCCCCCTTGCAAGAAGGAACAAACAGGAAGGAACAAAAGGAAAAAGCCAACTAAATCAAACAGATAGGCATTTTATAATCCTGCAGATTGCTGAAGACTAGATTGTCCCAGATGGGTGATCCTAAGCAATTAAATTCAGTTTCTCCAATTTTTTCCATTCTTGCTGTGTTCCTGTTTCATCACTCTATTCCTCCTGTGAAAAGTGTCCTAGTAATATTTGCAAATCAGTAAACCACCTTAATGGAATGGCCAAGAGGTTCCTGTGATACCATATTTCACCCCATAGACTTATGGCTAACATAGTAACAAATGTGTTGTGTAAAATCCAGATGAACAGCTCCTCTGTGCTGGGGGGATTTAAATCCATTTCCAAGTGCCACCTGACCTAGAGATCAGGTATTGCAGGTCTTGTCAATACTTACATTATATGATATCCAGTATAGCGTAGCATTATACAATACAAAATCAATTTTCCTTGGAAAAAAGGAAAGAGGTTGCCTGTTTAGATTACTTCCTATTCCCTTCTTTTGTACTGTGTGTGCACTAGATCATCCTTATAAACTTCCCTGTCAACAGTCAGTGAAATAGCTGCACTACTAGGGCAGCAAGGACACACTAAAAGCAGTACCAGAGTGGCTTACATGAAAGAACGTGCTAATAACCAAAGACCTTGTCCAGCCAGGCACATTACACCAAATTTCATCAGATCTTAGGGCAGCAGTAGGTATAGCACACAAAAGCAAAACAGGAAATTACAGGCCATCAGCTGAAGCATAGGGCAACTACACAGAAAAAGGGAAGCTGGTTAAAAGTTAAAAGTAGTAACTGGAAGGATACAAAACAACACATCATATTAGGGAATCAGAAGAAGTGACAAGACACTTGTCAAAAAAAGATTCTGAAAGGAAAAAAGAATCCAGTGTGACTCAGCAACTGATTAAAGACAGCAATTAGAACAAAAAGACTTTTAAAAAAAACAGGACACATGTTCTCTCAAGGAAAACAGAGAAGCCAGACAAGTTAAAACATAACCATAAGGTGGCAAGCCAAAGCAAGAAACAATAACTTGTTAAAACTAGAAGTTAGCAGCTTTTCAAACACATCAAAAGAAAGATGACTAAGAAAGGCCACTCAACCTGGCGGAGGGTAGAAGCCTGGCTGCAATCCAAGTACCAACGCCAGATTTAAATAACTTCTCCTAAATAATGGGCCCCAAACATGTTGAAGGAGCCCAGCCAAAGAGGAATTACAAAAACCTGCAAAAAGTACCAAACAACCAAACCCAAACTTATGATACAGAATAAATTAAAAAAAAAAAAAGTAGGGATCATCTTCGACTTGGCCAAATCATAGGGGGGGAAAAAAAAAAAAAAAAATCAACCGGCATCTTATAGCTGTGTGCACCTCTTACAGAAGGAGCAGTATTTGGGCCCGACTAATAGTGCTATCAGTAGAAGACTCCCAGTACAACTAATGCCTGTGTGTACGTCCTGCATCAACACATACACAAAACAGGATTAAGAAGAATAAAAGTATCGTCTCTTTCTCACCTGTTGGCCATTTTCCAGCCTTTGGACACACCAAAAAAGCAAAATGAACTGAAATACTGTGTCTATACATACATCCAGACTTCCAGAATCTCAAAGAAGTAAAGAATGGGAAGAAACAACTTTTGCCCACAGTAAAGTTCAGTGATAGGATCAACTGAGGCCAGATTAATTAGAGTTTCAAGGGCTCTTCAGTTCAGAAGATAAATCACAAGCTATAGAGGGCTAGCAGTTTAACACAAAAGGACCCTGATTTCAGCTCAGAACATTGAAGAAACTGAAGCTGGGGAACATATAAAGTTCATTATTTGTACTATGACTTGTGAATTTTTCAATTTGTTAGAATAAAGACTGGTATACTAGAGTTCACTGTAAAGCCTGGTTAAAACTGCAACTCAGGAATTTCTACAGAACCAGTTACCAAACTGTTCCAACTCATCTCCAGGGCAATCTTCCCCTATTTCAATGAAACTGCTAGGAAAAAAAAAAAAATATTTCAATTTGAGATGCAAATTGCAAGTGCAACCACCTGTTTTAATGAACTAGGAATATGACAGCTTTTCCCATATCTTCATCTGGAAGGATTTTTTTCCTCCTCTTTTCTTCATACTAAAAAGGCTTGGCCTTTTTTTTTTTTTGTTCAGCAATTTTAAATGGCCAAATGTGCATGTGTGGCTTGACATACTTTGAGACTTTCTCCCTCACTACCTTCTCTAAAATGCTGGCTATCTACCTTTCCATGATATCACACTACATGAAAGTCCAAACTCAGCAAGTCACTTAAGAAAAAAAAAAAAAAAAAAACCAAACAAAAAAACCCCCACAAACCCAAAAAATCCCAAAAGCCTTCTTGCAAACCCAATGTTACATGCAACACTTGCACTTGTTGTCCTGACTTCTCATACCAAACAGTAGCTCCCTATGTCTAACACTTCTGCAGTCATAATACAAAAATAAATTATCAACTTTCTCATTTTCTGCATAGCAATCCACTACCCATACAAAATTCTGAACATAAAACAGACTGTGACTGCTGTAATATTATGCAAAGTGAAAGAAAACAGTACGCACAATATTGTGACATTCGGAATCTACACTTCAACAAAAACATTTTTAGAATGTTTTACACTGTTAATAAGCAGAACTGTGAACTAATCTAGAAAATATTCCACAGGCTGCTCAAAAAAAAGCCCTTTAAATAGGCTATAATTTTATAGGGCATTGAAGACATTAAAAAGATAGTAAATTCGGTATTTTACTTGACTATCAGACATTTTGGACCAAGACATACAAAACAGTGGAAAAATAACCCCAGCTTCTTGTAGTCATCTGTATAGGAACTTCCTGAACCACAGACTCTTTGTACCACCATAGTTTAGAATCATTAATGGGACAAATTTTTTACAGTGTATCTCGGCTCTGATTAATTAATTTTATGCATCTTGTAGTGAATGTCAAAATTTTGTAGATGTTTTAAAGAGTTGTTTCCATTTATTTTTAGCTGATGTACTCTTGAGTGCTTTCTATCTTTATGGAAAATAACAAAGTTGCCTTACTATGCATTTCCAGAATACTCATGATTTTCCTGACCTTCAGAAGAGCCCTCCACTTCCCCTCCTGCCCCCTTTCTCTTTTCTTTTTTTTTTTTTTTTTTTCTTCTGTCTTTGCCAAGTTGAAGAGCTTTCACCTATTTAGTCTTGGAAAACCAGGGTAGATGGGCTCTTTTCTCTCATTGGACTACTCCTCCTTGGTGACATTCTCCAAGGAAATGAAGGGCCAGTCAGAGTCTGGAGTTCACATTAAGAATATATATAGTATCTCACGATGGTTTAATTTTCAGACTGAAAAAGAAGCTGCTGGCAGTTGCATTTATCCCTCGTGTTAAGAAAATAGGTCCTGTAATTGTTGGTCTGGATAAGATCCTGTAGGCTTGTATATCACAAATCTTCAAGGGGTGAAAAATGAAACAGGTTCTCTTTGAGTTGTCAGCATTCAAAAATCTAGTTCACACCAGACTGTTGCAAAATATTAACTTAATTTAAAAAAAAATATATTTCTTCCTTGAGAAAATAAACTTAGCAAGAAGCTGCATAGTTAACCCTGTTCAGCAACTACATTTGCCTAATTGCCACACTTAGAGCATTCACAGAAATAAACAGATTGCACAATGTAGTTCTCATCTCCATTTTTCTGTATGGCCTGAAACCTAAACAAATGGATGCTTGTTAACTCAGCAACTCCACTTATACTGATCCTCATGCCTTTGATGGTATCAAAACAAC